ACATTGAAGGCCTGAAGCCAGCCGTGGCCGCCCATCTCACACATGGAAACCCGGCGACGCTCGACGAAGCCATCTCTTTGGCGGAGCACTTCGACGGCTCCTATGGTGAAGCAAGCCCGTTTCGCGGTCGCGGCCAAGTCCTCTCCGGCCCGCACTCTTTGGCGACGTCGTCAGCCAGCAATTTACGAGCTGCTGACAGCCCAAGCTTGTCCCCCTCCGGCCCGACCCCTATGGAGGTCGAAGCAGCTGAGCAGCAACGGCACTCGCAGCAACATTTCCGGCAGAAACGCAACGGCCATATCTCGACGTATTCGTGATTCTCTACTTGGACGATGTCTTGATTTACTCCAAGACGGCCGACGATCACGTCAAGCACCTGAAGTTGGTGTTGGAAAAGTTGCGGCACCATAGACTTTACGCGAAGCGGTCGAAATGCCAGTTTGGGATGCGCTCCGTCGAATTTCTTGGCCACATTGTTTCAGGCGACGGCATCAAATGCGACCCACATAAGCTCGACGCAATATCCACCTGGCCACGACCAACGAAAATTGCTCATATCCAGAGCTTTTTAGGCCTGTGTAATTTCTATCGACGCTTTTGTGATGGATATGCTGGCCTCACTGCCCCTCTCAATCGCTTACTGCGTAAGGACGTTCCTTGGGAGTGGGATGATGCTTGTGAAAAATCCATTCAGGAACTCAAGCGACGTTTATGTTCCGCGCCGGTGCTTGCAATCCCGGATCCCGACCGCCACTTTTACGTACACACGGACGCTTCATCAACGGTGTCAATTGGTGGTATCCTCTCACAGGAGCAGGACGACGGTTTATTGCATCCGGTTGCTTATGCTTCGAGGACGTTGAAGGGCGCAGAGATGAATTACCCGGTTCACGAACAAGAACTTTTGTCAGTGTCGTACTGTTTAGAACAATGGCGACATCATCTGGACGGTCAAAAGTTCACAGTGTTCACGGACAGCCGCGCCATCTCGACGTTACACGCCAACAACAAGAATCTCTCCAAGCGTCAGATCCGCTTGTTGGAAAAGCTGATGGCCTATCAGTTTGACGTGCATCATATTCCTCGAGAACAGAATACTGGTGCAGACGCTCTATCAAAACGACCGCCCAACGCTCCTTCTCACCCCGACGTCTCAATGGAACTTTGTGCTGTGGTCCTCACAGTGAGGGGGGAGACGCTTGGCAAGGAATGCACTCAGCACTACAAGGACGATTCTTTTTGGGCAGACGTTTTGACTCGGCTTCGGACGAACGACGACGACGAAGAGTTCGAACTAGCCGACGGCATCATCTATCGCAAAAAAGATGGACGACGCCAAATCTGTGTGCCGCGCATGCCAACGCTTCTCAACACCCTCTTGCATGACGCACACGACGCACCAATCGCCGGTCATCGCGGCATCGATGCAACGGTCGAACGACTTGGACGAACTTACTACTGGCCACATATGAACAAAACAGTGCGACGTTATATTGCGACGTGTGACATGTGCCAGCGTACCAAGTTGCCAAATGCCAAAAAAGCAGGCTTGTTGCAGCCATTGCAACTAGCTTCTGGACGATGGACCTCGATTTCGGTTGATTTTATCACACACTTGCCGAAGACGCTACATAAGTTCGATGCAATTGCCGTTTTTGTGGATCGGTTTTCAAAGCGCGCACATTTTGCTCCATGCAAGACGACTGATACAGCAGAGGATTTTGCTCATCTGTTTTTGCGTGAGATATACCGACAGCACGGCTTACCATCAGACGTAGTCTCGGATCGAGATGTCCGCTTTACTTCTAGATTCTGGAAGGCCTTGACGACGATGCTTGGGGTACAAAGAAATTTGTCCAGCAGTCTACACCCAGAATCAGACGGACAGACGGAACGCACGAATCGAACGCTTGAAGATATGCTTCGTCATTACGTTGCATATAATCAATCGGATTGGGACGAATGGCTGCCGGTCCTCGAGCACACCTACAACGACGCCAAGCACGCTTCTACAGGGGTAACACCCTTTTACGCTGACTTGGGACGACAGGTGTCACTCGCTTTGACCACGGGATCTGCCTCCTCCGATGTTGATTCAGCAGACGTTCTCGCTACACGTTTGGAGTCTATCCGCCTTCAAGTCACTGAGGCAATCTAGGAAGCAACGGATCGCCAAGCCAAGTATGCCAATATGAAGCGACGTAATCTGGAATTCGACGTGGATGACGACGTATTAGTCAAGACGACCCACTTGAATCCTGATGTTTATTCCAACGCTCCCGCCAGAAAGTTACTTCCACGGTGGGCGGGTCCTTACAAAATCCTTGAACGTATTGGATCCGTGGCATACAAGCTTGATTTGCCGGCTTCGATCAGGGCTCACAACGTTTTCCATGTGAGCGCCCTCAAGAAATATTTGGAACCTGACGATGTGGAACGCAAGCCAGAACGGCCACCACCAGTGATCACCAATGTTTCTGACGACGAAGACGAATGGGAAGTTGAAGCCATTCTCGACGAGCGCAAGCGACGAAACAAGCTACAATATTTGGTTAAGTGGAAAGGTTATCCCTTACACGAGGCGACGTGGGAACCCGCCGAACACCTTTCCAATGCGCCCGAGGCTCTTCAAGACTTCAAACAATCCAAGGAAGCGACGCCATCAAAAGCTTCGGATACGAATTTACTTCCTCGACGCCGTGGTCGTCCGCCCAAACACAGACGAAACAGGTAACTGTATGTGCAATGGGTTGTGGTGTTTATTTTTTTTATAGTTCCTCTGGGTCTATTTCACCACGACGACCACCTTTTGGGATCTCTCGCGACGTTTTAATTTGCGGGGGGAGAACCCTAGACCGGGACGATTTCTATCCAGTCGACGCACAAAACGATCCGTCACTGCTGTAGAAGAGTTCCAGCATACGAACCCACTTGGACGCGCACAAGGACGGTGCATACTACTCGCAGATCGACGCACAGACATTAACGAGCTACAAAGGACGGCGATTGAAACGACGCAAATCAAGAATTACTTTGGACGAGTCAACGGATCGACGGCGAGCACCTGACGTTTTACTTCGAGTCGACCTCTTGAAGTAGACGGGGGAGGATGTAACGGTGCATACCGTTACGACGATATCCAACCTGCATGGTTGACGATCGACAACGCATGGTTCAGACGATAGGATGACTTGCGGTCAACCGCATGGTTGAATATGGAGTAATAGGCGTGGATATTCTAGATAGAAGTTATGATGTAGATCAATACTTAGACGATAGCTAGCCCCCTATTACTCGACGTATATATAAAGACGGGATCCTGAGTTATATGGATCCCTATCGTTTTATCCTTTGATATATCCGAGTCTCACCTTATTCATTGATCCACACTGTCTACCCATTCACGTTCCCGATTGTAAGTATCTGGGCCGACACTGTTACAACACTTGATTCAAGTTCGTCAATAAAATGATAAGGGCTTTCCCAAACCCCAATTTTGGCAGTTTGGTCTATACAGTATTTGTACAAATACTACATGAAAAAGTATATTTTTTTGTGTTCTCTGGGACAACAACACAAATGCCGCACATCAAGTATACTCACATACCATTATACGATAAAGAATTCTTTCTTTTTTTTATTTCTCTTTCACACTTAGATATTCCTTTTTTTGGCTCTCCAACTTATATATAATAAAGTCTTCTTCTAAGTATATATAATACAAGTTAACCATGTCAATAAGCTGGGACACCGTAACATCGGCCATAGTCACATTTGTAGGTAGAGTGTCTGTTGGTTTTTTCATCACCCAAATCGCACACGTCTATTTATGGGACGGCAAGAACGAGAATGGTACATCCAAATCACCATGGGCACCGAGCCCTTCCAATTTGCCGTTCTACTGGAAAGGATATAAAGCTTTCCGTTTTCATAGCTGTCTCGCCCTGACGGATTGGTCGAAAAAATTACAGACTAGCATATATACTGTTAAATTGATCCCAAAGCGTGTGATTGTGTTGAGCCATGCTGACGTGGTGCGCAAGGCCTTGGTGGAGTTGGAACAGTCTAATTGGACCCGTTCTATCACAATAGATGCGATCGAAACAGTGATGGGTGACCAAGGTATTATTACATCTCTATTTTTACTTTCTTTCTTTTTTTTTTGGAAAACGACCGTGTAGAATGTGAGAGAGAAAGAGAGGTGTACTCGTGGATATTACTGTAAATGCTTGTCACAAGTGTGGGTTGATTCAGTCATGGTTGCCTTTTGCATATTACTTTTCAATAATTCGTTTGCATCTCTTTTTTTCTTTCTTTGAGAGTAAGGAAGACTGAACTAGCTTTTGCTCTCTATGTTGCTATTGCCAGGATGACTTTAGTTATATAATCTAGACATCCTGAATGCTGTTGTTTATTCGTTACCGCATCTGCAGGGTATTACAATGCTATCCAATCCATTGAGCGGAGTTGGGATCCAGGAAGCTTACTAGGGTGATGTTTATATCTTGGTTGACAGCACACAGTAGCACTCCAGCGTCTTGTATCAGGCTTGCCTTTTCTCTGGCGTTTTGAGCTTGCTATCGTATTGTTGTTCGTTTGGTAAGCATCAAGCTTAAGACACTGGGTTCATTTACTGAACAACTGCTCATGAGTTTGTTACATATAGAGTTTAAACAGACAAAGTACTGTAGTTAGAATTTGCCCAGAAAATATGAGGAACACTTTCCGGGAATCGCTATATTTCAAGATGTTCTTGATCCCGTATATATCCTAGCATGTGGAAGATGATAATGTTCCCGCTTACCATAAATATTGACCTTTGTCAGTAAACTTGACTCCAATAAGTCCTCTGCGTAGTATAACTCTCAAAGCGGTTCGAGTATAGTTGCAGCAGCACGTTGGCCAATGAAATCCAAATACCGGGCATTAAAAATCCACTGCCCGACATGAACAGGAACGCGCGTATGCGCATACATACAGCATACAGACTGCTTTTTTTTGGTCATAAAGGGAGAGGGGAGGAGGCGACGATGGTCTTTCTATTCAACAACGGAAGAAAGAATATTCTCACTTCATTTTTTTTTCTCTCTTCTGTCACAGAGACTATATCATATAGAGTGCGAGGTGATCCCTTTTGTGACGAAAAGAGGTACACAAGCATTTCTGATATATAAGGAAAGCATAGGGTAACCAAAAAAAATTAGTCTGTGCTTTCGCTCAGGTTTGAAAGGGCACCAGACTCGCTGCCGACCAGATCCACATCGTGCTGCCTTTCCATCAATCCTGGATCTAGTAAGTGTATATGTAAACATTTCAAATCGATGCTTGACTATACAGATATCACAACAATCCAACCTGGAAAACTGATTAATTAAACATGCTGCCAATATTGTTTATCAGCTCATTATAAATAAAAGTACAAGCCAGACTGCAAATATCACCGCAATGGTACTCAATTATTAAAAATATGTTGTATGGCATACGAAGATCATCTGTCCGAGATAATCCTGAACACCCCACGACTTCAATCTTTTTACTAGATCCTTCAATGATACGAAAAGCATTGATGCCTGCATTGGTGAGACTATAGATCCGTGAAACACGCAATAGCACCGAGCTTTCGACTTGTTCAAAATGCTCAAGGACAGCACCAGTAACACCTTTCACGGCTGTCAGTTCCAGATTCAGTATTTTGGTTTCCTCAAGTCGTTGTGCCCACACAATCCATCCTGCCTCTGTGAGAAAGTCGTCGACACTATTACTGTACGGTGATGTGCGGGTTCAAGCTTAATCTCCTGACTAGTGGGTGCTGTGATGGTTCGCACAACTGCATTAGACCTTGGTTGTCGATGGGTATGTATAAATATGATAAATAATATAAATAAATTATTTTTATTGGCCTAAAATTATGATTTTTAAATAAATGTAAGGTTATCCCATGGCCCGGACCCAGTCAGGAGCGTCGTCGGCCAAAGGGGCTGATTGTTGCTCTTGGTGTTGTTGTTGCTGAGCTGGATGTTGATGAAGTTGCTAGGAGAGAAAAGGCTGGTGGTTCTCGACCAAGAAATACTGTTGCTGTGCTGCCGCCTCGAATTGCAGCTGCTGAACAGCTGGTTCATGGTTAAGAATCTGTGAAGGGGTTGGAGAGTGATCATTCATTGATAAAACTCGAAAACCTGACAGTTGAGTACTAGGAGCGAGTTCTCTCGAGAGAAAAGATGATACTGTTCATGTGTAGCACTCCACTTGTATTTATTTATTTCTCTCGAATTAAAACGGAAAAGATGGTAACACAATCACTGGATCCACCACTTGAAGAATAATGACAGGTTATCTGTGCTCGACATTACATCCAAACTCTGCTGGCTCCTTGTGCTTTGTGGTTTCCTACGGCCCTCAGATATCGGACGCATAGATTGGGACAAGACCTCTATTGATCAACAGCAACGGTTAAACCTGGTGGTTGTTAGCCCTAAGGAGAAACGCCGCGGTCGCCGAATCGAAAAAGACTGTTGTTATCACTCCCCACCAAGATCGTGTCCTGTGTCCTGTTAACGTTTTTCAATCATACACCGCACGATTTGCAACCAACCGCTGTTATCACAAACATCCTACTCAACCGGATATTTACCTCAACTATCTCGTCTGCTACGTGCGTGATAGTACCAAGTACCTCGGCGCTCAATGTATCAGCAAGCATATCACTCGTCTACAAGACCTGGTGCCACGGGCTCCTGGCGCAAGAAAACCCAAATTGCGTGCCCTGGGTACTTCGCGTGCGGCAAGAGCAGGTGTACCAGTCGACGATATCATGGCGCATGGTTCCTGGGCTTCCTGTGAGGTTCTTAGCTTGTTCTATCGCATGTCATCGGAAACTAACTCTGACTTTACATCGGTTGCTCTGAATACACAGTCAGACTGTCCTCGTTCTGACGGATAATTCGGCTTTGGCTGAGGGCTTTGCCCGAAAGCCTCATAGTATTATCCGAACAGAGGACAGTCTGACTGTCCCCCCACCCACTCCTAAATATTTCACTATGTCTCTTACTTTGTACCTTCGCTCCGTTCTCTCCTCCTAGATGATAGAGTTAAATTATTACACAAAAAAATTTCGAATAAAATAAGAAAAGACTGTCCTCTGTTCGGATAATACTATGAGGCTTTCGGGCAAAGCCCTCAACCAAAGCCGAATTGTCGTCTTTACGTTTCTCCTAAAATTTTCAGTTTTGATTGCTTTCAACGTGTCAACGTGCGTTTATCGTAGTTATTTTTTCGCTAGATCATTTTATGTTATTAACCGTTCAGGAAAATACTTTACACTCACAATGTCATCTTCTACTGTGCCGCAGACAAAACACCAAGTATGCAGCACTTCCGAATCATACCAGTGAAGAGCGACAGTTGTTTTCCCCGTTTGATTAATAGCTTTACGCGCTCAGATAGTTGCGAAGCAGCTGGATTGTGGGTTCGATTTGCCAATATCTGGAATACTAAGCATGCCAACGGTGGTTCAACTATATTCTACAAATTCCCTCAGTTTCTTCAAGCATACCATACAACATGGAAGCATGCTCACGATATTCGCAAAACCATATCAAGAGCCAAGGATACGCTAAAACAAGTGGATTGTGTTGAACAACGTCGCGACCAAGCAGTGTCCGCGGCTGAAGCGTGAGCTACCAACAGTGAATACCCAACATTATGACTATCAACGCAATCAAGTAGTTTCTTCTTCAACAGTTCCTCAACAGTCGAGACAGCGACGTTTACAACCCAGAGCAGCACCCCAGATACATTCTCTCAGTCCATATGTACTGTTGGATTCCAGCCACCAATGTATTATTTATCATTTATATCTGTTTTATTTGGTAAATCACACAATTCATCTATCTTTAAAATAAAATTTCTATCACCTCAACTGCAGAATTATACACCGCATCCAACGTTACCATCGGCCGCATCTTCATCGCATCAAAATCATTTCGGGAAGCCGTCTAGGTCGCGCACGTGCCAACAATGTTTTAAAGTGGGTTGCAAGAAGGGTAGCCAGAACACGGAATTATGTGAAACCAATCCGAAGCAAAACGCTGCGAAAAAGCGCCGTGTACACGAATAAAGTCATATTTGCGTGTTTTTTCAGATATTATGATGGAATTATGGTGCCCATAAGCAATAAGTACGTGGATGAGCTGAAAAGCTCTAATCCACACACATGGTCACGGAGCCTGGAAAATAATTTGTTACACCTGAGCTGCCTGCAAGGAACTGGTTGCTTGGTCTGCTTCGACTATAGAACAATGTCTATTTCGTAATCTCCTATATGTAATACGTGTACACTATGCGATATAGAATGCAGTTGTTTAGCCATGCTCAATACACTGAGCTTCTGCACCGACTTCGTTCTTTTCTATTATATAACTTTTTCTGTTATATAAAGAGACGTTTTGCAGTGTATCTCCTCAGCATAATAAGTCGGATCCATGGATCGGATCCATATCCGCCTACCCACTCGATCCGATCCGGGTTTTGCAGAACACTACCCCTAATCAACCAACCACCACCACCCACTTACCATATATACAAAGACACCACGGCACCAGCAGCTCCTGAATCATCAGCTCGAGCAACTCCACTCAGCAAACGGAGAGCATCCGGCGATATTCGCTGCACCCATAATCCGCAGATCAAAATGCCTAATACGTCTAGCTTCTTTAGCAGCTCGGACGGAAATGGCTCCTCATTGGCTACTCAAACTCCTCGCACACCTAGGACAGACCGGGAGCGCACTCGTTCTCAATCCCTCCAAATACGTGTCAGAAAGCCCACAACACAACTATGGGAGGATACCATCGCCGAACAAGCAGAACAGACGCAAACATACATTAGTAGTCTTCACAAACGTTTGCACTCGGAGGCAAAAATGACGTGAGAAAGATAGACCGAGGTTTCAACGGATTCGTCTATACTCTCCTTTTTATTCATTGCTACAATTATATGCTACGGACACTACACGCACCATCCTTGCCGACTCGACGCCCACTAACATTCCGACAGTGATGTACATCGGTATTTTGACGACGACTCTAGCAGCGCCCCCGTGAAGTGGCTTGATCCTGTACTCCCTGACTCAAGATAAATAAAATAAAAGAAAAAGCTAAATCGCCCGATCTACCTACAACTATTCCTCCCCTCTCTATCGACAAACACCAGATTCTCCCTCATAGTACGTACCCCCAGCTTCTTGTGCCTATCCAACACCTTCACCTTCTTCCCTGTTGTCGTCCAACAGGGATCGTTTTTTTCTTCCCTCTTTAGACTGGACAAGAGCGAGAACGCAGAGCGCAGCGTTCAGAGTCGTAAAAAAATCAGCCTTTCATCGCATGACTAAGAGAAGGCTTTTTTACTTTCAGGATGACCTCCGCCCTCAGGACCACCGCACCAAGCTTTAACTTTCAAAGATGGTACTGGCTGTAACAATACAGTCTAATTTCTTCGAGCTCAAATACACAGAAAGCGTGAATAAACATTATAAAGCTGTTCTATTAGCAACACAATTAATTTTCGATAGGAAAGGAATTGCTATATATCGGTAATATTAGTCCACTTCCGCTATGGCTATAAATACTGCTGACACAACGACTCGGAAGCAGCTAATACAGTTCCTTCAAATATAAACCAGTCTAATGTATTAATGGCGCACACTTGGCTTATTAGTAATTCGAAGAACTTCTTGAGATTTATAGCTTGAAGATGTGACCTCAAAGGGCGGAGGGTGGGGTGTCTGTGGCCAAAACCATTAATGGAGTGCTGGTGTCAATTTCCAAAGCAGGAGAGAAGGGCGTCACACAAATTGAGAACCTATTTCCTTTTATTCTCTTACTTCACATTTGTACAAATGACGCCAGCAGATCAGGAAAGCAACAAGCGCCCATTAGAGAATAATGCTTCTGTGGATCATGAGGAAGAAGAAGGTATACTTTATGAAGTGACTTGATGCAGCCAGTGACACCCATTTAACTGCGACATTAATATTTTGAAAGAAATCGGACCAATGATGCCGCCACCACCCACTGCCGAACAACCGCGTAAAAAGAAGAGAGGTAAGCTTTTCTTAACTCTCTCGAATACTGTATGTAGGCCATTCTCTGATCAATCTTCTCTGCTATAATATAGTGCTTGCCCACGAAAAGCTTTACTTGTCGCACCTTCCAACCGCGGACATGTATGAGAAAAGCTATATGCATCGCGATACGCTTGGTCATGTAGTGGCATCAGCAAAGTAAGAACGAGATATTTCCCTACTATAGAGGGTACTTGACTCATGTACAGACATCAATAGAAATGACTTTATCATTACGACGTCGGTTGATGGTCATTTAAAATTCTGGAAGAAAACGGCCAACAATATCGAATTCGTCAAGCACTATCGCGCCCATATGGATAGAATCAATGGATTGAGTATCTCAGCTGATGGTGAACTACTGGCAACGATCTCGGACGATATGACTATGAAAGTGTTTGACGTGACAAATTTTGGTAAGGTGCAATGTTGCTTCTGTCAGGTGGCATTTCATGTTGCTAATTATATAATACAAGATATGATTAATATGATCAAGCTTGGTTATAAACCGAACAGCGTGTGTTGGATTCATCAGCAAGGTCAAGCACAAGCACTTGTAGCGGTGTAAGTGTTTTAACAATGAAAAACCATAAATCATGAGCTCATATTGTTTTGTTGGAGAGCAGATCCGAAGCAGATAGCCCCAAGATTCACCTGTACGATGGTCGAGCGGAAGGAAAGCCTATACACACAATTAGCAACTTACATTCAAATCCAGTACATTTAATTGCGGTAAGTGCCCAGCAGAAAGTATGTCCCGTTCGTCTGTTTCTGATATGTACTGTATAAATAGTTCAACTGGCAATTTAATTGTGTTGTTTCTGTGGATACGCAAGGCATGGTCGAGTATTGGTCTCCGGAAGATCCTTTTGATCTGCCCAAATCTGTCGCGTTCGAGTTGAAATCGGAAACAGACTTATATGAGTTTAGAAAGGTATATTTCATCGCATACAGTGTGAGTATAACAATTCTCTAATTGCAGCTGTAATATTTAGAGTAAATCGACGCCTACATCTTTGACATTCTCAAACGACGGCTTGCAATTTGTCACAATGAGCTTTCCTGACCGACAAGTGCGTGTTTTTAAGTTTTTAACTGGTAAAATGTATCGAAAATACGACGAAAGCATTCAAGTTATCAGCGAAATGCAGCAAGTATGGATATCACATTTGATCTTGATATCTTTTGGCAACAAACAAACATCGTTAACAAAAGACTGTGTTAATCTAGGCGGGTACTGCGATACACAAAGTGGATGACATGGAGTTTGGACGTCGACTAGCAGTCGAGCGAGAACTGGAGAAATCCGCAGCAGCAAGTTTTGTCAATGCAGGTTGGTGATATTTTAGGATTGTGAACGGAAAACCTCGCATAAAAATGGAATCAGGGCTAACAATTTCGACAGTATTCGACGAGAGCAACAATTTTATAGTATACGCGACATTATTGGGCATCAAAAGTAAGTAGAAATCCCTCTATTACTATTACGAAAAACATATAGTGAGTAAATTTAACTCTCGACTGTAGTTGTGAATATCCTTACAAACAAGGTCGCAAGGCTTATCGGAAAGTCAGAAACTCACCGATTCTTAAATGTTGCATTGTATCAAGGCGCACCAAAGAAGAAAGGTGTCTATACCTTAGTAAGTTTCTCCTAAGAGTTCTGACAAGAAAGATGTTTGGATCGAACTAAACGAATAAACGAAATCTAGGCAATGGCGGCTTCTGATAATGCAACGCTCAAAGAAAGTGAAATGGTGGATCCAACATTGCTGTGTACTGCTTTCAAAAGAAATCGATTTTTCATGTTTACACGACGGGAGCCATATGAGTAAGTTAGAGCAGTGTTTTTTTTACACAAGAGGGAAAGGAGATGTTAATAATTTTATAATCGTCTTGTAGTGACGAGGGCCAAAAAGGTGATCGTGATGTATTTAACGAAAAGCCATCTCGAGAAGAACAAACAGTTGCAGGTACTCAGGAACGCAAACAAATTCTGGGTACACATGCAATTCTCAGAACCACTTCGGGCGACATCCATATTCGCTTGCTGCCTGACGTTGCGCCCAAAGCAGTAGAAAACTTTGTGACGCACGCGAAGAACGGTTACTACGACAATCTCATTTTCCATCGTGTGATTAAAGGATTCATGATACAGACGGGCTGCCCTTTTGGTAAGTCAATTCAAAAGATGTGATGTATGTGGTCTTTATTGACAGACAATAAATAGGGGATGGCACTGGCGGAGAATCGATATGGGGTGATGACTTTGAGGACGAGATCACAAGGGAGGTACGGCATGATCGACCTTACACCGTTAGCATGGCGAATGCGGGCCCAAATACGAATGGCAGTCAATTCTTTATCACCGTTGTGCCTACAGTAAGTATATCAATTGTTCGGAAGCTATACTATCGTAGATGAAACGCTCGTACTAAGAACTGTTGTGTGATTGTTTAGCCTTGGTTGGACAACAAGCATACCATCTTTGGAAGAGCAACGGCGGGAATGGATGTAGTGCATGAAATTGAGCACGTCAGGGTAGATAAAAATGACAAACCACATGAGGATGTCAAAATCATCAATATTGAAATACGATAAGTAGTACACTATCTAGAAGCACTTTCTTTAATGCATGCGACGAATAGTGCATCCAATAAAGCAAGTTTGGCACCTGGTTTTTTGTTGTTGTTTGACAATAAGCAAACAATGAATTTTTATATCTGAATCCCGCACTTTGAGACCGCGGGGACGTACATTTATGTTATAGGGGTTGTCCTCTTTTTCCTTGTTCAAGCAACGAGGAACGTAACGACCTGAGAACTTTACAGATAATGACAGTGCCAATCAAAACCATCTCGACTGCAGTAGCTGGTGTTGGCCTCTCTGGTGGGCTTGGCTACCTTTACTTGAACAGAAAGCGCGCACCAGAACCAGTTCCATCAGCTGCCACCTCGCAACCGCAATCCTACGATCCACGTCCTTTTCAACGTTTGACGACTGAAGAAATCGACAGCCGATTAACGTCTGGCCAGATTGTAACCATGACGTCCATCCAACGTGTAAGAGCCATTTACACTAACCGCATGGCCTCAAACAAACCTGTCGAAGATAATTATAGCATAAATACTATCGATGGCGAGAAACTTATAGCCGGTGTCTATGATGGTAAGTGTTCGGTACATCTGTGCAGGAGCAGTAATATGATAAGAAAACTAATATAAAACGAACTACACAAAACATAGGACACATTGGACCTTCTTGTTCAGAGCTGATCAAGAAGCAGCTCCCGATCTATGTCGCGAGACAATTAAAAGAGTCGCATGGACAACGCGTTGAAAATACTATCTCTACCGCTTTTGAAACCCTTGACCAGGATATCCAACAACGATTCTACGATCTATTCCCTAAAGACGTGGCCCGCGCGTCCGAGAAGGATATTCGTGAGGCGGCTGCACGAAACCCCGCGGCCAGCAGTATCATTGAAGAAGCACTTACAGGATCATGCGCGTGTGCAGTGTATCTAGATGGTGATGATTTGTACGCAGCCAATACCGGCGATTCCAGGGTCGTAAGTAAGTTTATATTTCACATTACTCTACTTGCTTCTTGTGTCGTGACGTAAAAAGAAAGCGGCACTCTAACGGTTGCATTGACGACAAAAAAATAAGTCATTCGCCAAGAAGAAGATGGGTCTTGGACCGGACGACGTCTAGTTGAAGAGCAATCACCAGCGCACCCAGCATGGCGTGCACATATGATTTCGCAGCATCCAGCAGATGAAGCCGATGCTATCGTCAGGCGCAACCGGGTATTTGGCCTGATTGCCGTAGGCGGATCATTTGGTGATATCATGTACAAGGTGCCCAAGGATTACCAAATGAATGTGCTTCCGTATATCCCGTATGAGGTCTATAGTCTCTTTGCTCGCTACCATCACCGCATCGTAATCAATTACCGCACTCCCCCGTACCTGTATGCTAAACCGTTGGTTTCACACCACAAACTGCAAAAGGGTGACCGTTTTGTCGTCCTGGGTACAGATGGACTTTGGGATGAATTGAGCTGGGACAGCGTACGCAGCAAGGATGGCGACCAGGTCTCGGCTGAGCTGATGAGCTCTTGGTCTACAAGCAAAGACAAAAATGCGGCTACCCATTTGATGCGTCAGGCTTTACTGTATGATGTGGTGTACAAGAACATTGGTGAGAAACTGCCTGTTACTGACGAAGTGCTAGAAATGTCAAAGCGATTAACCCGTGAGCCATCGCGACGTTATCGTGACGATATGACAATCACGGTGATCGAGTTGAACCAAGGTCAAGGTCACGCGGTACAGGAAGGCTCGGGCCCGGTGATGGAACCAGAGGAAGTGGACGTATCGCAACCTCGTCTATGTGAACCTCACAAGTCCAGTTGGTACTCTGGATGGATATGGTCGCGTCTCTAGTGTAGATCTATGTACCCATGGAAAGCGTTCTCATTGAATACTTAGTACTAGTTTCAACTGAAACGCTTGAAGAATGAAAAGGACACTTCATAATACAAAAAGTGAAATGCATTTATATCCACTATAACAACGTTTATTTACAAGGCAAAAACAATAACAACAGTACATTTGGTTATTTCTTTTTTCACCCATTTAGAGTGTCCCAAGCAGAAGAAGCCTGAGTATGTCGATACCATTCGTGCCACTCGGTCCAATTGATTGAGGACGGGATACTCCAAAACGGATTGTCCGGAGCACTCTGAAACACACTTGCTGTGCCGTTTTCCAATGCCAATGCCTGGTTCGTCAGTGATGAGCCACTCATTATGCCGCTGCTGGTTGGTATAGCTGATACTACTGGAGCACTTAAAGTGAAAGTTCCCGCCTCAGAAGCTAATGTAGCTGGGGCTGGTATCGGGTTGGTTGTCGTGGTTGCTGTCGCTGGAAGAGGTTGGTCGTTGGAATCAAGCGACATACTTGGTGCAGAATGGGAGGGATAGAACTCGTTCTCTTGGTTTAGTGAAGGCGAGAACAACACTGGAGATGCCGTATTAGCTCTTGGTATCGAGGTAGCATTCTTCTCGTGTGGTTCAGAGTTTAAGCCAAACTGTAACAATGTGAATGCCTCTTCCTGTGTTGGTTGTAAAGGGACCATGGAAACTAATCAAAGAATTATCATTAAGCAAGCTAATCCTTACACTTATATTCCTTTTTTAAAAACGCAAAACGGGCACCAATGCTCAGCCTATGGTCTCTTTACTAACCTGGAGTACTAGCCCGCGAAATCCAAGAATCCACCGAAATATCTTGTTGTAAAAGGAACGTATCAATCAACGATGATATTGAAATTTTATTCCTTCTTTGATCGTGTTTGGTTTGTGTGTGTCTCTTGGTTGATTTGCCGAATTGGTTTTCACCTCGTTTGGATTCGTCCAGATCTTTATAGTCCATCTCCAGCGGGCCAGTGACAGTATCGATATTCTTTTTGTCCATAATACTGTGAAATAGCACCTTAAGCGTCTGTGCAGTGCTCGAGCATTCGTGGATACGATCGATCAACGCAATACCCTTTTCCAGATCCTCTTTAGCCGCTACCGAGATATGTGGATCTTGGTTCTTGGTGTTGTACATGAGAATCAAGCAGCACTGTAGAACAGGATACAAGCTAAACGCATATGGTGTCAGCATAAAGTCACCCATCGATAGTGCTGCTGCTATCCGTATTCCGTGAGTGGCAGCGCTTGTACATATCCAAAAGGATGAGAACTCGGGTTGTTTTGAGCCGACAGCATGTGATACGTTCGATTTGATGAATGGACGATGTAGTAGAATCAATGTTGTAAAGTAAAATAATACCGTTGTTGCTATCAAGCATAATTTAGTGTATACAGTTAGAGAAAGAGAGGACCGTCGCACAAGTAGAGTGAATATTTACCAACAACACCGGAAAATAAACCATTTTCTTTGTAGTCAGAGAAATTTGTGTGTTTGATGGATCGCCCAAAAGCAAAGCGCCACTCGGTAAGCTCCCGATCGAGTTTTCTGATCGTCTCATCACGTCGCTGTTGAACGCTGATCATTTTTGCCTCAGGCGTGTATAGTCCTTGTATGATATGACCAAGGATCTCCGATAGCTTAGCAAGCTCGACGAATAACTGATATATGCAGACCTGACCATCAGTAGATTCAGGGCGGTAACTTGCAGAAGGAAATCGAGGGCCACAGTATTCGTCGTCAGGATCATCAGGCAAGTCGAGTACTTCTTTCCAATCAGCTTTTGCACTTGGGTAACCAACATCATTATCCTAGTGATACCGTTTTTCAATTAGTTTTGATCACACTACTACTCTCTAGTCTGAAAGAATTATCTTCCATGCAGAAACTTACATCGTCGTCAATACCTAGCGGTCGACCATTTAGAGCACTTTGAAAGCGATCGCAAATGAAAAGTGCCCCTAAATTGTTTACACAGACGCAAACATTGTGAGTACTTGGCTAAATTTCATTTATAATGCAGACACTTACACCACGTTCGCTTTCGTGTTTCTTTGTCATGATCGGGTATGTCCCAATCATCACAGTTTCTATTCATCCCTAATCCTTGTGCCTAGACCTCCTTAATTAGTTCCTTGCAAATATATTTTTTACGGCTTCGGGTAAGAGAACTTACAAGTCGTACACCCTACATAGTCAGAAAACATATAACGCATGAATATCTCGAGAACCCTTCTTTCCTCACTTGACATCTTTTCTGCTTGCTTCTCAACTTACAAAACCACCAGTCAACCAGCATGTCGATGATTTTGTATCCACAGTAGCTCGTTGATTTTGGATTAACACGATTGCCTGAACTGTCGATATCGTTGCTGGGCCCAAGATTCCATCCGAAATAATCTTTTGTGCCTGGTCAAAAAAGTGATCGCTCCATCCTATTGGCAGGTCCCACTGAGCATCTAGTGGTACCCGCTGCCTTCGTTCTTGATCGAGACTTTCAGTTTCCACAAAACGTGCTGCAGCACCAAACATGGCATTAATTAAATCGCCTGTCGGATAGCTTGAACACTGATCGCGATACTGTTCTAGAAATTCTTGTTTATCAATTACTGGCAGGATTGGATGAATGTTTGCAAAGTATCTAGGAAATTCAGGTTGTCGTTAGAACCCCCAGTAACCAATGAACACATACAGACGCGATCCAAAAATAGTAACTACATTTTCAAAAGCCGTGTGCTGGTATACTGATCCAGGCCCGTAATGAGATAGATGTATTGATGGATACCCCGTAATGACGGTGCAAAGGTATTCCACTTCCACTTGAACTTGGGGATCTTACTATCCGGTTTTCGTGCACCTGAATCATCTGATACAAGCACAACAGTATCACCATATTTGCGTATGAAATGGCCTTTCCATTTGTCATCTTTGTTGAGCCGCAGTTTTTTCGAAAAGAGCTGGAAACTGTCCATGTCCCCGAGATAGATGATATCGTTGTAGCGTGCGCCCGGAGGCCATATACGTGAATGGAGTGCGTCAATGTTTTCTGTAAACTCGCGCGACAGCACAGATTGGCGATCTTGTCGTCTGGTTGTATCATCGTCACGACGCTTCCGCTTTTTCCCCTTTGTTTGCTGTTCATGTATGATTTCTGGTTCCTCCATATCTTTCAACAGCTCATCAATATCCGTTCTTCCAGTAGCGTCGTAGAGAATTTCATTGAGTTCCTGAATCCGTTTCTCTAGTTGTTCCGCACGTCTAGTATCAATTTAGGATTATATATCAAGTCTATCGCACAAGCCGTTTATTATTTGTTTATTCTAAATGCTTTCTTACCCTTTCGGAGGCCCACGTTTTCGCACGCTATATATAACCCATGTTTTTTTTCGTGGTCAAAAGCTGGTATGTTTAGCTGTAATTATAGTTGAGAGACAACTTACTCGTCTGTAAAAACGCAATCAACTTCATAAGCAACACAATTAAAACAAGGTTGCCCTGGTGTAAAGTGGCACCGGATTTTTCTGCGTTTGCAAAGATCACTGTGAATAGAAACGACATTAAGTACAGCATTTTTGGCACATGAATGGCGGGTTAAATGCAAGAGTAGCTTACCACGCCCGAAGTGTTCGAGTTTTCACACGTCGTTTTCGTTGATCGCTCATGAAAAATCGTAGAACTGGAAAAGGATAAAAGTACAAAGGGCATTTTGCGCGGAGAGAGCCTGAGCTCTATCCCCGCGAAAACAGGTTCCGCTCATCATCCGTAATAAGCTGGGTCTGTGCCATCAACATGGTGACACGCATCATTTTAACTGAGCAAAAAGACCTTTCATAATCAGTAGAAGGTGGTACTAGCTTAATGGATCGTCCTGCAAGCATGTTTTCGTTTGCAGTTGTGAAAACTCCGTAGCTAGCTTGTAAACATGCAATCGATGATTATTCAAAGCTACATTATTACTTATTGAAGTGATATCATAGCTAGCAGAGCTGATCCCCTCTTGTATGTAGTTGAAGCAGTAAAATTAAAGAGAGTATCTTAGCATCATTCTGTATAATCTGATTTTTTTGGTGTGCTTCAAAGACGTTGGTTGCTGGTTGATGAAGAGGGAGGAGCGAAGTGTAGAACAGAGTAAAGTCTTTTGTAGGCAGTTAAATGAAGTAACCAAGCAAGCAAATATGATAGCAAGTCGAAGACAGTTGTGAGCTTACTATATCCCTGTAGATACAACGATATTGCACATGATGCTGCGAACCCTCAAATATACTCAATTGACCCATGATTCTCGATGTTGCTCAATAATACAGATAGGAAGTAACACGGTGTTTTTATTCAGCAGCAACGACTCAATATGTTAAGAGATACACCTTTAAGAGTTGCATTAACGGGGCAACAACAACTTGGACTTCACAGTTGAGCGAGAAAATTTTAAAGGAATGTCTTTTTATGGTGCCAAATAATGAGCCTTGTACGACACCCTTCTATGAATAGCAGCACCCCGTATTTATTCATCCTAAACTTTCCCCAGCTTTTTGATTTCTGCGGCTGTCGAGCCTTACAGTCCGTAGCTTTACTCATTGCTGTTCGTCAAAAAAAGTACATGGCGGAAGTGTCTGTACTTCTGAACTACTTGGTAAATGAAAGACTCACAAGGTTTTTCATATTGGCTGGCAGAGCGGTTTTTTTACATCATGGTGCCTGGAAATTTTTTATTTTGGCGTTGTAGTGACAGGACGCTAATAACCTTGAAGACCAACGCACTCTCACACAATTGTAGGCCGATAGTAATAGCACTAGCCGGCACTGAATTATAATATTGTACACACCACCATAGTATCACCCTCTCTTCATAATATTTGTCACACCATATATTACTCATATATATATCCACGTCCCTCTAAGAAATAAAGAACAGACTTCTCTTCCACAGATTTGTTGGGAAGGCCCTGCTGGTGAGTATCCCCGTAGAGATAGAGTACTGTCTGGATACTTATATGTTCTTCCGATATTTTTAGTTGTATTGTAATAGTAGTGAAGCCCTCGTATATCATCCCCTATACAATCTTGTATTGTACTTTTCGTTTGATTGTATTCCAATTCCTTCAAAGAGTTGCTGTACGATTCGACTATATTCAGACGTTCATTAACGTAGTTGGTTTTATTGTGTTTTGTTATATCCCCTATACTTGGCTCACGTGGCAGTGCTTTTCCTATCAGGTCCTGTCGCTGCTACAAAATTTTCCTCGGCATTACAGCGTGAGAAAAATTCCAATGGCAGCTGTAATTTTAATTGATGGTGGCTATAGATTGTAACTCTCGCAACAACACCCCCTTGTAGCGGAAGGTGGAAAATAAGCACTGATCTAACAGCACCCACACACATAGTCGACCCGAACGGGGAACAACAACGTAGTGCCACCTCTCTCTATAAAGATATTGTCACGCGATGTAGTACTCATATGAACAGCTAAAATTATTGAAGAGTTAAGATGAGACGGCTCTTCCACGGATTTGTTGAAAGGGCCCTGCGTGTGAGTGTCCCCCGTAGTCATAGAGAGCCTTGGTTTTTTATTGTAGTTAGTGTTCGCAAATCCCCTATTGTATTGCTTTGTACTGTATTTTTCCCTGGGTTGTATCCCGAATCTCAGTGAGAGTTGCTGTACGATCATATCACTTTCAGACAGTTACTCAAGTAGTTAGGACTTTGTTGTTTTGTTTGTACATATCCCCTATATTTGGCTCATATGGCAAGGCTTTTTCCACTCAGGTCTGTTGCTGTCACAGAATTTGCCTCGGCATTACATCCCCTCTTTCCCTGCACTTCAAAATAAACGCAAATACAGTAGAGAATGTTTGTAGGATCGAATGTTATCTGAATTTATTACTAGAATGAATTGGTGACTTATCAGATCTAAAAATATTTTGGTACACAATCCACAGGTATATGATTTGAGCATAACAAGGTAATTTTGCTCATGAGAATCACAAAAGCTGGCATATATGAGGTCTCTAATGTGGAGTACATATTTATAAAAGATACAGCGTTAAAAGTTGAATTTGGCCATGCAAGATAGAACCGTTTCTTAAAAATGGGTCACGTTTTCATAATTGGGTACCTAAACAAATCTGAACTAAGAAAGCATGAATCAGCCAAATCCTGACGGCCATATCATATCATTGGAGATTGGAGTATACTTTGTTCAACATATGTACCATATACAGTAATAATATACTCTTTTATTGTGCAGATTATGGATTCTTACATAGTACATGCCCCGTAACTGGCGTTTTCTATGTTTTATACATGAGCGAGCAATGAGTTACAACGACAGTTGACGAAATACTGCAAAGTTTTAAGTGTGGATACGCTATATCGCATTTTTTCGGTGTACGATTATAAAGCTCCCTTCCTCCTCTTAACATCGTGGATTTGTCCTCGCATTGCTTTTTGCTATGGTAGTCTATAAATATAATAATAATAGCAGCGAGTTTCACTACCAACTAGCACAACCACCGGAAGTTATGAGCTTTCCGTGTTTTGTAATACTGTCGTCAAGGTTCCCTGCAAGCGTCAATAAGAAGTAAGTCACGAAATTCTTGACCTAGCATCATTCCAATTTTGTTCTTGAAAAAAATGTTATCCGTACATATAATAGGTTGCGGCAACTTTATTCTTGTCTTGCATCCATACAAAAAAGAAGAAAAAATAAGATATCCGTTTGCTGGCAGGACGTCCAGTATAGTTTAAGAGGGCCAGCGCTATAAAGCATAAGCCGGTGGTCCTAGAGAAATGCTTTAAAAAAGGAAAGGTTTGTCAAAACGGATAAACCCGTGGAAAACGGTGCTAGCCTAAACAAAGAACCCGAAGGGAACAGCAAATAAAAAAAGGTTGGTGTCGGGAGGGACGACTAAGGAAAGGACATCAGAAAGTTAATAATGAAGTAGGAGCTATAAAGTTATGCCTACATAATCGTGGTATTAAGAGATATGATAGTAGGGATTGGGTAAGAAAAGGAAAAGAGAGTATATGCGGATATGAGGTGGTGGGGGAATGTCTATATTGTAAAATAAACTATTACGAACTTTTATTAAATCTTTCATTTGGTCAAAAAATGTTCAGTATCATCGGCCAAGTTTGTTTCTAGTGGCTATTTTTCGGTCCACTAGGAGATAGGGGTAGCGTGTTGAGGAGGTGGTTCAATGATGGGTATCGGTAGGGCCTTGGTTGGAGCTTTGAATCATACCTTCCAGGAGTGGACATTGCGTAAAATATTTTCGGTTTGCTGGTGCTCACTCACATCGACATGTTTGGTGTGGGTAAGATGGGAGCCAATGGGTGCGCCATTTTATTAAGCGGTGTCGTTGTTTTGATGTTACAAGTAGATAAAGGATAGGATCCGATTTTTGATTTTGCCTTGCTCTGGTGACAACTTTAGATTTCGAGTGTCTCTCATTATAGTCGGCCGTAAGCTGCTGTCGAATCATCTAGTTGAGCGGTTTCTTGGTAGAGGCTGCTGGTTCGTAAATGCTGAACAGTCCTGACGCATCTGGTTGCGTTTATTAAGCTTTTTTTCCATTGAGGAACTGCTGAAATTGAGTGGAGTAAACTGCGTATGCATATTATGCTTTTCAGGAGCGTTGAGTCAGAAATGATTGTAACACGGGTAAGAGATTTAAGTTGTAATACTATATCTGTAGGCGGGTGGCCATTGACGGTACGCTGCTCATATGCGGTATATCGCTATTGTTGCTGCTGGTTTAATGCTCCTAATGTTCAGTGCAAGGCGAAGATAATTAATTTGCGTCGACTCGAGTATTTGTCGCTGTTTCTGGTGAAGAGGAAAGATAGCCAGCCTGAATTCCATAATGGGTCGGATGAAAATTTGTACAATTTGGTTGCTGCATATACTCCAAAGCCATACATGTGGACGCATATGGATCGCAAAACTCATGGCTGGCATAGCTTTGTTGCCGGTTGAACGAACAGCTTCAGTGGTGTCGATACCGTTTCGTTGAAAGGGAGTCCCAGGTAATTAAAGTGACGAGCACGCGCTAGTGGTTGATTCTTGATTGTACAGCTCCAATGAGTCGTATCCTGTGCGTTGACAGCGCTACATTTACTCGGACTCCATCGATAACTGTGTTGCCGCGAGTGTCGTTCGGCCAGTGTGCAAGCAGTGTTATTATATCGCTATGTGAGCAAAAAGCGCGACGTCATTGGCGTTAAGTAGAGTGCTAATTTTGATATTGCTGTTGTTGGGCCAGTGAGTGTCGTGGTGTTGTTGTGCTGTCAATTCAGTGTGTGCTCGAATATACAGTACTGACGTGAGTCAGCAGGAAGCAAAGGTAGTCTAGGAACGAGGAGCTCAGGAAGAGCGCAACACAGATCTTTCTTCTTTGGATAGTGACAAGTGATGCGTGTGTCAAACCTCGAACGTTCCAACAGCTTTCCCTTGAAACGAAAACTCCGTAGAGTGAAAGCGCATTGTTACGCAACGATTTGGCCAATTTACTTGGTACTCAAAGTGCACAAAGGAATGGCGGGTGAACAAGGTGATCAATGGAGCAACGAGTTACGCGCAAAAGGGTCAAAAGATGTACAGTAGGAAGTCATCGTTTATGGTGTTATTCTTCTGATCGTCCCAATGGATCTTGAAAGCTGCTAAAAAAAACGTAGAACCCGCACAAAAACAAACGAACCGATTAACTTTATCAGCAGCAATGAAAATCAATGAAGGGTGAGTCAGTTTCACTAGTGGCAGCGTATACTTACCATGAGCGGTCAGCTTATCTGCGGCAGCACACTTGGATAGAGTATGAATTCGGAGTGGATGGAGGGAGGTTACACGGCGTAGTTCAGAGGGATGGCGAAAATTATAAAGCAACAGTAGTAGACAAGCACGCTTCACAGTAAAAGATAACGATCTTTTTTTATATACTGCAGCGTTGGAGTCAAGTGTGTGTTGTATCTATTCCCGCACACAGCACATGCAATCAAAAGATACTGATCAAATGGAATAGTCTGTGGACTACGCTCTATACTCATGCTGTTTACCTTGTTGGGTGAAGAATAGAAACTGGCTGCTGGGAGGATCGTGTTCTTAATGTTTACTAATGCTGGATGAGGAACAACTGATGCCGTAGAATCTGTTAAGTTGTTTACCTTGTCAATCACTCCTGTATTGCCATTTGATTGCTCACAGAAAAGCATTTCTTCCGTGAATCTACATGCTCATTCACATTCGTGTCTTTGTTTTCGCTTGACACGGTGCCGTGCACGGACCCCCTCACAACCAAGCGGCGACAGCATCGGAGGTACAGCAGCCCAGGGTGAGAGACACGTACCACTACCGCCGAAGCACGCTTGTCTACTTGACCATCAGGTACCACTCCTCCTTTCATTTCCTTTGGTGCTGTATCTTTTGTTATGCCATAGTAGGCAACCCACAAGTTGATACGCAACCCGTTATCTGGGCCAATGAGAATTCACGGGGATTTGAAGTCCCGAACGAGAAAAATGTCTATATAAAGCGAGCAATTTCGCCTTTCTTTTTTCTCTTCTCTTCAGTTCGTTTTGGTACAGCTTTGGTCTGTAGTACAAGGCACTGTTTGGTGCCATGACCAGGTCATTGCTTGTGCTGGGCTATTGTCATAATTCTTTTGATGATCGGCAGATTCAGTGGTCCGCCCTGAAAGAAAATTTGCAATATATACCAGTGGGAATGTGGTCATATACTCCGGCAGCCGATCGTGAACCTTCGGGTGCATGTGATGCCAACGGTATATGTTGGGATAATTAAAACGAACTTTTTTTTATTATTTATTACACACAAATAAGAAAATGATAAACAAAATAAAAATATATTTTTCTTTTTCGCACTCTTCTTATAAACGTTTTACCGCTTTTGCCTCGCCTTTTTTTTATGTGCACGACAAGTTCCTTTTTCTTTTTTCGCGAACAAAAAGCTAATTACTCCCCCCTCCATCCATTCACAGCTCCGTGCTAAACAAAGCGGGGAACAGTGACAGTGGCTCTGTATCGTAGCCGAAAGTAACACGATCACAATGCTTTGGCACTCTTTTTCACTTTCTGTGTTCGCCTAAATTGCCAAAGCAATTGTCAAGAAAAAAATTGTTATCGAGGATATGGTCGGTTATTTTATAAGAGGCAACGCCAGAGCATACGCCAGCAGACCTGTATAATTGTCAGATCTGTAAAAAATTGGAATGTTTTTTTTTTCAGCTGTTCGTCTCTCTCACTCTTCCTGCACGTAGCTTATCACAACACAATTTTCTTATCATTTTGGGTTTCACCTGGATCGAAAAGCTTGCACTAATCTTTCCGATGTGCCTGCCTTTAAAGCGTGATTCTTGTAACAGCTCTTTCCCTCCCCTTACACCTTCACTTCTCTCTTCCTTTTCTTATTTAACTTTACTTCGTTACATATTTTCAAGGTATGCGTTACCTATTTGAAAGTGATGATCGCTCACCAAAGATATCAGGGGGACCTGTTGAAGATATGATATATTTGCTCTACCAAAACATGCACGCACCCACACACACAGGGATGCTGTGTTTTCCAGGCCAAGCGATTCGTTACTTATATATGACTTTTGCGGCTCGCAAACAATAAACCCGAGTATTGATTGAAGCCTTTTCCTTCGTATCGAGAAGTCGATGGTTTTAGAAAGAGCCTGTTCTAATGTGTATCTGCGTATCGCTATGATAGCATAGATTTAATGAAGTTACTGGTGGTTACAATAGATCAATCTTCAGGGTCCCCCTTTTCCAAATAAAATTCAGGTGAGCTACCTGGTTCGACTTGCTTTTCCTTTGTCGGACATATTATTTCACGAGTCCGGATTATGTTATACAGGCTTTGTTCGATTAAAAGCCTCGTGCCAAATTTCTTTTCGCGCGTCCCCTTTCACATACACGTAATATGACTGATTTGATCTCGATTTTGCCTCCCGAATCATTCAGTACATCTTCTCGTTTATCGGACAGCGGGCTGTGTCGAATGTGTGAAAGTATGTCGCCGCTGGTTATACGCGATCCCCACTTACCAGACAGCCCTGTGGACACTGGTGGGAATCTCGCCTGATGCATGGAACAAAAGGAGCGACGCGATGCTTCAATGTTTGGGACAACAAGTCGAATCAGTATACATCAAACTCAAGCCACGTATAAAGTACTGGAACGACTTGCTTGGCGAAGATACAGCATTCGCTTCCTTGGTGAAGTAAAACGATACTCTTTTTTTTTGCGTTAAGAGGATCGCGTATTCGGTAGTACTTACTACTGCTTATGCGCAAAAGATATACTAAAGCTTTTTCTTTGTTTTCAATAAAAAAAAATAAGACATCAGCAACCATGTGCATAGCAAACAATTACAACCTATTTTCGACAGTAGCACGTTACTGCCAGGATTCATCAGATATTTCTCGCATACGCTAACTGCTCTGACGATTTCATTTCACACTTGCGATATCTCGCTGCCAATGCTACTGGACTTCTTGCCGTCATTAACGCATCTTTCAGTGATGTTTGATGGCCGCACTAACTTATCAGACGCTACTCTTGAACAAGTTGATGGCAGAAGCAGACACAAAAGGCCACCGATACACAACATTATCTTCTTAAGACTGGACGGTGTTCTCAGTTTTAAATACCGGATCCGTCCCTTATTGCAGCGTTGCTCCCACATCAAGTACTTGATATTATCGCCTTACTCACGATTCAACAACGTATCTCCAACCAACATCTATACAGCTTATGAGCTGTGCCCTCTATTACGCTACATTATGTGGGAATGCAGCGAACCAGTCATAGCAGACAGATGGATTTCACTATCAAGAAGCACGAGTGCTTATATTAAGTAACTGAAAGGAAAGCATCGAATGATGGCGAGGAAGGCAGTATGGCTTATGAACTGCTATTCAACGGCAAGGGACACGAGAGGATCATGCCGATAGTAGTAAAATCGCAGCCGATACTAGAACATTTACGTATAGTCGCCTGTGGTCTTTCTGATATTCATTGCTGGGATGTCTTGGCACGCAACCAATTCACACAGCTGACAAGTTTGGGGTTGACGGACATCACTGGTATGTCAAGCGAAGATTGGTCCCAGATTTTGCTCATGCAGCAACAAAATGAGATCTTGGAAGTTGGAAATCGCGCTGGAATAACGCAGTATCTGAACAGCATTATCGCAACCATCGGTACGCTGCAACGGCTCCGTATACTTTCCTTGCGAAATTTCCTTCACATGTTCAGCGAGAATCCTCTTTGCGATCTTACTCCGCTTCGACGTTTGCAACAGCTTGAAAAAATGCGTCTCACGAACATACCCATCGACAACCAAGGTCTAATGCAGTTGTGCGAACCATCACAGCACCCACTACAGTAATCAGTGTGATTCAATGACTTTAGAGGATCGATTCACGCAGAAAAGTCAAGAAGGCTCTGTCCAAGATCTACTTGTACTTATCCAACACTAGGGGATCCAAGGCGTTGGTGGCACACCTGTATTGTCATGTGTACGTATTTTTGTCTTTATATTTCTGTTACCTATTAAGCTGTTATATATGATGCTGATGGCTGTTTTGATAGTGTGGAACTACATTTATACAAAAACCTCGTTTTTAACGCCGGAATCCTCCCGAAATTGTTCGAATGTTCCTATATTGTTTAAATTTAGGGGCCACTTATTGAAAAAGCCATGGCGTGTACCGAAATTCTCTGTCAATGGTAGGTATTGGCTTCGATTTGATTGGGTGTGGATCGGTGTGCATAATCGCTCGCTCTAATTCTAGCAATTGTATAGGTGACACTGTACCAGATAATTTCAAAGGCAAGAACAAGCAAACAACTAGGCCTAGAAAAATGGACTTGAGGTTGATGTGCATGGCAACCGATGTTGATGCCGCCGACTTGGGCGTGGGGGAGTTTGCGAAATCAGCTCAAAGCACCAAGTACTTAACTGACAGGGCCAAAATGATCGTGTGCAACAAAGCACAATTGATTACGTTTGTCAAGGCTTTGAAGCTGACGCAAGAAGATGTCAAGGAGGTAGTATTGCCAATGGTGCAAATAATGGGTATGATTTTAGCTACGATTGAAAAAGTTACTGCTACCTTTTGCTTCGTTGATTTCTAATTTTCTCAAGATAATTCAATCGAATAGGATTAGAAGCAGAAACCTCAAACATAAGATTGGTTTCAAGTGGGGCTTACGTTCTCTATAAGGTAGCCAATTGCACCATCGATGGAGATCCTACGACCCTTTTTGAGTCGATGGAACCGGTTGTCCAGCTGCTTCATACTTTCTAGGTAATTTGTTTTGTTTTGTTTCTTTGAGACTAGTAATTCTGACTTTTCTCCTAGATGCTAGCCACTCGCGTGAAATACAAATTAAAATCGATTGCATGGTTGTTTTATACAAGCAGCAAAACAACCATGCAATCGTTCACTATGACAAATAGTGCACACAATACATCAGCTGCCAGTTGGGTCAGAGATATCAAAGAAACAGGACTCAGCGAGTAATCTATCATACCATAGTAGAAAGTGTAGCAGTTGCTTTGTGAGTAACATGAATGTGATGGTTAAGTAGCCATAAGTCGCTTCACTTTTTGTGTGTTAATTTTCACCTACTTTTATAGGTCGCCATAAATCTTTTTTTATCTTTTTCTTCTTCATTAATGGTCGATAAATTAGCCTAGATTAGTTCAAAGCTTATATTTATTGGAAGGCTAATGACGATACGCTTATAGCATTCTTGTCGCTTCCTTGCAGTGCGGTGATTGAGAAGAAAAAGAATACATAGTAGAGGCGTTGTTTCAACTGAAAAGAACCCTTCTAGAGAGGGAAGAAGTCATGCTGGGTCACGGTGTTTGGTGAGGAGAGGTAACAAAGTAAAAAATTAAATAAGAAAGGGAAGAGAGAAGTGAAGATGTAAGAGAGTGCGAGAGAAGAGCTGTCTATAGACGTTATGAGTGTAGTGAGGGATGTGGGGGATGACGAAGATGCCACATTGCCTAGCTCTAGCGCTTCCTTGGGTACTGGTTCATTTGTGTCGTAGTCAGTACCCGAGTAGCTAAATTTGGCGATTTCACGCAGCACACAAAGTGGTGCCAGCCAGGTCGTTATCCATTTGCCGCGAGACAATCCTATATCGGAACGTGGTAGTATGTTCTTGATCTGATCGATGATATGTAGCTCTTTGCCTTGATCTGGTGGTGTATTGCCGAAGGCCGTGTAAACATGGATTAATTCAATTACATGAACAAGCTGGTATTCTTGTTACTTCTGTTTTATAAAGATGATAAAATTTAAATAGCTTGTTTTTACAATTAGCCAGGTACACTATATATACGTATTATGTATACATACGCTTTTAAAATAACTGAAATTGTAGTGATTAGTTGCATATTTCAACATCCATTCCAACTTTCCAATAACCACAGGGTTTGTAGCATCTTGGCTGCTTACTAAGACTAATTGATTTCTTGTGCTTCTTTATCCAGTCAACATAATACATAAAAGATATGATGGTACATATGTTTTTAATGATATGGCCATCTGAATTTGGCTGACCCATGCTTTCTTGGCTCAATTTTGTTCAGGTACCCAAGTTTGAAAACGTCGTCCAAATAAAAAAAATCGGTTCTACCTTGGATGGTTGAATTCAACTTTCAACGTTGTACTTTTTGTGTACTCTGTATAGAGACATTATATATGCCAACTTTTCTGATTCTCATGAGCAGAAATACCTTGTGCGTATTTTTCGTAACAACGACATCTTGTTATGCTCAAATAATCATATATTGAGGTCTGATAAGTCATTAATACATCCTAATAATAAATTCAAATAACATATCGATCCTACAAACATTCTCTATTTGCTTTTCTTTTGAAGTGCAGGGAAGGAGAGGGGATATTGTAGCGTGAGTTACAATCTATAGCCGCCATCAGGTTTTAATAACTCTGCCATCAATTTAAAATTACAGCTGCCACTGAACGCTCACGCCAAAATAATAAAACGCTCTGCCAACCATTAGGAAAATTCGTGTATTATCAGTCAGCGTTACCTATTATGAATTCGAGTTCGATCATATCTTTCACATCTTATCGCATGACAAACTGGCTTCTATTGACGTAACGTGTAATACAGCATAAGTTGAGACTTTAAATCTGTTCTTTCCTATTTTGCTTTTTGTCTCTCTTCGTCGTTCGGTTAAACTATAAACCGCAAACATCCCTACGTGAGGCTCTGGCACGAACCCCTAGGTTTTCCCAATCAATGCATGTTTGCTGAAAACAGTGCTAAGTCCGAACAGGCTGTTTTGGGAAACTCGCTCCGAGTGCGCTTTCCTCTCTGTTTGAACCTGCCAAACACTCTTTACCCCAAAAGAAACAGAATGACAGACGTTGCTCAGTCCAGAAGGTATAAAAAGTAGGACAGAATTTAGTTTGCTTCATATGGTGAGCTAAAGAAAACACGTTCGACATTTATATATATTTAAAAATTAGGCGCGGTTGGCATACCATCTTTGACGACCCTAATTTATCTACTGAATCAATACGACACCGAGGTATCGTTGGCGCAGTGTGTCAATCAGGATTACGATCCGTGTGTTGGAAGGTAAAGTTTAGTGCATGCTGCTCCCGTGTGAGCATAACTGAATGCCGGCTCAATACTTTCCTCCTCAAAAAAATAATAATAGAATGTGCGGCATGAATACTAAATTCAAAAAATACATAGATTTACACTGGCTACTTTCCCAGCTTGGAATTGTCAACATGGGCAGACAGTCAAGCCGAACACCGACAGCATTATAGTAAATTGAAACAAACGTTCATTGAGGAACCGGCCGAGATGATTAAACAGAGCAACAGCAACCAAGATCTTACAGACAATAACCCGCTTGCATTAAATGATAACGTAAGTCAGGCAAATGTTTCGGATATCAAAGTATTCTGAATTTCTAACAAAGTTTGCTGCGTGGTGGGCAATGAATATCGTACATAGAATCCTTGGCAACAGTATTTTGAAGATTCTGAGATAAGAAAAACGATCCGACAGGATGTAGATCGAACGTGAGTGTGTGTGTATACCTCTTTGGCGCTGCAGTGGGTGGGGGGAGTTGTTACTTAATGACTTTTGCAAAGAAGATGGATGGTTATAAAATATGAGTTGGATAACATATTCTTACATGCGCAAGAAAACTAGGTTCCCTGATGTCGAGTTCTTTCGCAACTCAGATGTTCAAGAGAAGATGACGGATGTACTGTTCATCTACTGTAAATTAAATGAAGACGTATCGTATCGACAAGGAATGCACGAGCTTCTTGCACCATTCTATTGGGTGTTGACTCATGAATCTTGGCCGAAGGATGCGGATCCGTCAGAGTAAGTTGTTTTGGGATGTGGGCAAGAAAAAGACATGGTGAGAGTATAAGGGGAGGTGCTGCAAGATACTCATTCACTCCTAACATTTGTCTAATAGACCGGCAGATAAGTTGATTGCACAAACGTTGGATTCGGCTTTTATCGAGCATGACGCCTACGTGTTGTTTGATAAGATAATGAAATACGCAAAGCCATGGTACGAGTTCAACGAACGGATATCCACCAAATCGCAGGTACCATTGACTTGACAAAATTTAAAAAACCTCGCAGAAAAAAAAAGACTTATCGGCCATGCTCATTTTTGATTGTTTAAAAAAACAAAGGGCGACTTGCGAAACAATATACCCAAATCTGCAGTAAGTAACATTTGCATTGTCGACGCGTTGTGCTACACCGTTTTTGGTCTCTTTTTTTTAACGGGTATCTCTCGCAGAACACGAAACTCAATCCTGTAGTACTGTCGTGTCAGCGAATCCATCATAAATACCTTCGCAGCACAGATCCTGTTCTTTATGAGCACCTTGAACGTTTTAATATCGAGCCACAGCTATATGGAATGTAAGTTACTACTTTAATAGTAGAAAAACGGCTTTCGCGCGGACAAGAAGAAGGTATTGAATGGAACCTTTTTTTAGGCGTTGGCTTCGTTTACTGTTTGGCCGCGAATTCGAGTTCCATGAACTATTAAAATTATGGGATGCCATGTTTGCAACCGATCCTTCACTGCAGATTGCCGAATATGTTTGCTTGACGATTCTTTTACGCATGCATGATCAATGTAAGCAACAACAGCATCAATAGCAGTAAACTTTGTATGTGTCCCCCCCCCTCCGTCTTTGAAAAACATTAAAATATCTTTTCCCCCAACATAATTTCTAGTACTTGCAAGCGATTATGCAGAATGCCTTACGTTACTTATGCGTGCTCCCCAGGTCGGAAACCCTACCAGTCTTGTTGAACAGGCAAAGTATTTGCAAAACGATCTATCCGAAGGAGGAGGTTTGCATGTTTTGCAGCAGAATGATCTACGACAGGGTAAACCTCCACGACATTCCCTGTGGGAAGGCATCCAACAACAGCAGGAAATGCATCAAACAATGTCGCCAAACCGTATTGCTCACAGAAGATCTCATGCCAACTTGGATAACCTTGCGAGTATCACCCGCGGTGTCATGAAGAGTCCTCAAGTTCGAGACCTGAATCGAGCGATCGCAGGTGTTATGGGAACAGTCCAAGTAAATAGATTTATATTGCGCAAGTTGTGCCCTCCGAAGAGAGAGAGGGGATAATCGTTGCAAAGGAAAAACTTAAACATGATTCTTTGTAGAAAAACGTGAATATGTTTGGTGATAATGTTCGGAACAGTCTTGATGCTACCCCGTCTTCTTCACGTCGACGACTGACAGTTTCGTCCGAATTTCCATCCGATATTGACCGACATTTTACTGCAGCCAACAATCGTCCTACCGTTGTACGTTCAGAGCCAGCTGCACCACCACGCCTGGCCAGTGCGAGACCATCATCTCAGCCTCCACAAGCGCAAGATCTCGAACAACAACAGCAGCAACCCCAAAACGTGATCGAGAAAATAGCAGCAGCCAATCGACAAATGGCAGACGTACTAGCTAAAAGCATTGATGTATTAGAAACGGAATTGTTCATGGGCCAGTCAACGACATCCACGGAAAGACATGATGGCGAGAAAACGCAAGAGAAACAGGAACCAGACCAGGCCGTGTTGATAAGTGCATTGACTGGGATCAAGCACATACGTGATGTATTGTCAGGCAAGCAATCATTTGATTTGGATGCTTTGTCAGCTGCGTATGTGACAACGCCAGCACCAACAGACGCAGAACCAACGACGACGGCGATAAGCAGCAGCAACAAAGTTCCTCCCATCGACGACGTGGCCACTGTCGGTAGTAAAGACGATAAAGATTGGGAGATTGTGACAGACGATGGCGATAAACAAACAACGACGTCGTCTGCTAGCGAACATCTGGAGACCAAGCCGTGGCCACCACTACAGCAATCAAATAACAATATGTCAAGCGTTGAGCACCATGCTACCACCACCACCACCGCCACCACTGCTACTACTAGTGCTCGCTCTACTTCTTCAACGATGCCCTCTGATACTACTACTGGTACTGGTGCCACTGCCGCCAAACAAAGTGTCGTGTATCGGATTGAAGATTTAATATCTGACCCTACACTACAGCGGAAAGATTCAGATACTTCTAATAGCAACAAATTCAAATGGATTCTTCAAAACAACGACGATGAGAATGAATTCTCGTCAAACAACAACAACAACAGAAGACGTCAGCAATTTAAACCATCTTCACCCGATACCGCTCGAATGCCACCTTTGCGCACTACGAATACCAGCTACAACAAGCGCACCCCTACTGCTAGCCTGTCTGCAAGTGATCTTACGAATATGATGGCGAGTCCTAGTGCCATAGATCCTTTGGGAGCAAAGAGTAACGAATGAAAACGCTGTTTTTAGGGCATTTAACAGTAAAAATAAAGAAATAAGTTTTATTATTCTATTGTGCATATGGTACATACTAGCGGTCCCTGCCTCGCTCTGCGCCATTCAACTTGCATGCGTCGCAAGAACTCGCCACTCTCCCTCTGGAGCGAGGCTGTATCAATAGTTCAATATCAAAAGCTTGTACTCATATAGAATGTAGTTGCAAGTCTTTCATGATCACCTACGATTGCGGGCCATGTCTATGCTTATTCTATACAGCAAAACTGAATCCTAGCTTGTGGATATATGCATCAAGTAAATATGTACATATGTCAGTTGTAGTTGGGGTATATCGAGGTGATGAACAAGCGGAAAGAGTTATTGTTATGCATGATGCAGGAAGTATTGTATAGCAATTCGATGTTGTAGCGCTTGTCTTCATGATGAAGAGCACTTTTCAGTTGAGCAATAAATATCATTTTCGTTCCAAATGCAGTCTACTCCCATCAAGTACATCAGGTCATGTAAATGACCCAGGCGGTATCAGTACTGCTGCAGCATGGTGATCTGACAAGCGGCCCACCTACTGTACTGTGCTTCGAGATCTATCCATCTGCCGCGCTGGTTGCGTGTGCCCTTTTGCTTTTGCTTTGAATGGAGCTAGAGGAAGCCAATTAAAATCTTCATCTTTTTCTACTGCCTATTCTTAAATCTCCCCCTTTATTTCAGTGCCAGTTTCTTTTGTTGCCTATTCCCCTTGCGCTGTATATATATTACTGGTTCCCTTATCTTAGCTTCCTCCCACTTTTATTCCTGGAATCATCTACAAGCCTCTCTTCCATATCTATCTTTGGATGTTGCATCGCCTCATGCGAACGGTATATCCTTCATCCCCAAGCAGCCTCCGGGCGTAAGTTTATCATGTCCATACCCCAGCCACGGGTACGAAAGCGCGACGGTGGTCCTCGTGAATTCTAGGGGTGCTTTGCGCAAGTATCTACTTCCCCCTCTCTCTTGTGCGCGCGTGAATTTACATGGAAGGACTGGGTTTCTCTTTTTTGTGAGATTATTACAGACAATGGAAAATCATTACGATTTGCTGTCTTCTTGCTCTTGCCATTTATAGACTAATTTTATGATTTTGATAGAGTATGTAGCAGTGTAGATCGCCACCTCCTGATCAACTTTCGATCATCGCTGTATGATAAGCTCTACCATCGTACATATTGGATGGCATACATACTACTGGTGTATTAGAAATATTGGATATAAAAGCTACACATTATTAATACTGCTATCTTCAAGCAAAAGAGAGAAATAATTACATACGATGGGCCGACGGGAAGGATAAAACAGAAACCAAAAAGTTCCTCTTGATATGATGATCTTCCACTCTATGAAAAGGGGTGAGGGTCATCATATCGAGGCAGAGTGTTGGTGATAGTGGGGTCGCGAGTAGGGAATATAAGTAGGACTGGGTGAGTAAAAGGAGGGATGCACATTCAACGAAGGGTATATCGCTTTGGGAAATAGTTGGGGAAACAAAGAGGGAGACAAGAAGAGGTACGATGGATGAGAGTTCTTTTCATAAGATGAGGCACGTATTCCGCTTTGCATCAGCCGATGTCTTGAATTTGACTAATACATATGATCGGCATATGAAAAAGAAAATTAATGCTTCAAGTCTTCTTCTTCAAGTGGAAAAAGTGTTATGGTGCTACGATGCAATCATGCAGGTAGAAGCACTGATCTTACCGTTTAGAGATACACGTGCTGCTTGCTCAAAGCACTCTCGAATACCACGATTGTGTTTTGCCGAGCACTCCAGGTAACGGACAGCGTTTATGCTTCGAGCTACTTCTAGTCCCTGTTGAAAAGAAAAATAAATAAAAAAAAGTCATGATCTTTTTTCTTCAAAGGGGCCACCACACTACAAATCGGATTTTTCGCAAAAGTACCTCTTCATACAGCACTGGGCTGATATTCTTTCGACGAAGCAATTCTTCATTGTCTCGTAAGTCACACTTGAGTGCAACCAACAGAATCTTTGCTTCGGGACAATGCTCTACAATCTCGTTCATCCATCGGTTGGGGATGTTTTCAAGCGAGTCGCGGCTGTCAACAGAAAAGCACATGATCACTGCATGCGTCTCTGCATATGACAGCGATCGTAAACGATCAAACTCCTCTTGGCCTGGTTGTTGTTGTTGTTGTTGCATGTGCAAACATAAAAAAAATAAGCAGTTAATACAATGCATTCGAATGTCTTGTTCTTTCTCAAGACTTTGCTACTCCAGGTCGAAAGCATGAGAACAGTAGGGCAGTCTTGTTACCTGCAGTGTCCCATAATGAGAGCTCTACTTCTTGACCATCGACTACAACTTCTTGTACATAGTTTTCAAACACTGTCGGTTCATACACCTTGTGATAATTGATAATAATGGCGCAATATACGAACAGATGAATTAATTACGATGCTTTCATGTCGATTGATAAAATAAAAAAAAAAGAGTGTTCTTTGGATGCTTATGTACTTGGGGAAAGTATCCACGAGTAAACACGTTGAGCAACGTCGTCTTGCCAGTCGCGCCGTCACCACAAATCACTAGTTTTCGAGTAGCTGGTTTGCCAGTCTTTCCACACAATTGCATTACAGATGAATTTGCCCGTCGATCGAGAATTAGTATAAAATGAACACGATGAAAAAAGAAAAAGGTGAGAAAAAGTGAAAGAGGAACGTTTCCCTGACTAACTCCCCCCTCCCCGCCCTCCCTGCTCTTCCTCTTCCTCTTCCCCTCCGCAGGCTCTCTCCCTCTCTCTCACTATCCATTTTGACCTCTCACACTGACTGACCAACCTGATTTTTGAAAAACCGATTTGGGGCTTTGCGTGGCACACTGTGCGACAAGAACAGTATTACGACATGATGATACATACTACATGTAATATATAAGCACACACACATAAAAGAAACCATGCAGCAACGACAATCACCATCATTACAAATAAATAAAGAATGTACACTTGAGAGATATACATGATACGTGAGATGGGAGCTTCGTCCTGGTTGTTTTTTTTTATGCCGAAAGATTGATTGGTCAAGCTGTTTTTGACATGTTTCAGGGGTAAAGATAGTGGGCTGGTGCCGCCGCCGCGGCCTTTAATATAATTGGCCAGTCCCTGATAAATACCTTTGAAAGCTCCAACAAGCTTGGCTTGACGGCTATGCACTGCCACCAGTGCTACAGCACATAGGATCAACATATATATGCCATGATGCCTTCTGGATATGCATTACATGTCCTGCTATAGCTGTTATTCATATGACAACCCAGGCTAAAACGCTGGGCATATACAACTTTCCCATTCGCAGTAGTATCATTTGTTAAGTACATAGAATGTAGTGGATACACATGTTACCGAGTAATGAGTCAGTAGAGTAACATCTTGCAATTCTTATTTGCATCCCACACACCCCCGTATGTGTGGCGCTATCATCCATCCAAAGTGGGAAAGTGATCTGCAGTATTTCAATAGGTCTTGTCGCATGATGATGTCAGTTACTGTATTCGACGCCATGATATAGCAGCGAACCAGATAAGTAAAATAAACTTACCCCTTTCTTTTTCACCCGTAACTCAAGCAAGTACTATAGGTTTTAGAGCTATCACAGCATTACTACTATAATCCTTATGTGCTATTCCATTCGAAATAAGTGATCCCAAGGGTAACACACATTTTGCTTGTTCTATGCCTCAGCGAAGAATTTTTATTCTACCACAAAGTCAGCGCAACATCCGTACAATGTACGCGTCACAAATTTAAATCGTTAACTTGACAGCAGTGTGTCGGTCATTAGTAAAGTCGTATGTTAAACAACTGGAAAACAGGCAGGATAGCAATCACACCAAAGAGAAGCCTCAGAGAGACAACAACAACAACAACGCCTTTGTTTTTGTTAAGCAGGATCTTGTCGAATGACGTAGGTGGGTGGACTTTTCAAGGCGAGTACACCGTACACAGAACTAGCAACTGAATTATAATGACTGACCTAAACATGGTGGAGGAGGTGGAAGAACCAGAAGCCCGGGAAACGCGTTCAAGAACAAGTAAAGACGTATCTATCCCACTCAAACTCTTATACCAAGATTCAAATAAAAAAAGAAAACAGTGTTGATTTAGCAGAGACAAACATAAAAAAGCAGTATAAAAATCTTCGTATGCGCGCGCTGGCTCACAAAAAAAAAGTGAAAAATTATTTGAGTATTATTATTCGCTTTCTTTCACTTGCCCCACCCCCACCCCCCTTACGTGACCTTCGCGCGTTCGTGAACAGAAAAAAAAATCTTGACAATGTCCAATAACAATGAATCTGTCTCAATGGCTACAGAATCCGCATCAGATCCTGGCACCATTTACGTCGGCAACCTCGACCAAAGGTTTGTAGAAAAGTTACACTTTGCCTTCTAGTGTGTGTGCTATTTCCACCACAGAAAATATTTTTATACTAAAACATTTGGAATTCTATTGTATAGAGTAACTGACACGATGCTGCATGACTTGTTTGCTACCATTGGACCTGTCAGTAACGTCAAGATTGTAATGGTAAGCGTGTCATTTTATCTACCTTTTTCTGCTTAACGCTCCTCAACGTGTTGGCTTCCATCCATTTCTGTAAATGAAGAGGCTCACAATCGAAACTACAAAAAAAATTATCTAGGCACGACGACACGGACATTATGTAAGTAGTCGATTTAGTGGGGGGGGGTGTTCAAAGGTGGGATGGGGAAAAAACAGTACTTATCTAACTATGGCCGTGTCTGTATGTATGCATGTGTGTATAGCCAACCGTAAACTATGGATTTGTCGAGTTTGAGAATAAGCAGGCAGCCGAACAAGCCTTGCGTGATATGAACGGTCGCATGATATTCAACCATGTAAGAAAGCAGATCGCATACACTATGCGATAAAAAAAAGGAGTAAATTTTTTCCTGATGATGGTTTTTTTTTGGGTGGCAAAAAGGAAATCAGGCTCAACTGGGCACAACAAAGCACGCAACAGCATCAACCTCAGCAGCAACAGCAACCTCAGCAACAACAGCAAAAGGATGACATGGCTGACCACTTCCATGTGTTTGTCGGTGATCTTGCCAGAGAAGTCAATGACGAGATGCTTTCCAAGGCGTTTGGAAACTTTGCTACCATGTCGTATGTATCTTTCTATTATCCAAGAAAAGGTGGACCAGCAGATTAAACCATGAATCGGTATTATATATGACACCTTTATTTATAGGGAAGCGCATGTGATGTGGGATGCGGCATCGGGTAACTCAAGAGGCTATGGTTTCGTTGCTTTCAAAGATAAGACGGATGCCGAGCAGGCAATTGCAACCATGAACGGCGAGTGGCTGGGATCCAGAATGATTCGTTGTAACTGGGCCACACAAAAGGGTAAGGCAATAGTAGTAGCTATACCTGTGTAAAGGAGATGTATATGTTATAAACAGGTGAAGAAGTAAAAGTAACGATCGACACTCATCTCTCTCTGCTTCGATGTGTCTATATATTTTATTGTTTAGGTCAAATGGCAACACCGCCTGCACAGCCTGGCCAACAACTGCCATATGAAGTTGTCATTAACCAGACACCTTCCTCAGTCACGAATGTCTATGTTGGAAACCTGCCTCCGGATACAGCAGGTATATAAGGGAGGAGATCATGAAACGGGATTGAAAGGATCGTCCAAACCACCACCCCCATTAACGCGGTGGGTCTTTTGCAGAAAATGACGTGAGCCAGCCTTTCCAGCAAATCGGTAATGTGCAAGAAGTCCGTTTGCAAGCTGAACGCGGATATGCCTTTATCAAGTAAGGAATATTCCAAGAGAAAAAAAAAGACGACACTTGGTTTCGTAATTTGGAGCTTACACACATAAAAATAACACTTACAGGATGGATTCCCATGAGAACGCAGCAAAAGCTATCGTTCAACTTCAAAATATCAACGTTAATGGGCGTCCAGCAAAGGTGAGAGTTATGCTCTGCTCTGTGTGGAAAAGTGTGCTCTAAATAATACTATTTATTACTTACTACTTTACTCCCAATACGCGGTGTAAACTATTCCAGTTGTCATGGGGACGTGACCGGACACAGCAGCAACAAGGTGGCAACCATCACTATGGTAACAATAATGACAATCATCATCACCATGGCCACAATCTGTACGCCGGTAGAGCGGGCCACAACACCCGAGGTTTCTCTTACCAAGGACATCAAAACAACCACAACAGCAGCCATTACAACAAATCCAATATCAGTGAAAATGTGTTTTCAGATTCCCCTGCACCGAATTCGCTTGCTAGTTTGGATCCCCATGCAGGTGGCACTCAAGCTTCCGTACCGCCAACCATGGCTACTCAGTGGAGTAACCAGCAAACATCCTCGCAGTAGCAGTAGCAGTAGCACTTGTAGTTGCAGTAACAACGTTGCAAACAATGAAACAAACAGAAAAATACAATCTAATATTTTTTACTGGATCTACTTTCATTACTCAAAAAAAGGAAAAAACTCACAGGTCTTGTTTTCGTTTTGATACATTGTGGTTGGAAGGGGTCGGTGCTATGTGGCATCGTAACGACAATGCTCTCAGGGCTGTTCACTTGTTTGAAAACTCGCGCTTGCAAAACGTCAATGTTATCCACTGCAAAACTAACGTTTATTCCTGTAAAGTACAGAGAGTCGTATGATATACTCACTACCAAGAACCTATTACACTCGCTTACAGCGGCCACACCACTGCTTTCTTAATCTTAACAGAATTTCTCCCCTTTGTGCCTGTATTGCACGACTGGAACGAGTTTTTTTTCTTACGCGTACGAGTAATTCTAAGCGGGATTTTAAAGTGGTTGTGTTGTGAAACCTTAAATAGCCAATCCGATTGCCGTCTTACAGGTACGAGTTTTTTGCTAAAGGGACTGAACAGCATATGTAAAACTGCTCGCTAAATGAGTGCAATGGATTTAATCACTTATGAAAAAACTCTGGGCAGCGCTCTTTTACGCTTAAGAGTTTCTTTAACCTGGTTCCACGTGGATCATAACCAGCTGGGACAAATTTTGACAGCTATCTGCTTACGCGTACGAGTTTTCTTAAGCCTGGTTACAGTGAGTTAATTGTTAATCTGAAGACCGTTCCATAGGAAGTGGAAGTTTCACAGGAAACTTGCTCACTGTACTTTCGAGTACTATATACTTTTCAAATGTAAAAAGACTCTGATGTAACATATTAAGTAGAAACTATAGTGAGGATAAGTGCTGGCTTCTTACTTCATAATAAGACCAAGACTACAACATCGAAACATTGCGCCTTACATACATGTCTTACATACATTCAAATGATCCTTGCACCCGAAACAGCCATTTTATCTATAGCTAAAGATCTAGAAGAAGGTAAAAGGAGCAAAAATCCAAATGAATAGGATCTAATGCAGATAGAAGGTGTTGAAGATCTCACGTCTTATGCACGAACTCGCATGTGGAAAAGTGCATATTTTCGCTCCATTGTTTATAGAAACGTATAAATAGTATCTGACAGTTTTCATTACCTTTTTCCTGTTGTAACAACCCATTTGTTTATCTCAATTCTACTGTATTTTTCTCTTTCAGACGCAATTACCGTTATTCACCTTATACTTACTCTCACACGAATTAGCGTCTTAAATCTCTTATGTCTTCTTTTCCCTTTTACCTTTTTATAATAAACACCGATTCCCTACTGCAACAGCTTATGCTCAGGGAATGCTTTACACGTGAAACCAGGTAAAAAAAACTCGTCGCGTAAAAGAGCGCTGCCCAGAGTTCTTTTATAAGTAATTGTTACCTATGTGGACTCGGTAGAAAACTCCCTCCACACAAACAAATGAATTGCTTGATTGATTGAAATCCTGATATCGAGCTTAGTGTGCCATCTAATATTGGGAAAAGGCCAAGAACTTAAAGAAAAGATGGAATGCAAAACTTATATATGCCATTACTGTATAGTGGCAGAACAGAATCCTGTACGATCTCGAAAAAAACAGCGTAATTAAATCCATAGCACTCATTTAGCGAGCAGTTTTACATCAAGAAGTATGACAATAGCTAATTATTCTACAAGGCCATCCAAAAAAACGGAAGATTGATGGATAGACAAAGACTCGTACGCATATGCTGTTCAGTCCCTTTAGCAAAATACTCGTACCTGTAAAAACCCGCTTAGAATTCCTCGTACGCGTAAGAAAAAAAACTCATACCCGTAGCACTTCTCTTGCCAAATATAGACGACGTGCTTTCAGCTTTAATCACCCCATGATGCATATTCATTTTTATTAGGATTTGACATCATAAAAATGAAACTGTTGAATGTCCATGCACGCGAGAAGAAAAGACCGCCAATCTCGGCTTGTAAACTAAAAAAAGGATGTGGAAGTCACTCACCAGATAAACTACTCGAGTAAAAAGAAAGTACAATAAGTACAGTATTACAGTCGGTTAAAAGCGGTAATGAGCAAAACTAATATTAGAGCCTCTTTTGCTTTAGCTAGGAAATTTTAAAAAATAATTCAGTCTTGAAATAAGGCGACAGGTTAAAGAGAACGGGTAAACGAGGGAGAAGAAGAGTCGCCAATATTGAAAGCGAGGGTATATATTATGTACAAAAGACAGAGAGAGAGAGAAGTTCGTCTATTTCTTAAGAGGCTGCTGCGGTGGTAGTAATGCCAGTGGTATTCGTTGATTTTAGATGGCTCAAGGTCGTAATCAATGGTTTTAGTGTACAAGAGTGACCACAACCTGTGGGACACATGGATTCATGGTTAAACCACTCACGCATATGCTCTAAATGGCCACCATGATTGCATCCTTGACACCAGACATACAATCCACGTACCGTTTGATGGCTAAAGATATACAAGTTATCCAACCATTCTAAAAGCGCCCAACAAAAACTTTGATTTACCAAATTGAGCATGGGTTCAGCAGTTGATGACATTTGTCACAAGCCCAGGCACCTTGTGGTGTGCCCATCACCAACTTGAAACAGTTGTTACATGCAATATTGATTGTAGTAGCGTTCTTGATATAAATAAAATTGAGTCGCATTTAGCGCAACAGCTATTTTGTTTTCCTGCGAGAAGAAATGATGCACTTACCTCATTACGCTCTCTTATCCGTGCAACTGGACAAGAATTGATCACTGCTGTTGCAGTTGTCCAGAGCTTAAATCGGTGAAGAAGATCTACATATAGAGCGTTAACATATTTAGCAAAGATCATTCGTGGTCGTATCATATCATTTTAAGTAACAGATCATAGATTCACCAATATAAGCAGCGAACCAGTCTTCGAGGCGATCCGCATTAACATGGATATGATGTCGAAGGACAAGATATAGTGTGACACACATCTGCACATCACCCTAAAAAATCATTTTTAACTTCATCATCTTTTGTATATGCACTAGCTCTAAATCCTTTTCCGCAGAAAGTACCTCTTCCGTGTAATAGTCCAGTAAGTCATTTACAACGCCTTGATGTTGCCAGATTGACCAGAGATGGGTCGTGTCTTCTGAATAGACTGCGCTTGATTGTGTTTCTAAGTCGTCGGCACTATTATCCGTTCCATCGTCATCATCATTTTCGTCTGATGATGATTCAGATTCACTTGATCCATCAGTCTAATATAGCGTTAACATACTGAGCATAAAACACAAAGGATATGGGAAATAAATAATAACTAATAGTAACATTTTACCTGTTGTTGATGTTGTGACGCTAATGATTGCACCACAGCATTATCTTCTTCCGTTTCTTTTTCTCCATCATCATCATCATCATCATCATCATCATCATCATCATCATCATCCTCACCGGGCTGGAAAAGCAAAGCAATGATTTTCCATGTTTGTGATGTCCGATATCGACCCAATTTCCAAGCAACCTCGCTATTCTTTTCACATGACGCCAAAATATCATCGCTGGAACAATCATAATGTTCCGCAAACAACGAGAACGCTTCAAAGTCGAAAAGAGGTAAATGCGCAATGCCGCAACTTTGGGGTGGAAGATACTGGATAACCTCGTCTTCAATGGTCAGTTTTGCGCTTGTTTTTTTCCATTTCTTAGGCTGTGTCGGCTTGGTAGGAACGAGGGATTCATCAACGAAATTTTCTCGTGAACTTCTGTTCACTGTAAAAGCAAGATCGCCTTGAATATTCCATCCTGTGCCGTTTCGTCGTAATCCGTTGATAGGTTCATATGCGTGGTGAATCTCTTGTCGTATGAAGGTTTTGTCTTTGGAGGCGCATGAATATAAAACATCAGAATTGAGCCATTGAAACCCTATAATAAATGTATACATATCGAAAGGATTAGAGTGAAGCTTCTTACAGGAGTAACTACAATAAGACTCTACCTGTAGGCGCTGTATCATGAATATCAAAAGCGTATTTGGCAATATGAGGCCGTCGTATATCCCAGACATGTATACGATTATCTGTCAATAGTGCACATGACGTGATTTCATGCTCATTGCCAGGTCGCCACTGAATACGAGATACTGATGACATTGTTCGGATCGTATACATTGGCCTTCGACTATCCACACTCATGTCCCATACTTTAATTGTCTTGTCGCGGCCTCCACTAGCTACGAAACGTCCTGATGGATGCCAATCCACTGTCAGACAAGGTCCATTATGTGCGCTAAATTTGCGTTCGTAAAGAGCTTTTGGATTTCGCATATCCCATTTCTTAGATAAAAAAAGAATACATAGTATTTAATGTCACACATTATAGACACAACGCACATGATCCTTCTTATATTTTACCTGAATTGTACCCGTTTCAAACGCAGCAGCAAATTCATGTTGATGAACAGGATTGAATTGTACATCGCGTACTGATTCTGACTTGCCCTCAAATCGATACCGGGAAGCGAGCTTGGGGTCACGCAAATCCCAACATTTCATGGTTCCATCTTGTGATGCGCTTAGCAGGATATTACCATTGTCCGGTTGAAAGCAGACACGGTTTACAGCACGCGAATGTTCGTTAATGACACGTTCTGTGGTGGAAATCAAGAAAATTATGCATAAGTTGTTGTTATTCGCTTAGTGAGTGCAATTATGATTTTACCCTAACTCTTTCACATCACTGAGTCCCCCCCCCTTCTTGTACTTTACCTGCCCGACGACCCGTGGTTCTGTTGATATCCCACAAAATAATTGCACCGTTTGTTGCAGCTGTTGCCAGCTTGGTTTTCGTTGCTGCAGTACACGTTACAGAGTTTGTTAGCTCGAGGACATATTGCACTTAGTCACGAAGGTTACAATAAAAGAGAGACTCCATGTGTACCATTGTTTCCCCATTTGACGTCGTTGCTGTTATAGTTGGTGCTTAAATGGCTACCTGCACGCAAATTTAATACTTCGCGTACCTGGTTTGGGTTTACAGCCAAGATCTTTAAAACTGAAAAAACAGAATATCATAAAAATTGCAGTAAAACACTATTAGATAGGGGTCATTATGAAGAAAAGTTTCGTGTAATTCCTTTTGTACCATCACGTCCAGCTACTGCTACAGCTTCACTGTCAGGCGATATCGCGATTGCAGTAAGTGCACCTTGTAAGCGATACCGAACAAGTCCATCGTGGCTGCCATCGTGATACTCGGGTTCAGTTATTGTATCTGACGAAAGTCGAGCTGTTGCCTGTGAAACAATACGTTGCATGCGACCACTGCTTGTTGATCCGGCAGAGTTCGGTCGATTGGACTTGCGCATGCTGTTCATATTATTTCCAAGGTCTTTTATGTATAGATGAAAAAGAAAAAGGTTCCGAACGAAGGGAGGCAAACTCCGCGGATCAAGAGGTCCTCTTGGCTTGTCTCTTTAATGCGCACAGACTACACGAACAACGTTCAGTTATGCTATAGTTCATGAGTGTACTATTGAATTTCTACTATAAAGTAATCTTCCTCTTTCTCTCGTTTCATATTTCTAATTGAGGCAGTACTCCGTATACGTACACTTGTCGATAATCTCTCCTGCTACTGGATGTGCGTTACTTATTGCCCTCGTTGACATGGCCATGCACAAGAGAGCAAATAGGAGCACGAAGGTCCCTCCAAGGACCCACTCAAACCAAATCTCAGATTTTGCAGTGTGCTCAACCACAAAAGATATTCTTGGTAGTATCGCAAACATCAGTGATAAAACAACATAACGATGAAACACAAATAAGACGTCCTGTACACTTTTATACCAATAATTCAGTAGATATTAATTGCTTTTAGTTGGGGGTCAAAACAGGTGGCACCATACAAAGAAACTTCACGAAGGGCAAGCTCGACCGGCGTCACGATGAGCGGTTGCATCGATATATTTATTGTTATGTGATAATGAGGTGAATGATTAATTGACTATGCTTAATTCGAGCTATTTGTAATCAATTATTGATATAATTCATGCTCGATCCAGTAATAGTTAACACAGCCATAGCAATCACCAAACTAAAAAACAACAGTTACTGATATCTCTTTTCTTGCTTTATAAATAAGATGACGATAGAACATTATAGGCTATCTGTTAGATAGCGAATATTTGCGGAAAATAATAGCCGAAGATATCAAATCAGACATTGCAAAATATACAGTACGCAGTAAGGTTCATGGTCCTTGCTTTTAAGAGAAAAAAAAAAGGCGACAACGAAATTGGCTCCGGACGTTGTTTACAAACAGGGTGGCAATCATCAGAGATGTTGCTGTGACGCTTATCGCTGTTTTGTTCCTTCTGTCTGTTTTGCTTTCTAACCATCGTTGGAAGCACGATATCTATAATACGGACAGGTTTAGTGTATCAGGTATCCAATACACGTAACTGATGCTCTTATCCATTCATCAGTAATAAACAGCATAAAAAGATGTGTGAGTTATAAAATCTTCCTTCCTTGTACATCGTATGCTTTATCATTAAGCAGATCAAATTCGATCTTACGAATGACGATTGAAATTTCCAAATCTATGGATTAATGGCGACACGAAAACAAAAACGTAAAAAGTTAGTATAGTCGTGTCTGTTAATGTTATACACCTATATTGGAGCCTTTCCCAGTCGTGTGAGAGAAAAAGGACTGCAATTCTTTGGTAACCAAGCGAATAAGGGAATCACACGACGATGATGCAGGACATCTGATCTGTCAAGACAGGGCAAGTCGTACAACCGCCACTTCGGCTCCCGACGCGGCTAATCTGATTGACCGCACCAATGTTACGGAAGATTCGGAAAAGATTCCTGAGAAATCATTCTTCATCCAGCGGGTAAAGACAGGTACAAAAACGATGCAATATACAATATATTGTCGTTTCCTCTTTATTGCGCACACTCTTTCTTTCCTTCTATTTTATTCTTGCAACATTCTTGATAGTTACTCTAAAGGAAAACATGGAATCAACTTTGCGATCCAAACAACATTCGACAAGTCATTCGACTAAATCAGCAGCTCCTCAGCCAACCTTCACTACTGCTACTACTACTACTGCTGCTACCAATACCATTTCCAAATCACCGCCGTTGCTCGCTCCTGCCATAACTGCAACGAGTGGTTCTTCTTCTACTATTATACAAAGCCATTCCGAGACGATTGATCTGACAACGCCACCTCGTCGCACGCGTATTACTCGAGCGTGTAAGCAATAAGATCAGTTTTCTGTCTGTCTGTCTGTCTGTCTGTCTTTTTGTTTCTTGGGCTTTTTCTAAATCAAGCACCATCTACTTAAATATCAGGTGACACGTGTCGACGGAAAAAGATAAAGTATGATCCGCACAGCCGGCTATTTACTCACTATGGCGTGTAATCCATTTGATGCAATTAGTAACAATCCTGCCCTCCTCCTCCCTTTTCCTCAATAGATGTGATGTAAACACGACGCAGCCATGCACTACGTGTCGACAATACCAGTGGAATTGCACTTTTAATGATGTAAATGTACAAAAGTATTACCAGGGAGAAAAAAAGTAGTACAACGAAATTTAACTACAACTGCCATCCCTAACCGACTTCATTTTTAGACAGCTAAAAAACGAGGACCACCGAAAGGGTAAAGTACAATTTCAGATGTTGATATCGAAAAGATGGCCAAGGGCTCTTGATCTAATGGTTTTCTTTATATATTTACAACTGTTGCAAAATTCTCCAGATACATCGAAAGTCTCGAAACACGACTGGAGAAAATGGAGCATTTGCTACAGCAGATGCAAGATAAGAAACGAAAGCGGCCCAATTCGTCTTCTGCCCTCTGTATAAAGAATATACTAGCCGACGAGGACGATCAAGAACACAGTAAGCAAGACAAAGATGAAAGCGATGACGAAGATCATCCTGCGGTCAAAAGAAACACACTATCATCGCCATCGCCACCACCATCATACAAACTAGGAACATTAACAACGGAGTCGTCTTTGATCGATTCATTACTCCACAAGTACGTATCCTAAAGGTTTTATTGTTGGATGACAGACAAACCCCCTTTCTAATTTTTAAAGGACCATAGGTTTTTTAACATCCATACTATTACGATGCCTGTTATTGACAAGAGCGCGTTTTTTGCAATATATAATGCTAAGAAGCATAACAATGTTAGCAGCAGTGACTGCATTAGCGCTACTACGATTTCACAATCACTTGTATACGCCATGTGCGCTTACACCTGCTATCGACTATCAGCAAAGGATCCCTTGTTTGAAACTAACAAACCGAGTCGCGACACTGCGTTCAGATACTTTACGGACAAGGCCGCCGACCTCATCAAAGATGAATATTTCGTTTCGCGACTGGCAACAGTTCAAGCGCTTATCTTGATTTGTGCACAGCCCGTTGTGGCCACCGATCAGAATCGTAACTGGGTTTTTAGCGGCTTGGCTGTCAGGATGGTAAGCACAATTGTTCCACTGTGTAATGTGTTCTTGTCAAGATGATGAGCCAAAAAAATTACTTTAAATTGATTGAGAATATAGGCTCAAGAGTTTCGATTACACCGACTAGCAACAAATCCTCCTTCTACCATCCAAGACGAAAAGCAACTGAACTGGTACAAACGAATATGGTGCGCCGTGTACAATATTGATCGATGGAACGCTGCAGCCATGGGTCGTCCACTTGCAATTGCCGATGCCGACTGCGACATTGCCTTGCCAACGCTACCGCATTCATCATCAGATGATTATCACCATCACGTTATCTTTATCTATCTGACAAAACTATCCTGCATTCTTGGTGAAATCTTAAGGACAATTTACACGCCACAGGCCAAGTACTATCTTCATCAATCACCGTCGTCATCGTCGTCGTCGACAGCAACAACAACCACAGGAGCAGGAGCAGCGGCTGTGGAACAGTTGTTGCAACGGTTACAGTGTGAACTGACACGATGGTTTGACGCGTTTTCAGCACAAGACATTATACCAGAAGAAAAGGCGTGGCCACTGACGGTTTGTTATTACGGCGTCACCTTAATGTTATACAGACCCTTCATTGACAACATTTGTAATGGCCGGTACGATCATATCCGGGCTTCGGAAAATTGCTCCGAGATTGCAAGGAAAATGACCAGTCTTGTCAGAGCAGCAAACAAATTGGATCTCGTACGCTTTGGTTTTATCTTTATAGGTAAAACGGTCAATACTTCTCTGCTGACCCTTTTTTTAAACACAATCAACAAAAAAAGATCGATTGACTGATATGAATGGTCTGCAATAGGATATTCAATCTATCAAGGATTGCTTATTCATGTATATGACATGTTTAGTGAGAATCTAAAAACTGCAGCAGCAGGACGCGAGTATGTCCGTGTCACCGTGGATGAGTGCCTGATTCCGCTCTGTGATGAGCTATCAGATGCTTCAGATATAAAGCTTATCATGGCATCTACGATGGAACTACTCAAGTCCGAAGGATCCAAATATGCGCAACAGCAGCAGCAAGAGCAGGGCCAACAAAAAGATGAAGAGAACGATCAGAGATGGAGACAGATACTTGGTTCTGCAGGTCCTCCACTTAATGAACTGGGATGGGCGGGTGAAATTAATTGGACAGGTAAGTGAAAACAAAGAGAGCCCTATTGCTACTACTTGGTCATGATAGCTAGTGGTCTCTCTGTGTGTCTAGGAAACGCACGCATGTATTTATGCATTATCTATTGTTAGTGTGGAACCACTCGCCATCCATGCTGTTGCAAAAACAGTAACTGTTTTCGAGGTCCAAGCGCCGCTATTCCCTCCCTAAACTCGCAATGCTTGTGTGTGACAGAAAAAGCATGCTTTTGAGTGAATGCGTACATAATACCCATTTCTTTATAATTCTTTCTCACTCACCCACCCTCTCTTCCCCTGTTATTTCTTTGTTGTCTAAACACACATTTTCCGAGTCTCCCTCACGCAAACACACACAAATATAAATAATAATAACCATAATAGTAATGCCGAATGGTGGTCGAGTCGATGCCATTGGCGATGATTTCACCGACCTCGACAGCATTCTTGAACAGGATGGCCGTTACACGCCTGGTTCCAATCTCCACTACAATAATAGCAATAACATCAACAGTAGCAATGGCAACAATCATGGATATCGAATCAGTTTCCAAAGTGTAGACGATGACGAATTGCATCGCCTTATGCGTGCACTAGTCACTCCAGTGCCTCATCGTTATTCGTCCGGGTCTCCTTGCAGCACCGAAAATATCGATTGGCGTCTTAAGCGACATGATGACACGGCTTCTCAGGCCAGTGATTCTTCGTCCAGTCGTAACCCAAACAACAATAGAAGTGAAAGCGTTATGTTGTTTAAGAAAATAAACGATGGTATAAAGATCTTTTCTTCTTTTTTGTTAATATCTACAATCATCGACGGGTGTGCTCAAAATGGAGCGTTACGGTTTTTGATATTAGGTGATGAGGATGTATCATTCGACTTGGTGGCAAGTGACCTTAACGATTTTATCGATCCAGTCATGCTGGAAGGTATCATGTCGCGGCCTGCAAGTCGCGCGCCTCGATCTACTACTCCTGGCCAACAGCAACTACGACAACAACCTCCACTAACACCGACTATTCCGGAAAGGTAAAACAAAACTTGATATTGTAAGCAAAAAGTTACAACTTAGCCGATATAAACATATTAGGAAGATTAGACAAGACAGTAAAAGGCAGCAGCAAAAACAACATCGCGCATCGTCAAACGTATCCACAGCAGCACCAGCACCAGCACCAGCTACCACTAATGCTACCAATACTACAAGAGCGGGAGTCTCTGATCACAATATGGACAGCGACGAACGCATGAACGAAATGCTATCCAAGTCTGCACAAAAGACGCGCGAGTTACTTGAAGCCATGGAACGATCTTTGAAAACAGAGCAAACGTACGCCACTCGCCGTCAACAACTGGTTGATGAACGTAGACACAGTAGTATCACTACCACGAATAATAACACCAGAGCAGCACCACCACCACTCGTAGCAGTACCACAACAACCTCGGAATCAACAACAGCGAACACGCATGATCTCTGCTAGTGAAGAAAAAGTCCAGCAAAAGCGGCAGAGTTTGGATATGGAGGGCATGTTGGCTTTGCGACGCGATAGTGATGCCATCATTGAACGACGACTTTCTTTACTTAAAGTGCGTGCCAATAAACTGTTGCAGACAGACGAGCATCAACAACAGCTGAATGACAATGATAAGAGACGACGTCGTTGGTCGTTTACGCCGATTGAAGAAAATCCCTCGTCGCCACCGCCGACTACAACTACAACCTCTCACCGTCCTCAGGACAGTGTTGACAACATGGATACCAGCAATAAACCCATTGTCGATCGTATGCCTGTCTTTCAAAGTGTACGGGCACGAACTCTCTCAATGCGAGAAACCCGGCATGAAAAGACGAGCAGACCCTATCATGAAGAGACAACAACAGCTCCCATTCTATCTTCATCATCATCAAACTCAGAAGCTACTACAATATCTCCTTATTTTTCTGCCACGGCAACAGGCTCTGATGCTTTGTCACATGGCAATAACAAGCAGTACTATCACCACAATCATCATGTGGAAGAAAAAGGAGAAGAGAAGAAGATGGAGGTTGAGAATCAAACGGAACGTGTGTCGTACATGCGTCGTGCAGATCTTTGTAAAAATACCAACAACAACGACAACCATAGTAGTAGTGTGAAAGAGATGTCCAACAAACAGCAGCCATCCGCACAGTATCGTCAATCAATCTCATCAAGGAGACACACGTTGTCGTCGTCAGCCGCGAACAGTACTATGAATACTGAATTGATGTCTGATGATCGTAATAAGCGACGATTAAGACGGCTGTCACCCACGCGTAATACCAGTAGCACTAGTAGTGGCAATTATGGTAATGGACAACAACAACCGCAGCATACGATGACAGCAGAAAAATTACGAAAGAGAGTAAGAAAAAACGAACAAAATATCGGTTATAGTTTAACGATGGGGGAACCTTAAATATCTTGTTGCTAAATGCACTATCTAACAAAAACACATAGCATAGTACAATTATCACAGCAGGCGACCTTGACCTGCCACCATCCCCTACTACGGCAACAGGCAAATCGGTCACTGAAACGGCAAAGGAACTTTTGAACAGTATCCGACAACGACGTCAAAGCACAGCTGAGCATCATCACCATCCTTCTTCTACTTCTACTACTACTACGCGTGCTACCCGAACAACATACCATCAATACCACCCACAGCATGAAGAACAGCGACAACAAGAGGCAGAAGCACGCCAAGCACGGCTACGTATGCGACGCAATACAGTCGTAGCCAATGGGCTCGACTATCATGATAAAGTCGACAATGACATTGTGGATGAAGATCGCATTACTCGTCGTATGCATCGATTATCAATTGCTGCTGACGACCATTATACAAAGAAACAGCCATCATCCTCCACAAGAAGCAAGTATCTCTACAATGAAGAAACAAATGGTAATATCAGATCGTCATCGTATAAGCATTATCTCGCCTAAAGATAGCCACCCACCCCATCCCCCCGGCCAGTACCACCACTTGCTCCTCATCCTCAAATCCGTCGTTTTCTATACATATCTCCATCTTCTCCAAACAATCCATACACTTACTGCTACTGTCATAAAACAACTTGTTCTATATTATTAATCTGTAAACTGTACATATACAATCAAAAAATTTCCCCATTTGCTTTAATTGTACTGTGTCTGACCTGAAAAAAAAAATATTTGATAATAATTTCAAGTTAGACGCCCTTACTTTCCTCTTCTTCACACTGTAAAAAGTAAAAAGATAAATAAATGGCGGATTCAACAACTGTACCTGTCATTATACAAGGGGACGACGCGATCGAAACGCACATTGTGTCTGCTGTCGATGCCGAAACTATACAGAAAGAAGAAGCATTGGGCAAACAAATCAAGAGGAAAGGCGGAAGAGGAGGCACAAAGAAACGATCATTATCGTCGCGTCGAATGGGAGTAGACAAGGCTGCAGAACTTGGCCTTACGGAAGAAAAAGCATCAACAACAACTACGACCAAACGATCTGCAGCAAGTCGAGTGATTCGTGTCAGTCGTCGTAATTATGAAGCCAAGTTACAAGAACAACTCCAATTACAAAAACAACAAGAGCAACAGCAGAAAGAACGAGAAGAACAAGGCATGAGTGAAGACGTTGAACATCACTATACCCTTTTACGTTCCCATTCCAATGAAGCATCGTCAGGTACTACGCATCCACAGAAACATTCACGTACTCGTCAGCGTCAACAAAATGAAAAAGAAGGAACAGCAAATGACGACGCCGACCAAGACGACGACGACACCAACGAGGCTGATGAAGATTCTGCTGTCGAAGATAAAGAAAACAATACGGGTCGATCGATATTTGGATTCAGGAAACAACATGGCAAGTCTATGCAATCCATGATGAAAAAGGCTATGGAGGAGCAACAAGAAAGTACTACTACTACTACTACTACAAGAAAGGGTGGTAGTAAACGCTCTACTGCCAAACAATCTGTGGATCACGGAAAACGACGACGGATACAACGACAGATTGAACTTTTAAAAGACGACCGACAAAGTGACGAAGACGACGATGAAGAAAAAGAGGAAGAAAGCGACGACGAAGAAGATCATGACACGGATGTGTTGGTTGGAACTGAAGGCTATTTCCAAGCCTTACAGGGCAAATCCCAAACGTCCAACAACACCATGTCAAAACTGCCTGTGCTGGAACCACAAGAATTCTATGACATTCTCGAGACAATGGCACTGGCCAAACATGCTGACGACATTGCCACCTTGTTTTCAATGCACAAGTTACATTTCAACGAATGGTACTTTAAACTCCATGCCGGGTTCAATCTGTTGTTATATGGCTATGGTTCGAAACGACGGCTTGTCAACGATTTTGTGCAATCGTCCATGACCGATGGTGTCGTCCTTATGATCAATGGATTTTTCCCTTCCATCACCATCAAGGCTAGCTTATCCAAACTGGTCGTCGATGCGCTGGACGTCACTGCTTCCCCACCCGCACAAATGCAAGATCTTGTAGCATTGATCAGCAACTATTTCATGGATGAAAACCGTAGCTACGAACGCCTCTATCTGATTGTCCACAACATTGACGGCAGCACATTACGTAACGAACGATCACAACAAGCATTATCAATGTTGGCAGACACGCCCAACATTCATTTGATTGCCACGATTGATCATATCAATGCCGGGTTGTTGTGGGACAATGTCAAGACGTCCCGATTCAATTGGCTCTGGCACGACGCAACGACATTTGATGATTATTTGGTTGAAACAAGCTTTGAAAACTCATTGTTGATGCGGTCTGGAGAATTGGGCGGTGCGCGTGGCATCCAGTATGTGTTGCGGTCCTTGACGTCTAATGGCCGTGGCGTGTTCCGGGTATTGGCAGAACATCAGTTGATGGAGATGGAAATGGAAGGAAACGATACGGCAAGAGCTAACGAGTCGATGGGATTACCGTATCATCGCTATTATGATGCGTGTCGTGAAAGCTTTTTGGTGTCAAACGACACTCAATTGCGATCGTTGCTCACGGAATTCATTGATCACAAGATCATTCATGCCAAACGGTCGGCGGATGGCACAGAGGTGTTTTACATACCCTTGGACAAGTCGACTCTGTGCAATGTCTTGGAAGAAATATCGGATCAGTAGTAGTTTCATCTTGAACTTCATTTTCACTTTTGTACATAGCATTTCTTTCTTTCTTTCTTTTACATCCCTGGCATTTTCATTCCCCATATATATCCCTCCCTCCCTTTTAACTTTCTCGGTTTACTGAATACATACATTTATATTATACTCGCTCAGCCCAATCCCTTACACTTGTGCTGGAGAAGCTTACTCCATATGGCTGTGTAACCATCAAACAAACAGAACTGTCTATACGTGATAGCATAAATCGAATGATGCTGTCAGTTGAAATGACAATGGAATATGTTTTTCAACCCGCGGCCATTTTTTCTAAAGCCAAATATATAACAAACACTACATGGCATCCGACATCAAACGAGGCCCCCTGCCAGCTAATATTGCTGTTACGTCTGCCCCTCTTTTCTTCTTATTATTACTATATTCCCCACAATCCGGACGACGACTGTAACGTCAAAAAATAAAAAGACATGGCAGAAGGAATCGTACACGAATCCAAAAGACATCGGACTGCAGGACCAGCGGCCCCACTCACGGAACAAAGCATTACAAACCTCGGCAATAATCTTAATAGTATGTTTAAAGAAAATGCTACTAACTGTACAAAATATCCATACATACGAGCCTAACTATACCCTATTTATCAAGTCAAGCACTGGATGAACTGGGAGAAGCATATGGACACAATCATGATCATGACCAAGCCATATGATAACTCGCTTGTTCGATATACACGTCAAGTAGCCGAATGGATCATTACCACGCAATCGTCTGGAAGGGAGGAGCCATTTACAGTGTAACGTGTATTAATTCTAGTTCTCATTGAATGATAAAGAAGAATCTAACAAAAAGTTTTTCGTCAAAAAGTTATGTGGATGGACACTTGGAAAACTCAAAGCGATTTGGGTATCAGGAATTAGTAAAACAAAACGACGTTTTTAAAAAACATCTCAAGTTTTGGACACCCAAGCTATGTTTCAAGAGTCCAGAAATGTTCCATTTGATTATTCTGGTATGTTCATTTTTTAAAGTATCATCAGCAACGGCACTGTATGGCAAACAGCTCCCTTTCCTTTTATATACATCACCTTATTAAACCATTGTGTATAACGGGGCATGACAGTTAGGAGGCGATGGAACCGTTTTGTTCACGTCTTGGTTATTCCAGACCTACGTACCCCCTATCATTCCATTCCATCTCGGATCACTTAGCTTTTTGACACCATTCCCTTTCAAGGAATATCAAAAGTCGCTCCACGAAGTGTTTAGTGGGAAAGGTCCACGCATCGCACTAAGGATGCGTCTCTCATGCACCATCTATCGCTATGTGGATGATCCGGACTACTGCAAGACCCGTGAAGCCAAACAGTGTGCTATTACAGGTGCTATATGGACGCGTAAAGCGCAAAGTGACGGCAAAGACATGCGGTGTCAGTGGCAGCTCATGGAAACCGAGTGGATGAAGGATCATGTGATTAACCAAGATGGAGAGCAAGAGGCGACAAACGACGAGGCCACTCAGAATAATGATGACGATGATAGCCACACACGACCAATCCCATGCTACACGACCGTGCCTGGTGAAAATTTCCAAGTATTGAATGAACTAGTCGTGGATCGAGGCCCGTCGTCTTATATGGCCACGTTGGAATTGTTTGGTGATGAACAACACTTGTGTACAGTCGAAGCGGATGGATTGGTGATAGCCACCCCCACTGGCTCCACTGCTTATTCTGTAAGTATTAATACAGACCACACTAAAGTTGCCAAAAGAAAACGGATTGCAACCAAAAAAAAAAGCTAAAAGTGAACAACACCAACTGTTAGTTATCCGCGGGCGGATCTTTGTGCCATCCATGCGTACCTGCTATCCTTATTACACCCATCTGTGCTCACACGCTCAATTTTAGACCCATGCTACTGCCACATACAACCACGGTCCGTGTGGTAGTACGATCCACCGCACGGTCTACAGCGTATTGTAGCTTTGATGGCAAATATCGGGTCGAGCTTAGACGTAAGTAGTATACTTTTTCTCCTACATCTTGAGCAAAAAATTATAACCAGATATGCGTGTATATATACGTCTGTGGCTCTGAATTCTTTGGTTTTGGTTGTGTTATTTTTAGGTGGTGACCATATTAGCATCACATTTTCACGTTATGCCATGCCGACGATCTCTCGTAAGGATACAAACCATGATTGGTTCGAGTCATTACAAAAGTGTCTCATGTGGAGCCAACGGGCTCAACAAAAGCCATTTGTCGTCGTCGAATCCCATAAAAAAAAGAATAAGCACACTAAACGTCATATCGTCACAGAAGAAGAAGAAGGAGGACGTGAACACGGCGATGGTCAAACAACAGCAAAAACTGCTACTACTACTTCAGGGACAAACACACCCTCAACAACAACAACAACAACAACGTCGGAGAGTGGTAGCGAACAAGTGTTTGCATGTATTGATCAAGACGAGGATCCAAAGAAACAAAAACCGGTCAGCGACGAGACATCCAATCAGGATGATGACGAGGAGGACGACCAAGAAGACGAAAGCTTTGAACTAGTGCCTTGGACTGAAGAAGAATTGTATCGAGAAATGATGACTTTGCTTAAAAAATAGAAAGGAAATATTTATTATTATTATTAGTATTTACAATGTTATATGGTTTTATTAATATCATTTTTTTTTCTCCATAAAACTGCAAGTCTTTCTTTCGATTAGAAGGAAATGTAAAGAGAGAGAGAGAGAGGCGAGAGCATAAGGTTTTTTTTATATTACACAAAATAAAAGTGGGTGGGAGGTTGAAAATAAATATTTTTTGTATGAAAGATGAAGATGATGATGTGATTTTTGGGAAACAATTATAAACTGGGGTATATACATATACAAACATGAGATGTGGGGGAGAGAAGAGACTTTTAAAGGACAATCAACGCATGGTTTTCCAGAATGGACCAGAATCGAACGAGAATTCCTTCAATAGCTGAGGACACATTGAAGATGGCAACGTATCGGATGGGTACCTAGGGATGACACCTGGCGTGTTAAGGCCTCCTCCTACTGTCTTTTTCATCATAATCACTGTTGCCGGATCGCCTACTGCTCCTCCCGAGGTCGTAGCGGTAGCAGTATCCCGCTTGTTATTCCTATTACAGATTTAGTCTTAAGACAGAGTGTCTTTATACACACAAACAGAGAGAGAGATAGAGAACTTACGAATCTTCATACAAGAATACATCAGATGCGTTGGGAGCAAATACTTCTTTTTGCATTGAATCCAATGATTGGAGATAAACGAGACGGGAAAGAAATTCGATGCTATCGAAATCCAAAGCCATTTCTTGTGGTTCTTGCTGTTGTTGTTGTTGTTGATTGTCGGTATCCATGGCATCGAACGGATCGGTCGGATAGAACGTTTGTTCAGGCGTACTGGCTTCACTAGGGCTATTGTCATCACTGCTACTGGTTGTACTACAGTGATCATCCAAATCCATGGCGGCCGTAGAATGGTGCTGTTCTGCTACTTCTGCTGCGGTCAATGCTTCAATTGCTGTTGATGATGACGATGATGATGGCGGTGTCACAATGGACAGCATGACTCGTCCTACTTGTTGTTGAGATGGTTGTGGCTTTTCAAATCGGCGACGATGACGACGGCGTCCTCGTTGTTGCAAAAGAGGTGGCGGTGGAGGCGCATTGTTCAAGTTATAATCATTCGATTCTGAATCATCGTCACCATCAGAAGAGCAAGACAACACATCATCATCATCATCGGTGGTTGGACCCTTTTTAGCAGCTGCAGCAGCGGCGGCAGCAGCGGCGGCCATTTGTTCACTTTGTCGACGTGCAGCAAAGCGCCAGGTCATTGAACTGACAAGCTTGTTCGTTTCTTTGCAACCGCCCAATGCAACAAAGCAGAGTGGACATCGAAACGTTTTGCCCAATGCGGCTTCACTCATTTTTAAACAGTCGAGATGGAGCCATCGCTGACAGTCGTCGCATTGAACCATAGGTCCGAACTCTTCATCCGGCGTATCACAAATGCATTTGACAACACTTGTGTAAGACATGACATGGCGCGAGCTGCGTCGTAAAAGTGCGGGTTGTTGTTGTTGTTGTTCCATAAGTCGCTTCGTGGTCGGTGGTCGACCGGGCCGCCGGCGTCGATCCGATAAAGCACTGCGCCGGGTTGCCAAACGGGGTGCATTAGCTGGTTTTTGTTCTTCTGAGGGATTTTTCTAAAGTTAGCACCTGTCCTTGCTGTCTGTCACGCTTTCAACTTTTCCCTCCACTTGTATCACATTACACAAACACACACAGAGAGAGAGAGAGAGAGCCATTCGCTTTTTACCTTCTCTTGTTTGCACGACTGATGGTGCTGTTGTCTTCTTTTTCTCTGGTACGTCCTTTTCTCCTTGTTCCGTTGTTGATGGTACTTGACTGATCTTGTTCTTGTCGGATCCTTCTTTTTGCTTTGCAAAAGATGTAGTAGTGCTCACAGTGTCCTTGTCAATCACAGAACGCATTCTTGTATTATAGCTGTGAACATGCGATTCAATCAAACGAGCACCCAAACGCGCAGCATCACACCTTTTCATGTTGCTAATGGTGGCAGTCTCACCATCTTTGTCTCGTCGTAGACAGGTACGGATCTTGTTCTCTTCTTTTAACCTTTTTTCTGGTACAGTAATTTCAATCTTGTGGTTATTGCCGTTGCCGCCACAGCCATTGTCGCCTGTTTGTTTGATATCCACACGAGTACCCGTCTCCTGGGCAACAAACGTCAAGTATTGCTTTAGCAACGTCAGATTGTTCAATCGCGATAACAACAAGGGTTTTGTTTCCATGACAGCAGACGTAGCATCATCACTGCTAGCACCATCAGTAACAGCAGTAGGGTTGTTGTTGTTGTCGTTGCGTTTGCTGGTACTATCGTCACTACTACCATCATCATCATCATCTTCATGGGCACCTGCGAGTTTCGACAAGGCTTTTGAGAGACGTTGCTTGAGTTGCCTGGCGATAGCGTGAATGTCTGGTTGAGCGTGGGTTGTTGTGGTGGTGGTGGTCGTGTGATGATGATGATGATGAGCTGTACTCCTCCTGCTGCATGTTTCTGCAGGTCGTTTGACTGCGATTTGAAAAGTTCTGACGTGGTGCTTTGACACCTTGTGGCGCATCATCGTCTTTCTATCCTTTTGACGCAGTTCACCTTGATTGCTAAGTGATCATTTTAGTATAATGAATAGCATGTGTGGCAGTAGATAACACACACAAGACAGGCCCACTTTGAGTTTCTCTATGTGTGTCAAATAAACAAATGTGTCATTTTACCTTGCGTTAGTAGTAGTAGTAGTAGTAGTAGTAGTAGCTTCTTTCATGATATTTGAGCGGCGGGGAGAGGAGAGTGGGAACGAGTTGTGTGCAGACAAGAAGAAGAACGGGATGCGAGGTGGGATGAACTGTACAGAAGTTTGGCGGGGAAGGGTAAGATGGACTAAGCGCAACACAACACAAACGAAGAAAGAAGAGAGAAAGAGAGAAAGAGAGGGGAGAAAAGAAGAGTCAAATCTTGACCAAAAGCTTACATGTAAAAAAGGTCTGGATGGCTTTTGGACGGATGGCTTTTTTTGCGAGCTTAACCAAAATGGTAAAAAAAGCAGGGAAACTGGGTGTCTTTTCTGTTATGAGTGCGTGTATGCGCATGTCAAATACGGGTGTGGGGGTGGGCAGAGTATGGTTTCTCTTTCTTTTTTGGGGGAGTGTGTGTGTTCTCTTTTTGAGTTTTTTTTTCCTCGTACTAACCATGTTTGGTCTTGCTTTTGTTTAATCCCATCTGCATATTGTGCGGACCACCATTGCCAGCAACACAAATCTCACTAAAAAATGAAATATTCTATTCCATTCTCACTACTATACTTTATAAACACATGCGTACATACAGCAGTATCTCCGTCTGTCAGTTTCTGTCTACTTAGCGCGATCACAACGTCGCACGTTCTTTCAAGGGCAAGGACTGAATGATGTATATACAACACCGGTCTCAAAGGAAGTGTATGTGCCAAAAAAAAAGAATCAGAGCGATCGTCGCTTGGTGGTCGGGGCATACGACCCAAAGGAAAAGAGGAGGGAAGGAAATACGTTTATCGAACAGTGGCACAAAAGTCACACGGGTAAGAAACAGTTTTTAAATGTCAAAAAGAGATTATTGCTACTATCACCACTATTTCGCATCACCACCGCAATGGACAGCTATGACGGGGATGCAGTCAACCGAGGCACATACTAACCACAACATAAACAAACAAAATAAACAAACAAAAAACAGTTTTTTTATTTCAACAGGGTAAACACATCCTTTTTTTTACTTGGCACATAGCAGCAGCAGGCAGGGCCCTTCCGAAGATGAGTTAGAAGCAACCCCCCACCTATGATTATGTATGTACAAGAAATTAGAGAGAAAGATGTCACATAGAAAACTTTGCTTGCTTGACCACGCCCTAGAACCGAACAAGAGACTCTCTCTCTCTCTCTCTCTCTCTCTCTCTCTCTCTCGTTGTCTTATTAACTCATAGTTAAATTAAAGGAAATTATAATACCTGAACTTGCAGGGGGGGGAAGAGAGAGGAGTTGCCCTGTAGGAGAAGAGCAAGTAGTAGTAGTAGTACATGAAGCAGCCGCTGAAAGGAAATGAAAGAGATTGAGACGATGATGTTTTCTTTGTCGTCGTGAGATTATAAGATGCCTGCTGGTGGCTGCTTCTGCTGCTAAAGATACACCATTACATACACATACATACATGCTCTTTTATTTTAGTTTGCAGGTTTGTTTGGAGACTTACACACCTTCTTCTGATGTCAGTTTTTAAAACAAATGAAATGCATCAAATTGCTATCTAATACTACTATACCTGCTAACATGAATACATGCTCATTTTGTACGTAAAACATGATAGTGCTTCATTCTTCTATACGTTCTGCGTGAAAAAGTAATATACTACTTTTGCGCCTATAAGCTACATATTGTAAGGTCAATCTTCCAATAACTTGTCATCCGGTAATAGAAAGAATAGAGACATGTACGTACATACAAGCAAAGTTTTTGGCAGGTGCCCAAAAGAAATGATTTTAAAAAGAACGATGCATCTTGTTCTTTTTAAAGTAATGCACTTGTGGCGAGTATTAGCGCATTGTTATTGCCACCTGTAACTGTTTATATCGATCCCCACTTGTTCATGGCACCCCAAATATTTTGAATGCTTTTGCGTGTATGTGTGTGTGTGTGTGTGTATGTGTGTGGGAAATTAACTCATCGTCAATGCTAATGTAACTCATACCACAGTATGTAAACCCCCAAGGATAGCAATGACAAAGATAACATCATAACCGCCCTCTCTACGTTTAAACTAATCATCACGTCGTTATTATGAAACACATTCTTGATGCACTTTTTATTAATAAACTTTTACCTAGCGAATGATGCGTTGATCATCCCAGTTCCCATTTGGTACGAGATATCCTGCATGATAGCTATGGACTTTAATCCATATATCGAAGCGTGGTAACTACACTTTGATGCTGCATTCCATCATGAGAATCAAACGCTTGTAGTGTAGTGGATCATCATACTTTAGTCATTTTTCTGATCTATGGAAAAACTGCTGCTCTCTCTTTCTCTTTGCTCGCATCTGCTACTTGCTATGTACTTGTAAGCTTGCTCTCTCTCTCTCTCTCCTTCAGAAACATTTTCGAGAAGAACAACATTCCAAAGAGACTGTAAATGAAAAAAAAAGTTTAATTTAAAGTATACAAAAATACTCTTCTCCTTGGATTTTCAAATCAGCCAAGCTGGTCAATATGCTCAAAGTCAAAGCCCTTGAAGGCTTGATGGCTGCAGCAGCAACGTTTTTTTCTTCCTTGGCAAATGATTCAATTAAAGAAAAAATCCCCCATCGCTAGACATTATTACTGCGGCCGCATAGAGTATATAATAGACAGACTTTTCACTGTCTTGTTGTGCAGTAGCAGTCTCATATTTAAGCTTTTCCACGCACGGCTCAGTAACTTTTGTCCCTTTCTACCCATCATTGGCCTGTAGTATGTAGGGACGCCTCATTGTCACAAGAAAAGAGATTACAGGGACCAGACCTAGCCAATCAAAATCGTTCTTGACACGAACAGGTTGCCCGCGAAAAAGAGACGCGCGATGGTCGGCATATAGTCAAAGTCCTCTCCACCCTCCTTTTTGTCTGCAAACGGCTGTCCAAAAGAAAAGCGAAATGTCAAGCGCGCCTCATTGCCGTTGTGGTCGAGAATGCGTCAGTTATGAAGTGAGAAAACCGGGTCCTAATCGAGGCAAGTGGTTCTGGAGAGTAAGCATCTTGAGAGAGTTTCTATATGTTTTTTTTTTTTTTGAATGAATGAACGCCACCGTTCATCCCCATCTCGTGCGATTGTTTCCAAGTTGGGAAAACAATTCTTGTTATTTTGGACACTCATCGACATTTAATTAGTGTGCTACTCAGGCGTGTGGATACTTTAAATGGGACACGTCTGCCAGTAAATTCACAGTCCATCCTACGAATGCCTATGCTCTAGCGCAACCAGCAGTGACACTGAGTCGAGGAAGCGGACCAGGAGGATTCATGAACAAACCCAACCTGGACGCACAATACTTTATCGAAAAGGCAAGCAAAAAGAAAACCGAGATTGAATTCCGGTTACATTCCACGTCTGAAATCACGATCCGCGCCGATCTCAATCCGACCCTGTTGCCAGCGCTACAAAACATTAGCAATGCCGTGTGGAACGAAGCATTACAACGGTGGCTCCTTCCTGCAACGTCGCAAGCCTATGCACGCGCACTCCAACAGATCCCATTGGCCCCGAATTTAAACCTGAACGTGATACGGCTGTCCAACGCATTAAAACAAGTCTTGCACGAACAGACGGGCTTGTCGGATCACACGGTGGATATTCGGGAAACTGATGTCGAGGAAACGATTCGCAACATACGTGACTCGGCTCTTTGGAAGACACTCAAGCCGTTCCAACAACAAGGAGTACGATGCGCTCTGAAACGTAACGGAAGACTTTTGCTTGCGGATCAGGTTGGCAAAAAGTTGCAAGCGTTGAGTGTGGCTCTGGCGTACCAAAGCGAGTGGCCCCTCTTGATCATCTGTCCGAAAGATGACCAGCCTGAATGGCATCGTTTGGTCATGGATTGGTTGCCTGTGACGGAAAAAGATATCCATGTCTCCACTGCAGTCACGAATATTTTGGGCAAAACGCGCAAGCGCACCATTGCTAGTGCCGTACAGAAGGGTCTTTTGGTCAAATCGAAAAAGAGAAAAACGAAGACAGTGTCGGCAACAGTAAGGAGGGCACGGCGGTTTATCCAGACTCAAGCCAGTGCCACGAGTGATAGTAGTAGTGGTGATGATGATGATGATGAAGAAGAGGAAGAAGAGGAAGAAGAAGAGATAATGGGTACCAACGACGACAACAACGACGGCGAAAACAAATACAATGTATCACTCTTCTCGTCCCACAAGATCCACATCGTCAATGATGAATTGGCGAACAAATGTCACAAGCAGTTGCTGGAACGACATTTCCGTGTGATTATTTGTGACAAAAGCCATAGCTACCTCAAATATCTTCCAGTAAGCAATAGCCACTCTTTTCCTCCCTTTTAAAAAGTATACTCACCTTTCTACATTCTAACAGAGAAAACGTGCCCAACACTACCTGCCAATGCTAAAATCCTGCAACCGACTGGTAATGCTGACAGACGATTTCAATTTCGAGAAACCCATCGAATTGTTCACACAACTCAGTGCTCTTCGGCCCGATCTGTTTTCTGACTTTCGACGCTATGGCCAGCATTACTGTAAGGCGGCGCAGCAGGTCTTTGGATGGGACTATTCGGGCAGGAACAATCCGGTTGAGCTCAGATACATTGTCGACAGGGCGATATGGTTGAAGCGGACCAAAGAAGATGTGCAGGATCAATTGCCTTTGGTTTAAAAAAAACTCACTACTCTCTATTCCAAAAAAAAAAACCCCCATCTATTCCTTTTAATTTGTACATTTTCTAGTTTATAAGCTTGTATATCTTTCTTTGGCACATATCTGCGACAGCTCTTTGTATAAACACACACAGCACATTATTTACTTTTTATCCCAAAAGCCACACACACACACACACACACACACACTCCTCAAAGCAGCATAAACGTTCAAATGAATAAATCGTATATATAAATATATATATATATCACATAAATAGCCATAGCAGCACAGAAAAATAACTAAAATATAAAATTTATACTTTGGGGAAACCACAGAACAAGAAACCTTGATCATCATGGCACACCGATCCCGATGAGCAAGAGCGCTGGACCCACTTGTTAAAGCTACAAGTAAGCCAGTGAGCCGACTGGCCACTGCTGATACAACGTTGCTCACCAATGACAGGGCAGTCCTCTTGAGCGACGACCAAGGAAGGCGACGATGCGGCTACTGCGGGATTGGATGATGCTGCTGCTGTTGGCATGGCCAGACCTGATGTGGCTGCGAACGTGCGGCTGTTTTGGGCGGCGACCTGGGATGCCGAGGATGAAGCTTTGGGAATGGGGACAACAACAGCAGGTGATTGTTGAGACATGCTAGCAACAGAGGAAGAGGCAACCACTTGTGCAGATGATTGTTGTTCTTGAGGAAAAGCATGGATGACAGTATTGGCTTCGGATGGGCAGTTTTCTGGAGCGGCGTCATTATGGATAGTGTTGGCCACACGGAGCAGCTCACCATTATCTTGATGCAAGTCCCTATGATGCGTTTAAAGAAAGTTGTCATTGTGATTAATAGAGAGAAGATGGGATAATAAGAGAGGCAAAAAACAAACAATCTTTACCAAACCATGACACCAGCAATATCTTCACATAAAGCATGATCGACCTTGATCTGAATCGATTGCGGATCATCGTACGAGATATAAATGTTGTTTTGAGCATTAAAGAGCCATGGGGTCTTGGAGACATCGTCCCAATAACGTTGCCATCCCTCACCGGGGCTCTTTAGATCATCCAAAATCACACCCTCCGATCGCAGGTTGCGCCACTTCCATACACCGGATGTGCCATCGATATCTGCTGCACAGTAAGGGTTGCTCCAGTAAGCATCATCGGCATCGCCCTTGGGTGCACCGACCTTGGCTGCTTGGTATTGCGACAATGGGTTTTCGGTCATGTCCACTTGTGCTTGCATGGATCGACCATAGAACGCAAGACCGGCTGTCAGCTTTTCGCCTGGAATACCTGCTTCTTTCCACTTGCGAATGCCTTTTTTTCCGTGTTGGATGGTTCGTTAGTTTTTTTTTTATAGTTACAAAATTCCAAATAGGAAGGGACGCTTCTGTTTTTTTAAAAGGAATAGCTAGATAGACGTACTTTCAACAAAAGAGTAACTGGCACCCTTGCCGTCTTCGTATTGGAAAGGTGCATTAGGACCTGTTTCTTCAGCCCATGCGCCATTGATATCTAAAGAAAAAGAGGGTTCGTCTCACATGTCAATATACAAAAAAGCAGTTCATCACAATAAACAGTTGTTCTTTTTTACCATAAGTCATCAAGTTGATATGGTCAACGACTGAAGCGAAGCCGCTCACATCCTTCATGGGCGTGCCATCAGGACCGGTAAAAGGATCAACGTGGACGGCCATAGAGACTTCCTTGTGGTTATCCGGGAACCGCTGATCCAATGCCTGACGAAGTTCTTGCAAGAGCAGCAAGAAATTTTCTGCGTCATTGGGTGCGACTTCATTACAACCGGCTCCTTGACGGCCTGGATACTCCCAATCTATCCATTCATTTCTCAAATGTGTGAGAATTATAGTTGATTTTCTTGTGAGAGAGAGAGAGAGAGAGAGAGAGAGAGAGCTTTTTTTTTACCCAAATCAACACCGTCCGTTTGATAGGTCTCGATGAAATTCAAATTCCAGTCAATGAATGCTTTGCGAGCGTCAGCAGACGCTACCATGGGACTGAACCGTTGGGAGCCGGTCCATCCACCAATCGAAAGTAAGATTTTGGTGCCTGCTTGGTGAGCCAAGTCCACAATCTTTGGCAAATAGGCTTCGACGGCCCAGTCATCCGGGAAGGAAGGCAAGTTGCTTTCATCGTTCAACATTGAAAATGCTGGTATGTTATGTATGTTTATCATTAGCGTCACTTGGCTTTGGGTTTGGGGGTGGGGCTGCATATTATCTTTTACCATAGTTGATGTGAGTGTATTCAGTGTAAGGGATTTGTTCTACAGGATAATTTGCATAAAGCCAGTTTGGAAAGTAGCTGATTTTTTTTTTTTTTTTGGTGTGTCAGTTCTTGATTCCATGTACATGGGCCTTTTAAAAGATACATGGACTCACCCAATAAGCATATGCTTTGACGATACTGAAGACACCAGTACGACAAGCAACGCGACCAAGGTGTACAACGCCGCCATTGGTAAACGCTGAGAGATGTAAGAAAGTATGTAAAAGAGACGTACGTATGCGTTATCACAGTGAGAAGAAGGGTCATCATTTTTTATACAACAGCTGGTATGTCCAGTGCAATTTAGAATATGATCCACCCACCGCAAACCCAACATAAAGAATGCACACAAGTTCTAGTGTGTGTCATGTATAAAGATGTAATCCGTGAGCATGTGGATCAACGACAGAGCATGAGTACGGATGATGATGATGATGATGATAGGTCTTTTATTACACACAACAACGAAAGAAATTTTGCATTATCGTTCCTGACGATTGTCGTCATCAATAATGCCTGCCATCCGCAAAAGTTCGCGGTCCACTTGGTTTCCATCTGCTTGTCGAAATTGTAAGCCGGCACGTCGTACCGCTTCCCGCTTCTCAAACTCCCATTCACGTTCCTGGACCTTTCGTGCCTTTTCGCTGCCCATACCAAACACCTCGATATCAATCGTTTCAAACTTGACATTGAATCCGGACTTTTGACGGGTACAGGCTGAGTTTTCAAATGTGGGTAAAGATGGGTATTGTTCCTGAGCATAGACGCCTTGTTGAAGGGTATTATCCAATTGCAACAAAAAGTTAACAGAAGAAGACGACGGATGTCTTTTGTTGAGCATTGATGACGAGGAGGAGACCGGAGGAGCAGATGATTTAGAAGTGCCACCCATAGCAATGCCAAAGTCGTCGTGATAGTAAATATATTGGTTGTTGCGTTTTGTTGAGCGATACACTTGGAACGTCGGCCACAGTTCAAACACAAAACATGCGTCGTTTCCCCAATAGTGCCGCGACGACTGCTTCCATGCTTCGGAAATGTAAGCGCCAATCAGAATCGATTTGTTTGTGTGCAATTCCTCGCCTTGGATCACCATCAGTGTGGGACCCGGATAGCGAAACACGTTGCGTTCGAATCGGTTCATCGCAAACCCGTCTTGGTTGGCCGAATAGAGACGCGGCCACATCTTGACACGACGCGCAATCTCTGGCAAACACCAGCACAACAGTGCGCAATAAGGTAGCGTCAAGATGTCAGATGTATCTGGTGTGGATACACTGTCTTCTGGAAGAATCAGGTCCGATACAGTCGTCAGCGACGTTTGGCCGCTCAAGGCAAATTTGCCATAGATGAAGGATTGGATCGTTTTGAACAGGTAAGGTGCATTACGTCGTTTCCATGCAAAGAAATGCCGTTGCGATACTTGATCTTGGTTGCTGTCGCTGCCATCATTATTGCTGCTGCTGGTGTCGCTGGTCGGCTGCATACTATCCACCATCGCGCGTGCCATCCGTCTCAGTGTCTCCACACTTTTATCATCTCCACTACCCATCTTGGTTTGTTCTTGCTTTTCCATTTGAACAATATACAGCATCAACGTAAATAACTCGACAAGGTCACGACAGAGCATCATGGCTGAATCATCGTCATCGTCGTCATCGTTGTCGTCGTCGTCGGCTGTGCTTTTCCTTTCGGCGTCCTGTTGGCCAAAATCCAAATCGTCAAAACTGACGCCTAGATCAGCAAGTGATAGCCCCTTTGTTCTTTTCTCCTCTTCTTTTTCATGCTGCGGCACCGGTAGTGTGTTGGGTTGTTCCTGTTCTGTTTCTGTTGGACTAGCGGGTTTGTTGCTTGCTTTTGAATGAACAACGGCCAGTGATTCAAAAAACATGTCTTCAAAGAGCGAGGCGTCGAGATTGTCACTGTCATCCATCTTGCCCGTAAGCAGCACAAATGCTGTAAGAAACGCCTCAAACGTCAGAGGCACCGCGGACGAACAGTTTGGATATGAACCGAGGTATGAGAATGATTTGAACAACAGAATGCCTCCTTGTTCAACTGAACGTGGCAGGTTCAAGTGTTCCTATACACATACATATATCTTTTGACGTTAGCGTCACACCACTCACATTAAACAAAAGAGAAGGGTTCCCTCGCTTTATATTGGGCAATGGACGAGTTGTGTGAACTCACCAAAAACTTTTTAGCTTCAATGCATTCAAAATGGTCAGGGTATTCTGTTTTCAGCTCGTCAAAAACTTGATGAAGGGAATAAAGTTCAATGCGTTTCAGTTTGCGTTTGAATTGTAACAGTGTCGCGTTGGACCGGTCGCCCAAGGATGAGCATTCGGTGGTACTGTGTTTGCCAAACGACAATGTGCTCGTGTTTTCGCCAATACCGGAGGATGGTCGGCTCTCTGTAATATTGCTGTTGTTTTTCACTGTTGCTTCTTTGGATTTGGATTGATGTTGGCCCATTGTTTCTTTTTCATATCCATACAGTAGGAGTGGTGAGGAGGGGCGAAGCTTTAAATTTTCTTTTTTTTTATGCGCGCTTCATTTTTTTGTTGTATGCCCGCTTCCATGCAAAAGAAAAATATCTGTCTCGGTGCTACGTTATGCTTGGTGGGAAAATAACTGCGCAAAGAGTGCCATTGTCGAGCTTTTTTCTTATGAGCTCATTGCTTTTAAAAGTTTAAAGAATGGGCATTTTATATATGTCTGCCTGGGGTGACATAATAGACCATGGAGTTTCTTTTCTATGCCAATATGATCAAACAACAACAAGTCGTGTATCATTGCTGTGGAATAGCATGCTTTACTAAAAAATAATCATGAATGACGATCCGATGTGTCATCTTTTGGGGTGGACCGAAAGGTATATAGAATGCCTCAACCAGCCGTTGTTACACAAGCATTGATGTCATTGTTGAATGCCTCATTTTCCGGTAGGATACGTGGGTTTTGATGCATGCGCAATCGACAGCGCTCAGAGTACAATCTGCAATGACGACTTTTCTCCTTCTTTCAGGGAGAAACCCAAGGAGAGGGGGTAACTCTTTGAAAACAGCATTAGCAGTAGTAGCAATAGTAGTAGTAGTAGTAGTGGTGGTGGTAGTAGTAGTGGTAGTGGCGGTGGACTGATCATATGATGGTTTTACAATTCATTGGTTATGCTGGGATACGGAACCAGCCCCCAAAAGAGGAAAGTGTCTTTTTCTTTCTTAAGAGAGAGAGACACACACATGCATAACTTTTCTTCCTTCTCTTCGTATGCCCATACCACTATCACGATTACCACACACCTCTTTTTTAATTCTACCACTCCCATTTACAGGTCAATGAAGGACGATCATTCAGACAATCGTCCAAAGCATACTGACACTGACTCGGCACCAGCAACGAGTAACAACAACAACCTCGCCACCGTCATAGAGGTGCCACCACCGTCTTTCCAGCACCCACATCAACAACCAGAATCATTAGCGTCGCTGTCGTCAATACCAGCGGATGGCTCAGGAAACGAACATCTAGGGCAACAAGACCATGAAAGAAACAACAGCAGCAGCAGCGCTGTTCATGTTTCCGCGACACACAACGGAAAGAAATTACGTCAACGGATCGTTCGAGCCAAGGAATTGCCATTCTATCAAGGAGGCGTTCGACCCAAACATGTCAGAATTGTGCGCTTCATTGGCCGCTGCGGCTTCATTGCCAAGGGCGTTGTGTATGGCATCATTGGCGTCTTGATAATGACCAATGTGTCAGGCACGTTCACGCCCAATGGGAGTCAAGGAAATGAATCGCCACAGGTTAGACCAATCTGTTTTTTTTTCCATTTTTCGTTCCCCACTCATTGGATCGGCTAATCCATTGCCGTGTCCGTGTTTCGTATCATTGCCCCCTATCCTAACAGTGCCGTATGTTCTTGGATTGATAGGGTGCCTTTTTGTTACTGGGTGGCATTCCTGCTATTGGCAGACCCATCCTTGTTGTCATGGCTATAGGCCTAATTACATATCTTTGCTGGAGGTAATCCTAAAAAAGCCATCGTTGATAATGACGTGTCCCTAAGCACTCATAATCCATCATTCATATATGCACGCACAGATTCTGGGAGGCCATCACGGGTCAAGCGTACGATGCAACGCTCAGCAAGCGAACCAACTTTTTCCGGTACCGGCTCTCGCCCATTGTCAGCGGCCTTGTGTATTGTGGCTACCTGTACTATCTGATTCAAATGATCTACCAAACCGAAGAGGAGCAACAAAAGACCGCCTCGAGCAACGAGTTTCCTGCGTCGTGGACCGACACGACTGTGGGCAGTGCCTTTGTTGGCATCTTTGGTGTCGCCTTTATGATTGCTTTTGCAACCCAGCTTGTCAATGCCATTACCGGCAATTTTATTCCGGACCTGAGCACGAGTGACCCGACGACGACGCCGACGACGACGACGACGGCTGCTAGGAAATGGGAGGCCCGAACGGTCCATTTGTTTGGCCGAATCGGGTTTGGTGGACGTGCTGCCATGTTTGGTACGCTCTCTGGCTTTTTTTGGGAATCGTTGGCCGAGCGCAATGAATCAGGCGAGCTCAACGTGGTGGCTGCGGCCATTGGAAAGTTGTCAACGCACACCGGCGGATTGTTCTTTATGGTCATTCTCGGTTTGAGTTTGATCATCTATGGTATCTTTGCTATTGCCAATGCCTATTACAAGTATTTCCCAACACCGCCACCTTCACGAATACCACTCTATGCCCTGACAACTGCCGATGCCGACGACGACGACGACGACAATAATATTATCATTAGCGGAAAACAGGGTGAAGATGTTGCGTCAGGTGTTCAGTCATCGCAGCAACTGCAACGATTGGAAGGTCAAGAAGGACAGGAAGAACAAGAAGGTGACCGCAGGAATGTAGTAGCAGGAGTGGCGGCTGATCATCGGCCAGGTCCCAAGATTTGGTGGCGCCGGCTATGGATGCGTGTGTACCCAACAAGCTCAGCTAATCGCAACAGCACAGACGATATCGAGAAGCAGCAGCAATAAGCCATACCATTAACACACAGCATGTCTGCTATTTTATTATCCTTGTACTCTTTTACATAGCATTCAACATTCCCATTACGACAGGATATGCACATCATTTCTTTACCATTTGCTCATCATTTGTATACCTTTACTATACTAGATACACCCTACTTGCTAATTTAATGCAACATTTCAATTAATTCCTTTTTTCGTTATGATATACACCCATTACATTATTGCACTACTCGTGTATTATAATCTTTTTATATAAAAATTTAATTTCTACTGTACATCATCAAGTTATAGAATATGCAAGAGCAAGCGTCAGTTTACTCGTCTCTTGTTTGTCTCATACTTTGAAAGGGCATAAAATAAGTAAATCTTCTAGGTAGTGGTACTACCAATCACTAGACTGTGGAAAATGATCAACCTAAATATGGGAAACTAACATCGATATAAATATGTAAATAACTCTATGATCATAAGTATATAGTAACATAGCAAAGTTGTATAAGAATGCTCTAAACACGAAAGATGATATTTGTACTGTCTCTTTCGTGGCACATAGCAGCAGCAGTTTTGATGATAACTGAGCCCAAATAGAGCCGCTAGCAGGAACGCTACCACTACCACCACTCTCTATTTCTCGGTTGGCAGAGTCTTGCTCGACAGTTTTGGATCCAGATGGAAACCCTACCATCCATAAACCATAAAGTCTTTGAGCACAAACATAGGTTGTAGTGATGTCTTGATAAATTTATATTATACTAATTCTGTTTATTGCCTGTCCTTTCATTTGATTGTTTCTAAGAGATGCTGTATGTATTACTTCCCACTCTAAAGGAGCCTCCACTACTATATAACGCTAAACTTCCTGTATGGAGAAATATTGTACTGTCTAGATGACGATGAAGAAAGTTAAACAGGGGATTGATCTCTTTGAAACTCGCTTTACATGAATGTACGTTACTTCTAGGACATTATGTTGTAATGAGATTCTTCATTTATTGAAAGATGACTTTCATTATACATAGAGACGATCTGTGGTCGTATATGGATGATTACCCCATTCGGCGACTTGAATCCGTTTCTGCCATGCTTTCGGTTGATGTAATCTTTTTTACATGACATACAATATAATAACTCAACTCGACCATATATTCACGTTTGGTCCATTTAAAGCATTTATTTAGATATCGTTTAAATAGATTTGAGCTTGAATTAATAGTAGCTAAGAGGTAGAAATGCCCGATTTTGTGTATATACTGTAGTACAAAATGCTTGCATGATATATATGCTCGCTGAGACAAACATTCAAGTTATTTGCTATGTCACTGCTTATGAATTTCAAGTCATGGTCACTTTGTCGCATAGTAGTATCTATGCAGCGGCACAGTCGGGGACACAAATCGCATATCAGTAAAGAACATATGATAGACTGATACAAGTAAGATGCCCCTTCTTTGGCCCCTGTACATGTGGTGGATAGAAACTGTTCGTAAAGACCATCATACTGGTTAACAGGGTAAGACCCACAATTGTTTCAATCTTTGGTATATGTAGGTCCCTTTTGAGGAACCAAGTGCATAGTAGCATTCAAATTATGCATATGGTTCCGAATAAGCATTGTTAGACCCCATCTGCCTTCGACGCATTTGTGTTGTTGATGTGTTCAGATACATGTATTTATTCTTTAAAAACCATACTTGCTATAATTTTCTCAATGATCGCAACCTAGCCGGCAGGAATAGATATAAAGGATGAATTTTTTTAGTACAGCAGTAGCAAGTATCTAAAAACATACATATACACATCACGACTACTGGGTTAAGCATTTTTTATCTGATATGTATTTTTCTCTGCTGTTGTATACATACAAGTCGTCTTCACAGTCAAACAAATAAAAGCTATGCAAGAGAAATACTCAGAAAAGAGTAAGCACAATGTTAGAGTTTGCTTATTCTTTAGTTCTTTATACTGCTTTATGTTCAAGAAAGAAACAAAAGCGACAACAAAGTCAATTGTCGCCTGCCCAAAGATTATGCCTCGGTTCCATCCAACACAGCTTTACCACGATTGTGCAGGTGGTGCCACGATGATACCATTACAGCATTTCTCGTAAGTTCTTGAGCAAACATTGATCAGATATCTATAGCAAGCGGGATAGGAGAGAGAGAGAAGCTCTGTACAACAATATCCGGTACAGTTTTGCTTTACCAAGGAGGAGAAACCTTATCGGTATTGTCTTTGACAAGTTTTTCATAGTGATGGTTTACAAAAGAGATTGGCGACCTAAATAAAAGTAAAGGATACGAGTTAAGCATTGTCATAAAGAGTTGTTGTTGCCCTCTGGCCAAAAAAAAAAGAGGACTTTGTTAACAAACCGTCTCCATATTGAAGATGAGAAAAAATAGAAAACCTTACTGAATACAAAGGTGTGTCACGATGGACGAGATGTGGTGATACAAACTTGAAAGTATAGCGTCATTTATTCTTTTATGATAGTAGAAAAAAAAAGCTCTGTCGTCATTAGAATTATTGTGTAACTCCCTTCACAACTCAGCATGCATCATTTCATCAGTGTACATGTAGAGAAGAAAGCAAACGTAGAGATCTTGATTACTGCTGTACCTAGAGCTTGTCGACACAATATTTTAAGATCTTGATACAATTAGCCCCTCGTTACTTCTTGTGGTGTTCGTGAACAGATATCAATGTTGTATGATGATGTAAGTATGTACGAAAGTATGCGCACGTGTACATGATATCCTGTATATGTAGATCTATGATGATGGTGATGATGAAAAAAAAGTCAGCAGTTTATTTCTCTTGGGTAAGAACGGAGTAGAGTATGTACTAAGCGGCGACAACTTTTTTGGGCCACAGTATGTAGATAATAAAAATATCAACAAACCAGTTTCCTCTCCTTATTTTATCGTAATTGTAACGTCAAGAACGAAATAGAGATAGTGTATGCGTTTGATAATGAATGTTCACGAGAATCGTATTATATGTGCTTTGCAAAAAGAGGGCACCTTTAACCATGTCATGCAGGGTTCTAATCGGACCAGTAGTCAATGGCAAAATTCGCGCACTGACATATTCGGGCATTTTGTGTTATTGTGCGCGTGTGCCTGAATTTTCATTTTTACTACTTACTGAGTTCCTATTAAGGGGGAGGTGGTTCTTTGAACTATTTGTTATTGAGCGAGCACAAGTGACATTTTTACCCTATTTAAAACTCTGTTATTCGTTTGTGCGTGTCACACTTTCTCCATTATTTTGCATTGACTGCAACTTTTTTTTTCCTCTTTACTTCTTTCTTTTGTGTCTTTGTTTTTTTTTTACACCTATCCAGTCCGCAAACAGCAAATAAGAACATGGATAGCGATGACTTGGTTTCGATCATAATAGCACTTTTTGGTGGATTTATTGTCGTTTACGGCTTGTATTCTCTCGCCATCAAAGAGAAACTATACATATCCGAAGCAGGTGAGTGGCCATTGTTTTTATTAATCATGCATGATATTATTCACTGCTATCCTTATTGCTGCCTGACTTGGTCAAACTTGAACTTTTTTCTTAAACTGACGTGTTTTCTTCTTCTTCTTCTTCTTATCAGTGCTGGCGACATTATGTGGAATGCTCTTCCGTTTAGCAGCAACACAAGACTCGATGCCGGTTTGGGAGCATCAAAATGACTTGAACCGACAGTTTAGTCGGATCGTTATTGCTGTGCAAGTAAAGTACCTTTTCGAAAAAAAATGGCATCATGCTCATGACGAGCGTTTTACTGCCAATTCATTTCTTCTTCTTTTTCATATACGAATACGTTTATTTTTCTTAAAAAAAATAGGTGATGGCTACCGGTGTTGCGTTACCGAAAAAGTATCTATGGAAAGAATGGAAATCGATGTTCATGCTGCTCGTGCCCGTGATGAGCTGGATGTGGATGGTCAGCGGTTTGTGTGTCTGGTGGATGATACCCAACCTGAAATTTGTAAGTTCACCGTTTTTTTTAAGACAGAAAAAACTGTATCCTGAAACTAACTGTTACAACTTTGAAACTTCTGTAATACGTAGTTGGAAGCCTTGATGATTGCATCATGTTTTACGCCAACCGATCCAGTAAAGTGTTTTCTTTCTTTCTTGTGGTTGTACTGTATGATCTTTTTCTGTTTTGTATTAAAAAACATATTTCATCAAGGTACTTGCCAACTCGATCGTGCAAGGGCGCTTCGCGGAAAAATACGTTCCCGTTCATATTCGCAATATGCTGGCTGCAGAAAGGTAATACATCGTTACACTACACGATTTATCCGTTCGTGTTATCGTTACAGATGACATGTAAAACGCGCCAAGAAGGCTGAAACAAAAAAAAACATCGTTTTCTCACTTTATCTTTTTCTCATACTAGTGGCGCTAATGACGGTTTAGGATTCCCGTTCTTATTCCTTGCCACTTACTTGATCCAACTATCGGCCGGCAACGCTTTGTTGGAATGGAGTTATCATATCATGTTTTATGAGATTGCATTCTCGATCGTGTGTGGCATAGCTGTTGGTTATTTGGCACGGAAAGTACTCCGATTCTCCCATGAAAAGTAAGCATCATTCCTAATGCATACAACTTGTGTGTGGGCAGTGTGTGTAACATAAGCTACAGCTAAATGATTACTGACTTTTTACAAACGTACGTGTATATTAGGAAACTAGTGGATGAAGAATCATTCGCTGTATATCCACTTGTGCTTGCAGTAAGTCAAAGTGCATATTATGCTTTATGACATTCTAAAAAATGTAAGAGAAGCTCAAGACATATTTAAATGTACATATGTAAATTTTGTAGTTGTTCTTGACGGGAGCCGTAGGACTTTTGGGAAGCGATGACCTGTTGGCTTGTTTCATCGCAGGAAACGCGTTCACATGGGACGGATGGTATCACGTCGAAACCAAAAACGCAGCTGGTGTGATGCAAGCCATGGATATGTTATTGAACTTGGGCATGTTCATGTACATTGGTTTCATCATGGTAATTTACCTTTCGCAGCTTGATATTTCGCACCTTATTTCTCCACACACGTTATTAATGTAGTAAGCAAACCACTGAACCTTTTTTATTATTATATAGCCATGGACATCGTGGATCGAGTTGGGTTTGTCACGACTTTTGTTACTTGCAGTACTGGTTCACCTGTTCCGTCGTCTACCCGCAATGCTACTGGCATATAAATTCATTCCGTCGATTCGATCCTTTTCTGAAGCCGTGTTTTCTGGCTGGTTCGGTCCCATGGGTGTGGGATCCGTGTTTTATTGCGCAGTAGCAGTCGAGATCATGAATGCTGACGGCAATAGAAGTATCTCATATGAAGCCGCACAATATCTTGAACCAGTCGTGTATTTCATTGTTCTGTCATCCATTATTGTACATGGTCTCAGTATCCCCGTATACCAAGCAACCAAGCACACAGTCAAGCATGTTGCTGCTGTGCGACAACAAGGAGGTCATCATTATTCTGATCTGGAACGTGCTCCGGTAAGATATTCTTTACTATGGCTCTTGTATTTTGCACTGTGACGCCCCACACTAACTTGCTTACTTATATCAACAGATCAATTATGGTCGTAGCGCTAGTTATGGATCATCTTCGTCTGAGTAGCGTCGTCAACTGCTGTTGGTGCAGCTTGGAACACATACTACACACATAGCATATATACATATACCTTGTTTTCTTGGTTACTTCTCTTTCCTTTTAGCGTTCATCATTTCTACATATAGATTGAGTATACCCTCATCTCAAACCCCTCACTTGTTATCAATTGTAGCTTTAGCAAGAGATTATAAATATATGTACTTAATCCACAATAACATGATAATCAAAGTGGGCAACAAACAAAAATTCAAAGACCGGAGGAAGTAAGGGCGGGGCGATGGGCGGGTGGTCCGAGCCGGGGCTGAGCTTGACAAGTGAGAGGACTCCTTGAAAGCTAATACTCCTTCTCTTTTTGCATATCCACGGCAACGATGAAGTAAGAACATGATGAGGGCTATGTTAGGTTAAAACGAACGCCACGATTGAATGGATACATGGATTAGACGGACGGATGTATTGATGCGTTTATATTGGATGGATGGATGAATGGAACTCTATAGGCTCGAGATTTGCTCCTTCTCCGGCTACAAGATCTACCCCTCCAAGGGTAAGGTTTACGTTCGCAGCGACAGCAGGTAAATTATTAAACTCTTTTGAAATACAATGCGGGGTATTTTATACATTTATGAACACTTTTATAACTTTTTATGTTTAAATTAAAAAAATAGAGTGAGTAATTCAACAATTTTCTTCCCCATTCACGATCATGCGCAATCGAAAAAAACGAAACGAAAAAAAACAACGCGAAAATTTAAACAGTGAAGAAAAAAAAATTAATTAATCGTTGCTGTGTATTCAAAAAAAAATTATTAGACCTTCCGTTTCCTCAACGGTAAGGCCGAATCGTACTTCCTTCAGCGTTTGAGCCCCCGTAAGATCCGATGGACTCAAATCTACCGTCGCCTCAACAAGAAGGGTGTCACTGAACAGGTTGTCAAGAAGCGCACCCGCCGCACCGTCAAGGCCGAGCGTGCCGTTGGTGGTTCCTCGTGGGATGAAATCCGCGCCAAGCGTGCCGAGAAGCCCGAAGTCCGTGCTGCTGCTCGTCAGGCCGCTATTGAGAAGAGCAAGGAGAAGGCTAAGGCCAAGGGTGCTGCCAAGAAGGTATAGTAACTCGCTAATCTTTGTGGGGTTGCTCACTGATAAATCCTGGAATGGGTGTTTTTTTTAAAAATTATGAATTGGGCTTATTGTATATTGATAACTTACCTGGTTGTTGTCTTGTTTGTTTAGGCTGGTAAGCAGTAAAAATATCTTTTATAAACTGCTTCTGGACAAAAACGTCAAATTGCCCCTCCTATCCTACGCATAATAAAACGACCTCTGTTCTCTCTCAACTCTATTTTTCTTTTTTCCTGTGGATGCGTGTTTTAAAATAAGGCACCTGGCTTGCTCGTGTTTCTTTATGTTGGAGCTCGAGGTGTCTGAGTACAATGGTTGAAACGGAGAGATGGAAGAATGAAAAGAGGACATGGTTGATCTTTTTCCGGACCTGTGGTGCATGCTTAAGAAAATAAAGATGTATCGTTGACAGGGAACAAAAGAAAATACCGATCTGGTGGTTGTTGTGGAGGTGGAGGTGTGTATCACATCATAGATGCAAATGTACTTGATGGGGATGCAGGGATACAGCATGCGGCGACAGAAAACGGGAGTAATTTTTAAAGTTGACCTCGATAACTCAGTTGATGTCGAGGGGATAAGATAAATCGCTTAGTAATACATACATTTATAGCTACAATTTACATTGGAAAGATGTGGTATTTGCATAATTGTGTACGGTACTACAGTATGTGTGGCTGGCTGATCTAATCAATCGTGTGATCAATATGTTGTTACCATGGTAACTGTCAACTGTCTTGGCGACTGTAACCAGGATTATATGTTGCCACAGCAATCAGCCCCATTGCGTTCTTCTGTTTCTTTGGTACATCTTGACGAAATAAATTAACGTTGACTTTTAACTGTCTTGGCAACTGTAACCAGGAATTTATGTTGCCATAGCAATCAGTCCCAACAAGACCCATAAATAGGTTTCTTTGGTACATCTTGATGAAATAAATTTGCGGTAACTGTTTACTGTCTTGGCAATTGTAACCAGGATTTCTATGTTGCCACAGCAATCAGCCCCATTGCGTTCTTCTTTTTCTCTGGTACATCTTGACGGAGCAAATTTACGGTAACTATTGTCTGTCTTGGCAACTGTAACCAAGATTTAATGTTGCCATAGCAATCAGTCCGAGCAAGGCCCAGAAATAGGCCAAAATGATTTGCGTTCTTGGATTCCTTTGGCAAATCTTGACGAGATAAGTTTACTGTATGACTGTTGTCTGTCTTGGCAACTGTAACCAAAATTTTATGTTGCCATAGCAGTCAGCCCCATTGCGTTCATCTTTTTCCTTGATACATCTTGGTGAAACAAGTAAAAGTTATTCAAGGATACAAAAATACTTTGATTCAAAGTTTTTGAAGTAAAATCGAAACGCTGACATCAGAAAGTGATCCGCTAATTTTACACCTGTTTTAAATATTTAACGCCCATGTCCGGTTAGATGAGTCTGAAACAGAAAAAAAAAAGACAGATCTTCAATTGCTGGATATGCGTTATGCCCCGCTTCCTTATTTCCACATATGATGGGTTAAGTACACTTCAATCAAAGTAACCTGAAGTAAATGATGTACGACATAAAATAAGAAATTGACGTGCAACCAGCTCAACTGGACACTGTGGGTCGTGTGTACCCAAAACTCGGGATTCTTTTTATCCGAAAGAGAATAGAATAGCAGGATCGACAGCAATGACCCTTTTTTTATTTCCTCACGTGGAGCTTGAAAAAACAAAAACAATGTTTTATTTTCCCGCTCACCGTTTGGCATTCTTATTTTCGTACCTGTTTTAACTCGCTATACTCTCCTTTAGTCTTTCCCTCACTCCCACACCTCTCTATCCTTTCCTTTTTCTCTCTCGACCTCACCTACTTATAAAAAGACGAGGTGTCGACCAAATACTTTCCTTTATTCTCCTCTTCCTCTACCCGCCAAAAAGAAACTTGAACCCTGCGCGCACCCCCTTTTGTTCATGCAATAACATTTTTCTACATCATACTACTACCAGCTGCCAGGTAAACCAACTCAACCAACGTGCATACATACATACACGGCATGGAAACCAAAGAAACCATATAAAACTAATCTGGATTTCTTCCTGCTCGACAATATAGTTTCATTTTCCTCCCGACTCTTCCATTCTCACACAGACACCGCTGAAAACACTCTCTCCATATACGCACACAAACTCATGAGCAGCAAACGAGTACGGTTCAAGTCCGCGTTCCGACGACGAAAACATGGCAATGACGAAAATGACGACGATGACACTGATGCATCCGGGGGTTTGCGACGTATGGATTCCCGATCGTCGTACATGCAACAACGCCGCAGTGTCTATGTTAACATGGACCTACCGGCGACCGAGTTTGACGAAAAGGGACGACGCAAGCAAAAGATCAATATCTCGAACCGTATTCGGACAGCCAAATACACGCCGCTGTCATTCATACCCAAGAATTTGTTTGAGCAGTTCAGAAACGTCGCCAACCTGTATTTCTTGTTTCTCGTCATCTTGCAGTGTATTCCAATTTTCGGTGTAGTTGAGCCGGCCGTCTCGGCCCTGCCGCTGATAGCAATCTTGGTTATTACCGCTATCAAGGACGCCATAGAGGACTGGAAGCGTAATCAGAGCGACGACCGCGTGAATAATGCAAAAACACTTACTCTGACGAATTGGCGCAATGTCAACATGCCCGATAATGCGGGTGGGTTCTTTGCTAGCTTCATTGGTTTCTTTTATGTCATGGCCGGTGTCGAAAACAAGTATGCACAGGCTTATAGAGCATTCTTGGCCAAGCGGAAAAGCAATGGTGGCCAAAAGAAGAAGATGAAAAAGGAACGATCCCGCCGAGGCACTGAGGATAAGTTGCCATTGACGGAATTGAACTTGCCCTCTTCATCTGCGTCCTCTCAGCATCAGTCCGAGCGAACCAACACTATTCATCAAGAAATCCCTGATAACCACCATCACAATAACAGTCGACCCATGCGCCAGAATAGCAGGTTCAGGCTACGGTCCAATACACTGCGATCCATGTTTCGCAACAAACCGTATAATCCAAACAAAATTCGTCACTCAGTCTTGTATCGCATCGATAGCACGCCTGGACCTTCCTCACGCCGTGACTCTACGGTCCACCCAGCATTGCTACCGCCGGTTAAAACACATTTGGAAGGCCCTCTGGCAGCCAACGGCGATGTTGCATGGAAGCCGACGGCATGGAAAGACGTCAATCCGGGCGACTATATCTTGATTAGAAATGACGAAGACGTGCCTGCAGATATTGTCATCTTGTCGACATCCGATCCAGACCACATCTGCTACATTGAGACGCAAAACCTGGATGGCGAAACCAACTTAAAAGTACGCCAAGCTCTTGTTGCAACGAGCGAAGTCAATTCCGTCAAGGATTGTCAGCTTGCCGAGTTTTATATCGAGAGCGAACCACCCCACGTCAACTTGTATCAGTACAGCGGTGTTCTCAAGTGGCAGATCCAGAACCAACAGACCATGGAGTCTCAAGTGGCCCATGAAAAGACAGAGGCGGTGACGTACAATAATATTCTGTTGCGTGGTTGTGTTGTCCGTAACACCGAGTGGGTCATTGGTGTCGTCGTGTACACTGGTGATGAAACCAAGATCATGATGAATACCGGTCGTACGCCTTCCAAGCGAAGCAAGATGGCTAAAAAGACCAATCCGCACGTAAGCTTCGTCTCGCTATTTTCTAATCATTAATGTGTACACACCTTATTAACTTTTTGGGAGTATACTTTATTTTAGGTAATTGCCAATTTTGTCATCTTGGCTGTTATATGTATCATCAGTTCAGTGATGGATAGCATCCTGTTCAGATCTGAAGGATCTGCTCGGTTCTTTGACTTTGAAATCAGTGGAACAAATGCGTCCTATGATGGTTTCTTGACATTTTGGTATGTTCTCTTTCTCTCCTCTTCTTACCTTTTACAAATATGCGCATTTTTTCTAATAACAAAAGCTTTCTTGTTTGTTTCTAGGGTTACACTAATTCTGTATCAGAACATTGTCCCTATCTCACTGTACATTTCCGTTGAAATTGTCAAGACATTTGCTGTAAGTCTTATGCTAGCATAATTAGTCTTTTAAATTCTTTACTGACAGTATTAGACTATACATAAACTAACATAAAACTACATGTCGACAGGCCTACTTTATTTATTCGGATATCGACATGTATCATCCAGAAACTGACACGCCATGTGTCGCCAAAACATGGAACATTTCCGACGACTTGGGCCAGATCGAATACATTTTTTCTGACAAAACTGGCACGTTGACGCAGAACGTCATGGAATATCGCAAATGTACCATCAATGGTGTCAAGTATGGTCTAGGCACTACAGAAGCATCCATGGGCGCCAAGATCCGTGAAGCCGTGGAAAAGCGACAAACCAAGCACCAGATCGACCGCGACGATATTGATGTTTTAAACGATAATAGCAGCAGTACATTGAACAACAACAACGATGGTACAGCAGCACTCGAGCAGGCCAAAAAGGAAATGTATGCCAAACAAGCACAATTGTTTCAAAACGACCACGTTGGTCCAAACCCGACGTTTATCGATCCAAAACTCTTTGACGATTTGGCAGAGACCGAAGTTTCACAGTCCATTTTTATCACTCACTTTTTCATGACACTTGCACTATGTCATACCGTCATTGCTGAACGGCCCGATTCGGAGAATGACCCAAATAGAATCGAGTACAAGGCACAGAGTCCCGACGAAGCTGCCTTGGTCGCTACGGCAAGAGACTGTGGGTTCGTGTTTGTTGGTCGTGAAGCAAACACGATTCACGTGAAGATCAAGGGAGAGGACAAGTATTTCGAAATCCTCAATGTGCTAGAGTTTAACTCGACCAGAAAGCGCATGAGTGTCATCTTGAAACCTCATGATAGTGACAAAATTATCCTGCTGTGTAAAGGTGCCGATTCGATCATTTATGAACGGTTGTGTAATGACTTTGGCGACCAAAAGGAATTGCAAACTACACAAGAAGAGATTCGTAATAACACCAGTGCTCACTTGGAAGACTTTGCCAATGAAGGTATGTACTATGCTTTTAGAGTTTCAGCGATGATTTGATGAAAAGAACAACAACACCCTAACACTGACACAAAAACTACTACAGGTCTGCGTACATTGTGTTTGTCATACCGTTTTATCTCCATGGAAGAGTACGAGCCCTGGAACGAGAGTTACTTGGATGCCTCTGCTAGTATTTACAACCGTGAAGAAAAGATCGATGAAGTATGTGAGGCGATAGAGTCCAACATGCTGCTCATGGGCGGTACTGCTATTGAAGATCGTCTTCAAGTCGGTGTGCCCGAAACGATTGCCGAGCTGGCCAAATCCGGCGTCAAACTCTGGGTGCTGACAGGCGACAAGACCGAAACAGCCGTCAATATCGGGTTTGCATGCAATCTCCTCTCACAAGACATGGATCTGATCATTATCAAGGGCCAGACGCGTGAAGAAACTACCGCACAATTGCAAGAGGCGCTGACAACGACAAGCAACACCAACGAAGAACGAAAACGCGCGTTGGTGATTGATGGCACGACCCTGAAATATGCTTTGGAGCCCAAGGCCAAGAACATGGTGTTGACCCTAGGCATGCGCTGTAACAGCGTCTTGTGCTGTCGTGTCTCGCCAAAACAGAAGGCTCAAGTGGTCGCGCTGGTCAAGAAAGGACTCAAGGTCATGACCCTAGCCATCGGCGACGGCGCAAACGACGTTTCCATGATCCAAGAAGCCAACATTGGCATTGGTATCTCTGGCCTCGAGGGTCGTCAAGCAGTCATGGCATCCGACTATGCTATCGCCCAATTCCGGTTCTTGCACAAGTTATTGTTGGTGCACGGTCGATGGTCTTACATTCGAACATCGGAAATGATCATGGGCTTCTTTTACAAAAACATTGTCTGGACGTTCGTCTTGTTCTGGTACCAAATCTTCTGCCAATTCACCGGCAGCATGATGTTCGAGTATGCTCTTGTCACGCTGTACAACGTGGTCTTTACGTCGGTACCGATTATCTTTTTGGGTATTTGGGACCAAGACTTGAGCGCCAAGATTTCATTGTTGTATCCTGAATTGTACCGGATGGGTCTGCGTAACGACTTGTTCAAGACCTGGCGGTTCTGGTTGACCATGTTGGACTCGATCTATCAGTCCGCAGTCTGTTTCTTTTTCCCTTACATGTTGTTGGTCGGTGGCGGCGTCGATCCGATTGGTTTGGACCAGAATGGCGTGTATGAGATCGGTACCATCGTTTCCAGTATTGCCGTCTGCGTCGCCAATTTCTTTGTCGCCTGTTCGTTGTACAGTTTTACGTGGATCCAGGTCGGCATAATTGCCTTGTCCATCTTAATCTATTATGCATTCGTCTGCATCTATGCCCAGTTCAATACGTTTATTTTTGCTGGTCACAGTCGAGTCTTTGCCACTGGCATGTATTGGCTCGTGTTCATTCTCACAATGGTGGCCTGTTACATTCCTCGCTTTATAGCGTTGCATTTGCTGCATCAATATCGACCTTACGACAATGATATTGTTCGTGAGATTGAGCTGGTGCAAAAGAAGGGAAAGCATACAAACACTAAGAGCTTAGAGAATCCAACGGTCGGCCCTAATGAAGGATTGTACGATATTAATTTACTAGAACGGTATAAATGAGCTTACTTTTTGTTGTACAAGTATCTTTTTCCTCCTCCTCCTCCACACACACCCCCTCTTATCCACCCATCTTTATCATCACGTTATAAAATTTCTCTCTGTGTGTTTTTCTCTCCCATTTTCTCTATTATTGTCATTTCCATTTCTTACACCTTTTTCTGTTCTTTTCTACACTGTTTCTCCTCCAGTTCCACTACCCTTTCACTTTCCCTCTTTCAACTCATTTCTTGTTTCACTATTTATTGATTTGTTATGTGTACATAAAAAAGAAACTTTCCTTACTATCCAGTCAAACTTGGTTTTTAATCAATTCCCTTATTCATAATTATCTTCATGCAGTTCGAGGGTTGATTGCGGGAGAGAGGGTATATCTACTGCCAAATACTTGTTGTCAAATCATTTTGTAACAACAACTGCTTAGGAAGGTACAATAAGTATGTAGTGCCGACGGGATATAAAGACGAAGTAATGAATGTGCTCACAGCAGAGCTATACATGCCAAGCTTTCTCTTCCCGTTGTTGCGAGATTATAAATTATTCGAATGGGTAGAAAAGAAAACTATGGTTACCGCGTGTGATGATCAATGTTGTAAAAAAGAACAGGACGGTCTACTATTGAATTTCTCTTTTTAGTTACCGCGTAATATGCCATAATGTTTTTGCATACTGCAGCTCTGCATAGCAATATGTGGAGGGTGAACGTATGCCGGCCTACGTGATAGAATAGGGTTGAAAAAGATGCAGCATCGTCGATATGGCAACTCAAAACAAAAGCTCTGAGAAGTACTACTATGTCAACTGACAGAATTTGTGTAAAATTCAAATTGTTTCGTTGCTTTTACATGCAATCATAATCTTCCGCACAATAGCCGTAGTAGATATGGTCGTTTTCTTAAAACTGTTTGCTGTTACTCTTTACATTCGGACCGCGTTAATTTTAAAGTTGAGATTCCTGTTCTTTTATGTGAAATTGACGGGTGTGGAAGTTAACGGATCCGCGTGAATCTTTCCACGTTAAATCCTAGTAGCCACATATCCAAAAGGCACTAGATGCCATGCATGCGTTATATAAAAAACCTAAGATGAAAACGTAATATATAAGTTCACTGTAGTGAACCACATTATTTACTATTTGATAATTATTTTAGGTTAATGATCAACAGCATATACTGTACACAGATAGCTACTACGGCAAGCGGTTAAGCATTATAGTAGCGTAATTACAATCTATTTGGGCTATGCAGAGTATGGAGACCTTCTAATCCGATAACCCAGCTTATGTAAATATGACAATGATGAGCCTCTCAACAAGTGGTGTGACCACACACCAGCTAATGCCGGCATTGAATAGCTGTCCCGATTTATTAGCGACTTGTACACAAGTTCTGTTGAGTTTCTGATCAGTCATCATAGTACATACGTTTACCTATGTACCAGCCGGACCATTGAATATTGCTGCCTTGGTTTAATGGCTAGAATATGAAAGAGCTTGATTTTTTGCCGAATTTAACATCATCCCACAGATACATATTATCTGCCTGTCGTACCCATGATCTTGGACATAGTGTTGGTTTTCTAGGACACATGCGACGAAGATGACATTGATCTTAAGCTTGTTGTAAAATTGATCGCTTTGCAAGACAAACTGCAAACATTCTACACACCTCGCTTAGTTACAAAGTCACACTTATTAACCCAGTTTTTTCATCAATATATTCTAAGAAGTAGACTTCTTTTCTCGCTTTCATTTGCTTAAATAAACAGAATCGCTCTTTTCACTACCCGGTTAAAGGTCAATCCCTTCTACACCTTTGAAAGTGAAATAAATGAGGGTGTGGGAAATCTCTTATGTCATTCTTACCGTTCCTTCAAGTTCTTTGAAATTAACGGGGGTCGCCTGTAATATACTTCTTGGCATCTGCTCCTTTATGCCTCTTTAAGAGAGTGACTATTAACATGCGTATTTTGGCTGTTGTCTATATCTAAAAAAGTATCCACCCCAAAAAAAGCACCAAATTCTGTGTGCCGCTTGAACGAAGAATGGAACAACACAAACATGGTACATTCTATACTAAAATTTTTACACGCGGCACAGGTTGCTCAGTTTCTATTCTGAATCAACTGAATACGTTTTTACAGTGCTAACGGTTCCCTCTTTGTCGGCCGCACAGAGCATCCATAGAAGCCAATCAAAGCAACCGCAATCCTTGGCACCGCTTTAATGTTTGATAGAGCTAAGAGGGTTCAGATGCCATTTCTGCAATATTCAGCATTAATGAGCATAAATCTACCCTTCCTAATCCATTGTATCTGGGCTTCTAATTCAATTGCATAATCAGGCAAAAGTCCATTCATGACGATATACCAAAATTGATAAAGCAAGTTCAAAATAAACCTGATAAGAGATCAATGCATACTATTTAAAATTTATGAGCTGCTATAATACCGACTGATTATGCTGATAATTAATTTTAATGATTCTGGCAACATTCTGCTTTAGTTACAAGCATGAGCATTCTGACTCTTATTGGTCCACGCTTTGTGAGCCTTTCCTATGCTCGCTTTCCAAGGAGAAGACCTAATAGAAGGTTTTGCTTTAGGCGCTGTGTTTTTTTTTTCAAATTGACTGGAAGTAGAGTTCTCGTTTTGAATACAGTCAACTTAATATAACAGCATATATGTGGGTCTTGTTGTGCGCTGTTGTTATACAGCGGAATATTTGTGCAGTAGGCTCCTTTAAAATTCAAAAAAATCCACCTTGCGACTGCATGATAATAAAGTAGAAGGATAATGTCTGGTTGACATATCAATGGTAGTAGCATTCTTTGACCATAAAGATGATGAACGTTGCTTTTTGCATTAACCATATGCATAATGTAGCTGCGGATATCAGGCACGACGCTTGACAGTATAGTGCTAGTAATAGTAACAGTCACTGGCAAATTCATATGCAACCCTAATGTACACATGAAGACAGAATGCATCTTTGTATATACCGCGCAAATACATGTCAAGTTAATTACTATTAAGACCACCTCTTAAAATAAATGTATAGGAAGCTCTCACTTCACGTAGCTTATTATTGCTGCAAAGAAGAACATTGGCTGTATGTTGCATCTGCGTAGAATATTTTCTAGCATTTAACTCTTGACTAGAATTTCTTTTTTATGCGGGGCTATCAAGTATGTTTCTCCGTTTTCATAACCTAGAATTCAACCAGTAAGTATTTTAAACTTTTGAGATACTAATATGCACGTCTGTGAGTACAACAACAATAACTTAAACAAGGAGAAGAAGAACAGGAAAAGAATGCTCATTACTTCTTCTTTATTTTCTCAATGCTCAACAGAAACTATGTTCTAATTCTTCCATAAGCATATCCACAACCGTAGATTTTTGCATGGTATGGATTGGTTCAATCTACTTTTTTCTAAGCGATGTCAGCTGTTTTCACAAACAAAAAAAAACTATATAAAAGATCTAAATCGCGCGTTGAAAAAAATCAATATCACAACAACAACAACTACTACCACTACTACTACTACTACTACTACAGTTTCAACGTAAGTACAATCATTGAAAAGACCAGGTCTCACTATCGACTTTAGATCTACATCACTAAACCTATGCTTTCGTCCAATTGATATTATGCCACAGTACCTTTTATCAAAAATGGCTCTCTTCGATATCAAGAACACTTTCATCTTCATGGTGATGCTCTTCTTCGCTATGGGTTTGGTGGCTCAGGTTCGCGCCCAGGAACAAGAAAACCGCATTGAAGATGTTGGCTGCCTTGCATCCGGAGTTATCTGCTCCCTCACCGGATCCGACAGCTGCTGCGATGGTTTGTCATGCGTTGCAGATGACACCGACGCCATTAACGTTCGTCGCTGCCAATAAGGTTGCAGTACTATCATATGAATAGTAGACTGTTAATCTCAGTAACAACAGATGCTCTCCAGCGTCGACTTTACCTGCTATACAGCTTGTTATCGTATTATGAATTTCATAATAAATTTGATATCCGTTTATAATCTATAAAAAAGAGGATTGGTATTGTTAAACTCTTATTGGGATTTGGTAAATACTGCTGCTAAATAGTTATTGCAGCATACCGCTCACACAATAAACCGGTTGGGTCTCATTTTATGATAAAATTTCGTCCTATCGACAGCAACTTCTACATGAATCTATATGTCGCTTTTATCTTTTGTTGTCAACAGTAAATTTATTATAGCAATTCAATGGTATAGTAACATAATAGTAGAATGTAGAGCATTAATATCCCTACACATATCTCATTAATAAAGACACTGGTTGTATTTCGAAGTTCTTTGAGAAGTTGCAGATCGCGTTTTAACTGATGCACTTTTAAACATACTCAATACGGCAATAATTCATATAAACAACTCGGACCAGCACGTCCAGCGTTAGAAAACCACCAGCCTTCATTGCTGCAGTAGAAATAAATAGTTCTTGTCCCAACAACAGCTCGTTTAATAGTGGGCACAAAAATCAAGCACCCCATCGTCTGAGATGCCAGCACCAGCACGTAACGATCTATAGCAATGCACGTCAAATTTACGGCAATTGTATTTTCCGAAGCGATCTTCTAGGCTTTGCATGTTGCCATCAAAAGAAAGCAACGTAAATTTCAACACTATCGCGATCAACACTTATTAGCTATGATACTACAATTTTGACTGACCAATGCTTCTGCATTTATTACAGCAAACTATGTCTAAAAAGCTGAACGGGTCGATAATAGCAGGATGATTTCTGAATACCAATTAACGATTTGTTTGCTTAATGTCTACGTTTGCCTATATATAAACACATCCAGCATTGCAATTCTGCAGCGTCACTTGTACCACGTTTCCGGACTAATCAACCGCCCTATATTACGATGGCAAGAAACCACACAAGTTAATGCAAAAATAGCACGTTTTCCTTCAAACTTTTTGACCCCAGTAATGGTGGTAGGTGGTTTCAGTTAGCACCGCTGCAGATATACGAATATATGCCTAATTAGGCACAGCAGATCACCACTGTAATTTTCCACAATAACCTACTGAAAAGTACATCCAGCCTTCACGATTCATCAAATCGAGCACCTAGCAGCTTTGGCTGTAGGTATTAAACTCTGCTACCGAATGGAGAAAACACAGAAGACTAACCATGTCTTCCTTTTGCTAGAAAGTGAAATCGTTTTCAATGTGCACTATATAGTAGCGTGGTAGATTAATAAGCACGCTCTAGCAGTAATAAAGAGCGGTCTTTCTCGTTCGGTCTGAAACTGCTGGCTTGAATATACTCGCTCCGCTTGCGTTTCCTGGGGTTTCCCGAAAGTCCCCCACCCCCTCACTCACCTCCACCTCTCACGAAATGATAATGATCAAGATAACGCTATACGACTATTCTTTCCGGGAAGGCATTTGACTATGTCTAGTCGTCGTGCAAACATTGTAGTATAGCTAGCTGTATTTGTTACTTGTATCGCTCATTCCGACTAAATGTTTAATTTGACGGTAGCAGGAGTTTCTCCGTGTATATTACACTCCGGCCGCCGCCCAACCGTCCAGTCGTCGCTACGCAATTACAAAAATTTCTTCAATGCTGATACCTGACGTTTCGGCACGTAAACTCACGCTTTGTAATGCTCTGCGCGTATAAATATAAAAGAGAGCCTCTCCGCAACAAAAAGAAGAAACGTCATTTCTTTCCCTTATTTATCTCTAAATACAAACAAACGAACAAACAAACAAAAAATGGCTTTAACTTTTGTTGTCACCGGTGCATCTCGAGGACTTGGCGTTGAGTTCGTCAAGCAACTTTCTGCCAAGGGCCATACTGTCATTGCATGTGCTCGCAACCCTGACAAATCTGAACAGCTCCAAGCTTTGGTGAACAATAAGACCGTGTTTGCTGTCAGCTTGGATACTGTGAAACTAGACTCCGTCAAGGTAAAAAGAGCATGAAATTTTTTATTTTTTGACAGGTTGATTCGGTCACGGGTTTCATTCTTTTCTAATCAATTTACAAACAAAATATTCTAAAAAGGCAGCAGCCGATAAAATTCAAGAATTGGCCCCGAGTGGCGTGGATGTATTGATTAATAACTCTGGTATTGTAGGCGACCATACTCAGGACGTAACAAATGCGTAAGTGAATAACTTGGCAATGATAGTTGTTATTGTGTACAGGCAGCAGCAAACCCCAATCACATTTTTTTTATTTATAGCACGGGAGAAAATTACATCAATGTCTTTGAAACCAACGTGGTTGGTACGTCGAATGTCACCCAAGCACTTTTGCCATGGCTCCGTAAGCGCAACACGCGCAAAATTGTGAATATTACTTCCATCCTTGGCTCTAACGATTTTACTACCACCGGTAGTTCTCCAGCCGTAAGTTTATTTCTACATGTAGTATTTGATTACTCTTTATAACGACTACTATTACTACTACTACTATCAATACATGATGCTTTCAATTTTGCTAACGAAACTGTATTGTTTTTTCTCCTTTTTCCATGTTATACTAGTATCGTATATCCAAAGCGGCCGAGAACATGCTAAGCAGAGGTTGGGCTGGTCAACTTGGCGAAGAATCGTTTGTGGTTTTGGCCATGCATCCCGGATGGGTCCAGACAGACATGGGCACATCGAAGGCTCCAGTTACCCCAGAACAATCGATCAGTGGTATGCTCTCGGTGATCGAAAACATGTCTAAAGAAACAAACGGCAAGTTCTTGTCATTCGAAGGCGAAGAGCTCAAGTGGTAGTAAAGAAAGGGACATACATACATAAAATAGATTGTTCATGTTACTTTTAGTAAGAATAGAAAATGAATATATTGATTCTTGTCTTTCTCAGATATGAAATACAACGGTCCATGGTCGTAGTAGTAGCATAAAAAAGAAGAATATTCAAATGAGTGTCGAGTACATAGAAGCAGCTACTACAAAACTAATCATTTCACAATAAATACCATTGATGCTAGTTGCTGTGTGATACACGTCACTGCTGTTATCTGATGTACATTATAGGCGGGAAAGCATTATACATAAGGTCGCATGGCTTTTTTTATATGCAGAGATCGGGTACTACTACGTTACTTTGTTGTTCAATTCTACTACATGTCAGATGTGGTTCGAGCACGCCTACGTACCGTTTACCAACTCTTCCTCTGCAATGGTCGGGCACTTGCTCCGCATAAGCAATAATAGCAGGGTTGTGTCACATCACTTGCTGTGATCTTCATTCACTCTAGACATCTTCTCACAACAATTCAATTCGGCTCTTTTCTTCTTCTTCTTCTTCTTCTTCTTCCAGAACCGCCCTCATCGCGTTATGTTATGAACAAGATTACCATATGTGCGTGACGTTCTTTATTCCTTTAATTTCAAAATGGTGCGAGAAACATATGATGACATTGGTAATTAAGCGCAGCGCAAGATATAGTACGGGGAGTACCCTAAAGTGATAATCAAGCTGCGTCTATATATTAATATCATGTGACAGCATGATAGAAAGCAGTATCCGAACAGCAGCACTGAATGCAGTAATAAGTAGTAACCGAAGAACGGTGTCTCTTCTCATTCTGTTTGTGTATGCTGACAATGAATTTTAAACTTTAAAAAAAAATATCATGTATGCAAGTATGGCGTACTTTGCAAGGGGTGAGCACACGACACCGAACTACTTATCTCGATTCTTCTCCTTTCTACTCTGAGCTGCAGGCGAGCAATACATTAATCATTCTGTTACTGCACATGAGCATAAAAGATAATAAGGTATGCTCGCTTAATTGCCTTGCTATTCCTGCGGGCCCCACGAGAAAGCGTGGAATAACGTTAGGTAATACGAAAGACAAAGATGATAGATCATGTCATGATAGATTGTGCAGTCACCGACGAAGAACGACCCTTATCACTAATAGATCGCAGCCACTACAGTTATGCTCAATAGCTAGCTGGCTGACCGATCGACTGACCGGCTTGGACTGATGGAAAGAAAGATTTCAGTTTATGCTCTTCTTTACATGGAACCCGAGAAACTGAGAAATCTTTTTTTAAAGCCGAACCTAATCACCGCGACAGCGGACAGAGGTGCCGAACGCTTTGTCCCTCCTTCTTACTTGAGATAGTAGTAGTAGTAGTAGTAGTAATATAATAGTGTACCTGAGTTTTTTTTACTGTGTGTAAATTTCTGAGAGCGCCTTGTCACATTCGCCCACACACCCACCCACCCCTTTTTTGATTTTCTTTGTCAACTTTCTTTGAAACAACCAAGAAAACAACCAATGGCGCAACCGTCACCTGCCTTACTCGACACCCTGGATATCGTGTTCCTTGGTACCATTGGTCTCGGTACCATTGCCTGGTTTGCTCGTCGCCAGATTGCTGAAAAGATTTTTGGATCAAAGGATCAGGATGCTTCTGCAAAGCTAAATGGGAATGGCCAGGCATCCGCCCCACCTAAACGAGAACGTAACTTTGTCAAGGTCATGCAAGAGCAGGTAAAGAATAACGAAATGGAATATTGGTTTTTCTAGCAAGATGGTGATGGCATGGGTGTTGGAGGATGGTGTGTTGTTGAAGGGTATGGGATATGGGTTGTAAAAGGGAAGTTTATATACCAGGGTCTATAGGCATATACATATATCAGAATGTTAATCCTACAACCTTCGAATTGTAGGGTCGCAAAGTCATCTTTTTCTATGGCTCACAAACCGGTACGGCTGAAGACTATGCATCACGTCTCGCCAAGGAATGTCAGCAAAAATACGGTGTGAGCTGCATGACGGCCGACATTGAACTGTACGATCTGACGTACTTGGACACGGTACCTGAAGATTACCTTGTGTTCTTTATCATGGCCACCTATGGTGAAGGTGAGCCTACGGACAATGCCGTTGATTTCTGGGAACTTGTGACCGAAGACGAGCCTCAGTTTTCGGAGGGTGATGCATTAGGTAACTTGCGTTACAGCATTTTCGGTCTCGGCAACAAGACGTATGAACATTATAACGAGGTGGCTCGCAACCTGGATCGACGTCTTGCCAAGTTTGGCGCCAAACGGATTGGTGAACGTGGTGAGGGTGATGACGATGCGTCGCTCGAGGAGGATTTCTTGGCCTGGCAGGATAATATGTGGCCGGTGTTTTGTGATGCCCTGGGCGTGGATGAGAGCAGTGCCTCGAGCGGTCCTCGTCAGGCCACGTATTCAGTCGAAGAACTTGCCGAATATGAGTCGGAAAACATCTATCTGGGTGAAATTGGCGAAAAGTTAAAGGAGGGCGCGTAAGTTTCTTTGTTCTAATTTTGGGTGGTTTAAGGGCATCAGAATGGAGAGAGGTCCAAACTAGAGTCAAGAAATTGGCTAACCTGAATGATTTTCTTTAGTAAAATCGTATACGATGCAAAGAGACCTTACAATGCACCGATCACTTCGCGCGACTTGTTCCACAATACGGATCGCCACTGTCTGCATATTGAAGTGGATGTTTCCGACTCCAACCTGAGCTACCAGACGGGCGACCACATTGCCATCTGGCCCACCAACAGTGATGACGAAGTTACACGTCTGGCCTCCATTCTCGGTCTGGCCGACAAGCTCGATATGCCCGTGATGGTGAAAGCTATCGACTCGACCGCATCCAAGCAGTACCCCTTCCCTGCCCCTGCCACATACCGTTCCATTTTCCGCCACTATCTCGATATCTGCGCACCTGCATCCCGACAGACCTTGATGTCATTGGTCGAGTACGCGCCAAATGAAGAAACCAAGGAAACGTTGCGCACATTGTCCAAGGACAAGGACGAGTACCGACTCAAGGTGGGCGAGGCTGTCCGCAACCTGGGCGAAGTGCTTGAATTTGCAGCCGGCAGTGAATCGCGCCCTGGCTTTTTCTCTACTGTGCCTTTTGATTTGATCGTCGAAAGCATATCGCGTCTCCAGCCGCGTTATTACTCGATCTCGTCCTCGGCCAAGGAGTCCCCCAAGTCAATCGCCGTCACTGCGGTCACGCTCACATACAACCCTGATCCTACGCCTGAACGCACCGTCTATGGTGTCGCCACCAACTACTTGTGGCAAATGCACGCTGCTACACACAACGTTGACGATGGTCAAAAGTATCCCGTCTATGATTTGGCAGGTCCGCGCAATGCTTTGCAGGGCGTCAAGGTCCCCGTCCATATCCGTCGATCGCAGTTCAAGTTGCCCCGTAACCCCACTGTGCCTGTCATCATGGTTGGTCCTGGTACCGGTGTTGCCCCCTTCCGTGGTTTCGTACGTGAGCGTGCTGCTCAAAAGGCCGAGGGAAAGCCTGTGGGCCCTACCCTGTTGTTCTTTGGCTGTCGCAACTCACAGCAGGATTTCCTCTATTCTGAAGAATGGCCTGGCTTATTCGAAACCTTGGGCGAAGAGTCTCGCATGATCACGGCGTTCTCTCGTGAAACACCGCAAAAGGTGTATGTCCAGCACCGATTACAGGAGAATGGCCAGGAGTTGTGGAACTTGTTGCAAAAGGGCGCGTACATCTATGTTTGCGGTGATGCAAAGAACATGGCGCGTGATGTGAACCAGACGTTCGTCAACTTTGCCATCGAGTTTGGCGGTCAGTCTGAAGAAAAAGCTCATGATTATGTCAAGAACCTCAGAAACAGTGGCCGATACCAAGAAGATGTGTGGAGCTAAATGCGTATATTCTCCTTCTTCTTCCCCATGATTAAACCTCACTGTTCTCCCCATCAATTATTTTGCTTTTTCTTTTCTCTTCGAACGTAATATACAGTACATCAGACTCGCCCCATCAAAAGTGTATAGATCCTTTATTCTTCTTGTCGTACTCTCAATCTCTCTCTTTCTCTCTCTTCCCAGCTCTCTATCTCTATCTCATTCTCTCTTATTGCCCAGCCACCACTCTTTACTATTGCTCCATTATTTAGAAAAAATAAAATGTAGAATTTTGCAAGCTTATCTATTATATATACATTGTGTACACGGAGGAGAAAGAGAGAAAAGGGCATTGGATGTTGTGATGCCTGTAGGTGGATGTAGCGCAAAGGGGTTTATTAAAAGTTGGTGACAAAGCGAAATATGAAATCGACAAACAGGATTTGTACCTGGATTGCAGGAATGTAGTTTAGTATATATGAGTGCAGACTGACAAGACGTATATATGACATATGCATGCTTTGGAATGTTGTTATTGCGGAGGGGCCCGATAGTCTGGCTCGTTGGATCATGATGGTTGTTGTGGTATTGGTGAAGCAGTAGTCATCTGCTGTTGTTGTTGTTTGACATCTGCTTGGTGCTGTACTACGACCGGTATTTCTTGTCCTAAATTCATGGCAGTACTTGCCATTGGCGTAGATGTTGCTGTACTAGCAGTCGTGGTAGTGGGTGGTATCGTAGCACTTGTTGCTGTGGCGGTTGTTATGGTAGCTGGAGATGATGGAGATGATGATGATGGTATCATGACAGACGAATCAGGTACTGCTGAAGCAGCAGTAGCACCAGCGTTAGCACCACTATTACTACCATAGAATCGATGAGGCGAGTACTTTGTTTGTAACGTCTGCAACAAAGTCTGATTCTCTGATCGCTGGAACTCGCGCATGAATTCGGCCCATTCGCCGGTATTGAAATTGTGCAGCAACTTTCGGCCCGAGACTTGTTTGCTCAACAATAAGAAACCACGGCCAACAACAGAACACATTTGCCAAATACGTTCACCAATCGTCAACCGACGTCGAATCGCTTCCCAATTCGTATTCACCAACACTTTTTCAATCTCGGAGCGACACTGCACTAAAATCGGCCGTGTATCATGCTGGTGTCCTGCTCCTCCTCCTTGTTGTTGTTGTTGACGTTCCAATTCCAAGGCACGATAAGCCAAGAATAATTGGAAATACTCATAGTTGAAATAAACGCCTGCGTTGCGTGGAGCAAAGTCACAATCGTAATGGGCTGGTAGGTTGGCAAATGTAGCGAACCGATGGAGTGGGGACAGCAAGTTGTGCGCTTGGTCTTGAATGATCAGTTTGACGTCATTGTCAACGACATTGGCTTGGTGGAATAGATCGGCTTCTGATACTTTGAGTAAGTCTTGAATGATGTCGTTTCCTAATTTGTAAAGTTGTTGTTGTCAGTTGGCGTCATCATGTCCTATATCTCGCACACCCCTGAAAGTGAAAATACTTTACTTCGAACAGAATATTCCTTGTCGCGTGGACTCGCTTTTTTGGTTCGTTTGGTAGTACTGGTAGTAGTAGTATTAGGGGTAATGGCCTTGTCGTCATTATTGCTGATCTTGCGTTTTCCGGTTGCACCGACGGCAGCTGCTGCTGCCGGTGACGAGACCGAAGCTAATGCCGCCTGTAGTAATTGCTGGGGCGATGCTTCTGTGCCTGCGGCGGCGGCTGCTGCTGCCGCCGCTGCCGCTGCCGCAGCAGAAAACATGTCTTGTTGAATCGGATGTTGCTGTTGTTGTAATTGTTGTATTTGTTGAAACATGGAAGTTGCCATGGATGGTGACGGTGACGGAGTCGATGAAGAAGAGGTGGAGGCGGCAGCGGCAGCGGCGAGAGCAGCCATCTTGAAGGGATCATATTCATGTTGATGATTGTGATGAAGGCTATTATTACTATTGTTGCTGACGTTTGCAGTGGTGGTGTTTGTGAAAAGATGATGATCCTGCTGTGTTGTTGTTGTTCCGCTCACATTGACGGCATAAACTTGATTTTCTTGGCGAAACATGACTTTGGGCATATGGGGCACCTTTAAAAAGACAACATTGTCGCCCAGTGCATGACAGAGGGCAAAGAACATGGCGGCTGTTTGCATGGGCGAGCGCTGTGTTTTGATGTCTTTAACACATTGATAGAAGCGCAAGATACGGTCGTCGCTGAGAATGTCGGCTAGCGTGGGTGATAAAAACAGGCAATCGTCTAGCTGAGGATGCTGCTGTTGCTGCTGTGGGTTGCTGTTATTGTTTGTTGATGATGAAGGGGTAGATGGTGTTGCTGGATTGTTGTTGATACTATTGTTGTTGTTGTTATTATCGCTAGCACCAACAACTGTATTGCCGCTGTTGTTATTGTTTGTATTTGACATGTTGCTGACGCGGAACGTATCTTGTGGTGATGACCCGGGTTCCATTTATTAAAGAAATAAAGGGGAGGGGGGGAAGTGTAGTATAGAGTGACTTCGTTGGATAAAAAAGGTCTCTCTCTTGAGAGCGTTGTTTGTGTTAACTTTTTTTGTAGTGACTGGACGATGGCCCAGAGAAAGAAAAGCAAGAGAAAGAGAGCCTGTGTGTTCCTTGTCAACGCGGTTATGCTTTGTATGCGTGGTCGTCTGGTTGGACTTGATATCAAACTTTATTGTCGTTGCGTTGCGTTAATCGTCGAATTGGCGAGGGTGGTGCGAGCCGTACGTTAAGGCAAGTTCCGGTGGGAAAACAAAAAGGAAAGCCGACATTCCGCCCGCGCTGGAAATGTCATTAATTTTTTTTGCTCATTGGACCAACAAGTCACACTTTTTTTCCGGGGACGTATGGGGCCCGGTTCGGTTTGCTTCTACGACCGTCATGCGGGCAACTTGTACCTTACTACAGCCTAACGTCATTACACGCTATCATAAGCTTTCTTCTTGGGCGACTTGCTGATAAGGTCAGAAAAGACAGAAGATAACGACAGTGGGTGTACACTTACAAAAGAAGGGGGCGGTGATAGTAGTAACCAGCAATTGATGACTAAGTGATATCGGTAGATATGAGCGACGTAAATGTCTAATATGTAGTTATAAATCCTTCTTGTAATCTGTTGCTACACTATATTTTTCACTTGTTCAAGGTCTATGGGAAACTTTAAATGTTACAGGAACGATTACAGTCTGTTTCCAACAACAAATGTCGCAGCCAGTAAATATTAGCGCTGTATGCCATTATCAAGGTCACTCGGCAGCAAGTAATATTTTGAATACTTGCGCACTGTAAAAAATGTAAATACTTATAAGGTGCGGACAGAAACAAGACAAGACAAAAACAGAAAGACCGGACAAGAATGCGTTAGGTGCTTTCAGCAAAAACAGAACAAGACAAGAAGGAAACCTGAAGGTAAGAGACCACATGATGAGGGAAGAAACAAGGAATAAGATAAGTGTCTGATGCTTTATTATTCAAAGATAATGGTATACATAATATATATATATACATATATCTTTTACTACATATCACACAGAAACTAGCATCAATCGTATTCGTTGTAAAATGATTAGTTTGCAAGTATATGTAGTAGCTGCTTCTATGATACCCATAGATTGGAAGAGCTTCAGTCAGTCGTTGCTTGAACGATGCAGGTATAGGAAGCTAAACAAATAAGAATGTAATCATATTTAATGTATCCTGTAACTTATCTTTCCATCTATCAAACCGTTTGTACCTTAAAGTGGAAACTTTGCATTTGCTCAATGTAGATAGCGTGCTGCGGATCAGATGGTGTCAAAGGAAAAAGATGACGGCGCATCATGACAAGTGGCAGCGAATGTTTGGGGCACTTTTTGCAGTAAGTGTTAAAGGTGAGAGCTCGTCCCATTCCTGGGCACGTTCGTCTGCTCTCTTTTTTTTACGCATGACGGATAGATTATCACTGACATTGACCCATTCATTTTCGTTGGTGTCAGTTGGTGTGATCTGAGCTCGCGTATTGGAAACATTAGGTTTAATCAAAGAGATCGTGTGAGTAAGCTTCTCGTCCCATAGTTGTGGACTACTCCAAAATTCTTTTGCGTTTTCACCGAGTTCAGGCATTTGATTGTTTAATAAGAGGGGTGTATCATGATAAACTACTGGCGGTAACAGCTACAAATGGCAAGCGTGCACAGGTGCATAATGTAGACCAGTGTTGACGAATTTCGCCAAGTGCAATTTTCGCAAAGTGGCGAAAAATAGTGCTTCATAATTTTCGCCTGGCGAAAATTAGGGATTCTTGGATCTTGACGGTGAAGTTGACGACGAAACAGCTGAAACTCCTGACATACAAGTGCACCCAGCAGAAAACAAATCTTATAAATACACTTTTCACCCCCTCCTTTCAACTGATTTAGATTTTTCGCCTCTAATTTTCGCCTATTTTCGCCCTGGCGAAAAATCAACACTGTAGACCCCGCACTTGCGGTTGCGGTTGCGGCTATTTGTCGAGCTCTTCCTCGATAATACCGCAACTAAAATCCGACTATCCAAGTCGGCAGCTATGACTAGGACCCTACTGCATCACTTGTCCCTTGATAATACTGTAGTCCAAACAAGCGTTATATTTGATCGTTGCCCCCCCACCCTCCTCTTTGTCCCTTCGGGTCTTATGTCCTGCTACACATAGCATACAGAAATTTTATTTGTTGCTACCAGTTCAAAGAACACGTTAATACCTTTTTTATCCATTGATACACCTTTTTGTATTAACAGATACGAAAAACAATAATGTATTACATTACAAAAATTGAAAGATGTAAAAAGATTTTGGACTAGCTACACATGAACCATTCTTCACTGATTGAAGTCAAAACGGATTCGATCCTTGTATGCCTTGGTTTCGTTTGCTCATCCTTCAAACTGTCCGACGGTAATATTTGTATTTGATTCATCCCGATCCTTGTATTCATGGCAGCCAGATCTGTGGCCTTTGACTGATTTCTTCAATGCAATGATTGGTACAAGTGAGTCCCGCAAATGACATTTTCCGTATTCGTCTTTAAAAGGTTTGAAGCGTTTTTCGGCAATGGGGATGCTGGTTTTCGTGAGTTTTAACTGATAAGCAATCTTCAGTTTAAGACAATTGGCCTTATCCTCATTAATATATAGAGTATATGAACGTTTTTCAGGTAATTTATCTAATATACAAGACTTCATCTCTTTCCTCCCTTATATGATTTAAATGCTCCACACTGACGTGTGTAGTACTGGTGGAAACTATATTTTGCAAATATTCGGTGAGTGATGTGAGCGATTCAAGTGCAAAAGGATTCTGATAAACAATGTAATCCATAGGTTCAAGTCTGCCAATTTCTTCAATGGCTGCGACATTTGTTGTTGGAAACACTGCATTGACAGTTGCTATTTAGAAACTGACAATTAGATTGGCTAGTACCTACTAAGCTGATTTTCCTCGGAATTGTGAATGTCCGGTAGTAGAGGTCAAGGTGACACAGCACACATGCGCACAGCAACCAAGAAATTTAAGGTTTTAAGAGAAAGCGTGTTCTTTCATACGAAATGATTCTTTAGAGAGGGGACGTGTGTGTTTGGAGAAGGTAGACTATACAGGAGATGGAGCTAATTAAGTAGAAAAGTAGGGATAATCAAGCATTGTATTTGGCAATATCGACGAATTCCCTACAGCAACATACATCAAGTGCAGTGTCAGATGGGGCGAGCTGCATATAAGTTTCATTTCTTTCCTTACCAATCTCCTTCTTCGTCATCGGCACACTTTTTTAAAGCTTCGTACTGAGTGCAAACTGTTTGGAGTGATTCGACTGAAGCTTGCATCGATGTGATGCGCTCATTATCTGACACAGCCCACAGCTTTTCCGACATGAATTCTCTGAGTTTAAGGCACTCGTTATATGTGTCCTAAGTTAACGCACACACGGTAGTATAAAAAAAGTGGCGTTAGAAAAGAGTTTAAAGTTTAAAACGATTTCAAATGCTGTTGTCATGAGAATCGTTTGAGCACCATTCGCGGCGACAAAATAGCAAATTGCTTTTAAAATGTAATTACTTTAACGGTTTCATTCGACTTGACTTGTTGAGGTTCGAGCATTCGCAACATTTCAGCAAGAAACGTTCCCGAACGGTTTGCTTGGACGATGGCTTCATCGACACTAAAGTTCAAGTTGGTACTCTAAAGTATCGCGGATGTTTTTTTGGACATTTAATTATCTCACTCTCGGTAAAAAAAAACCATTAACAGGGAAAGAGGACTACAATAAGGTGTGTGTTTGGGGTAGGGGAGGTCATCGTCGTCATTAATGAAAGAATGGGTAGGATAGGTATCGTCTCTCTTACTTGAAGTACGGTATATCCTGCAACTTGGGAGGCCATGAGAAAAAAATTAGAAAGATGTGAAGAGAAAAGGAGAGACAAAGAGAGTGAGTGTGTGTGATAAGTGTGGTAGATTTTCACATGCAAAAAATATCCCTTTTGTTTGTTACTTACTGGACGTGTTGGCGTGATTTGCCAAGCACGTGCTTTGTTAATGAACAGCAGCTGCAATAGCATTACACCCACTAGCCACTACCTAACAGCAAACAAGAAAAGGGGGGGATATTGTTCTAACCCAATAACCCACGGACACGACGGCAGCAATATGCAATTACGCCCTCTACAACCCGCAGGTTCCTTTCAAAATAACCACTTGGAGCTGATAACTACTATTATTGTCACCTTACTCTTAAAGATGATGTATATATCATTACTCGTACTATGTAGTGCTAGAAGTTTCCCCACGCTTACTTAGCTTTCTTATTTGGCAATTATAAATATCCGCACTGAACAATGCTTTTGAACGACGGCTTTGCACCAGCAGCACCAGCCAAGAGCTCTATCATACACTAATAAACCATCAACAAGTTCAGCGCAATTCTCTTTATCAAGCTCACTCAAAGTATCTTTTACATACTTTAGAATTGCAAGCGCCACCGTAGTATACAACATTATACCAAGATTGATCCACTGAAGGAACAAATGTCAGTATGGTGCTTTTCAACAAAAAGGTAGCTTTCTTCAATTGCTTATGATAAGTGCTTAAAAACACATTTTATTTAGAAAGAAAAAAATGTTATCAGTGTCTCAAATAAAAGTTTATTATTTTCAACAAGAACAACAATGTCATCACAGACCATCCAGATGCTCAATAAGGTCTGGCATATTCTCGTGAAATTGCTTGCGAGAATTAATACGCGGATACGGTTCTACGGGTACAGGCTTTCCAAGGAACGCACAAATCTTATTCCAGTCAATGCCTTCTTCAAGCTTCAATGCCAGCAACCGTTCCTGTGGCACACACTCCTTGACCCACGCATTATACGCTTTGTATCTTGCTTTCACTGCCTCTGCATCTGCCATCAACTTGGAATCGAGCAAAACACCATCGAGCCATAATTTCGAAAATACGTGCATCAGGTGTGTAGCATTTTCTGTAAGTTCACGCGTCCCGGTGGTTTCACATAACTTGCAAACAGTATCCTTGATAGATTCGTACCAGCTGTCTGCATCTCGCTCAATAAGAATAACCTTGGCGTCCGGATACGCTTCCAAAAGAGATTGGACAAAGCACACCGCTGGGCTAAAAATTATGAAATACAAAGCATGGTTAATCGCCTTATGCAAATGCTGTAGCACATAATCATCTAAATTAGCTTATGCTAATCTTGTTATCATCCTATATACTTTACAATTCTACGGCTGCATTATAGCCATCGAAAAGAGGATTCCAGTCCACGGACTTGTCGGGATGGTCATACGCGTTTTCTATAAGTTCAGTGTTTCCAACACGTTCCCGGATCATGTTTCCGCCGTGAAGTGTGCGGTAGCTGCAGTTATGTATAGTACAATGAGGATTTGGTCCAATAAGAATTAGTACATATGTAGCTATGCTATTGTTACGTCCTAACTACATATCATACCCAAGTATGTTTAGAGCATCACGTAGACTTTTTGATCCAGATCTACTATAGGCAGCACCTATCACTTCTAACGGGGCCATTATAAGGTGCGCACAAGAGGTAAAATGAGTAAAGCAGAAAGAAGAACAAGCACCCGATTTGTGCTCTTTTTTAAACAAAAAAAAAGTTTGAGAGCTGCTGACTCAATTATAAGCACTGTGAGAAAACGGTGATCGTCCAAACTGATTGAAACTTATCAAAGCTTATTTCTTGTGTAACCACTTTTCTGCAACAAGAGCCATTGCTGTTATGAACTTACTGAACATATGGTATACGCGCTATGTATCTATGGCATCTTCTCTGTCCATCGATTGTCTCACAACAGCATTTAGATGGGGCTGAGGGACCATCATACATCTCCGATAGGCATATGTTAACAACTAGGGCCACAAACACCATACAGTATTAATGCTTACGTGGTGTATTTTTTTTTCGCTCTGAATAATAACGATCAATGTGTAGAATATGTGCAAAACTTAAGCCGGTTTATATAGTATAGAAGTATTTTTCTACCAATCCAGGGACATGGGTTTGCTCTTACCTCTTCTATACATGTAAGGCGCAACATGTAATGTATAAAGTCAAATAACATACAGCGAATCATATTACATGTCCACTGATTGTGTATATATATAAATAACGAGCCATTTGTTTCATAACACTTTTTTTATTATTATTGACACCGTCAGTGCAGCGATACATATTTAGCAACATAAGATGATTCTTGACGGGGTTGAATGAGAAACAAAAGGAGAAAGAACATGGTCGTCTCAATTGCTCTGTTTTTGGTGCAGCCCACAGTAGCAAGGGTTCGGCTGTTTAGGCAGAGGCAGCACAAGTTCCAATAGCAGTGTTTGCTCCTTGAGGAAGGCAGATGTTACTGCAGCATGCCTCTCCAGCGCCACCAGGGTTGCAGACATTACCAGCAGCCTTGCAGCGCTTTTCAACAGGCATAGCGGCACCGTTAACAATGGCGACGAGGGTAATCAAAGTGAGGAACAAGAGGCTCTTGACAGGAAACATTTTTTTATTTCTCTACAAGTGACAGTAATAAACGTGCTATAGTGTAAATAATTGCTAGAACGCATTTAAAGTAAAAAATAAGATGATACTGTACTCACGTAAGTAAAGCTGCAAGTTGATGGTAGTAGTGTGGTACTTTTGGTAGCGATTCCAAACCTCTAAAAAACATGTATCGCCCTTTTTATTATTATTTTTTTTCGATTAGAGCGTTCCTTCGACACGCGCTTATTATAAAAGCGTTATGTAATCTTTATATAGATTCCCGCGTAATGCGCCCTTTTGTACCGAATTTACCTGAACAAGCTAAATTCCAGGGGCACCTAGTGCGTTTGAAAAAAAGCTACCTCAATGTCGGCTTGTCCTGCTTTATTTTCAAAAGAAAAGAATCATCAGCATGACAATAGTAAAAAAAAAAAGAAAACCTATAGTTATCCGTTATTATTATCATGTACTCTTGGCTCATGTTTGAGTGATTTTAAAGATAGGGACATCCGTAAAACGATGTTACACTCCATCGTCAAAAGTTTTGGAAGTTGTACATGGCAATGACCTCTAACCGTATTTGCATAAGTCCAAATTTTATTTTCGCGTTTATATCAGATCCTCGGATATAATGTGAAGTATGTACTGCCTAGGTTGTACCGTGTGAGTCCTCCCGGGTATATATTGATGAATGTACAGTACGCATGCTCGACTCCCGGATAATAATATATCAGCACAGAAACGGAGTAATTCGTTGAGCTTATAGGGATGGGGTGACACTGCTTTGCAATGTGTAACGACGGCGCGGAAGACAGCGCGAGTCATATAATTTGGTCTCTCTCTTGTTGGGTAATCTTTTTTAATATACATTTTATACAGACCAGCAATCAGGCAAGTGGATGTGTAGTGAGTACATAGTCGAGATGCAGCCCTGATAGATCCAAGACACGACAACAAGTGGAGAGACTCAATAATACCGACCGCCGAAGGCTACAGAGTCCTCTGGTGAGTTGTATACAATGTTTTCTTCCTTAGAATTAGCGGTCGGTTTTTCCTAGCGCTTATGCTTCTATGTTTTAGCACGAGATGTAGCAAAAGTCATGCCATCAAGTAAAAAACTTGATTTACACGCGGTGTATATAGACCAACGGTCACGTATGGAAAAAAAGAAAGACACTAATAAATTGAACAATTACATGCCAAAAGAACATCCAACAGCTGTTCTTCCTCCTGAGGATGTGCCGATATCAATTCTGACATTGACAATCTATCAAAGATATGTACACGTGTAGATCTTACGCCAGAGAGACCTTGAGGAGTCCCCTGCAGCAAATTGTTTAGATGGTGACATTGCAAACAGAATTATATGAGTTTGTTTTTATCTGCATACGTAAGGAAGTGTTGGCCGTTTGACGAACATCAGGAACATAAAAAGACTACCAACATAAAAGACACCTAAATGGACAGAGGTGTGATCATTGTATCAATAAAAGCTCTTTCTTGAGGAATGTAAAATGGGGAGGATGTGTGCTTCAATGTCTTGTAGACGATGCCCCACAGCTGTATCCAGCCAGATTGCAAATACAGTTCTTCCTGGTGATCATCCGTTTAACACATAATAATAATAAAAAAAGAAAGAGAGAGACATGCCGTCGCTGCAAGTTATTTAACGCATCAGCAGCGTCAATAGATATGACATACTAGCATTATTTCAAGTGCGGTTAATTAGATACCATACTTAAGACTTTGTATATAGTGATTTAAAATATTATGCGAAAAAGTTAGCAGAAAAAGAAGACCAGTCTGCAGGGTTTTTTTTAAAAAGCGTGTACGTGCACTCGTCGTATATGAGTGAGAGCGACTGAGCTGCTTTCATTAGAGAAAGGGTGATGGGGGGTAAAAGGGGGATATACATCAAAATGATATGCTACTGTGTTGTTGTATGAGAGTATGTGTATGCGAGGGTGTGGTTAGTGTGTGTGTGAGTGTAATGTGGGAGGATTATACGGTGTGTGTGTGTGTGTGTGTGTGGAATTGTTAGTCAATGATACGAAGATCCTGCTTTCGATCCTTGGCATACTCATCCTTGTACTTGTTAAATATGTCCTCCAATCCAGCAATATATTGCTTCTGAACTTCAAGTAATTGCTCTTGTGTAGGTTCCTTCTGATCCTTTTCCAGCTTTGGTACGGGAATAGGCTTGCCGACTATTGAAAACACGTCATTGCTTATTAGAAAAAAAAAACAGTGTTGACTGAAGAAGAAGGCTGTTTTTATATGGGAAGCATGACAATGCTCTGGTGACCATCATTACATATCCCACACTTGTCATGGCACTTTACCAACAGTAACGATGGGGTGTCTAAAAGGAATTATCCCCACATCATCTAGTAACATATCACTTATTAGTAACTTGTTTCAATACATCTTTCAGGTTGTGTATAGTGAAACACCTACAGTTAAATATCCCGCGCGCATGGAACAATGGCATAGTAAAGCCAAGCAAAGATTGCATTTTCTTTTGAACCTTCCAAAGCGTGGTCCCTTTGTCATTATCGACTTGTTCATAAATATCGTTTTCGCCGAATGAAAAGACCGGGACAAGCGCTGCATTATGTTTGATAGCGAGTCGGATAAACCCGAGCCGACGCTTCAGGGTCAGATCGGTTGTGCCTGGACGCGCGCTCAATGACTCGGCTGCTCCACCAATGACAATGACAATGGATCGACCTGGACCTGACGACAGAATGGATTCACACGAGTGTCGAGAAACGGATGCAATGCCCAGAGACAAAATCAAGTCGCGATAAAGTGGTAATCGAAAGTTGCTGTATGGGATTGGATAAGCAATGGCATGAACATGATAGTAGTAGTAGTCAATGGATTTTTTTTTTTTACCTGGCCAGAGTTAACAAGCTAGGAACAATGCCCGGGAACTTGTCGGAGAATCCCGTGGCTTCAGTGGCAAAGTTAGCAAAGGCGCCCATGGAGATAATGCCATGAGGATGATAGCCAAAGACATAGTTGTGCTTTGGGTCCAAATCTTGTTCCTGAAGAGACAAAAAAAATTGTTGCCAAATTAAATTAGGAGAGACTCTTTGATACAGTGACATGTACAGTGCTCGACGACGACGACGACAACAACAGCAGCAATGAAGGGTTTTTCATTTTACTTTGATGAGTTTGACAGGAAAATAATCGACAAAGTAGGTCCAGAGCTTCCATCGTCTGGGCCGATCGTAGCGTCGTCCCCCGTTTTCTGGAGCCTTGTCGGTGTAGAGGAATGAGATATAGGCTATCAAGAGCGGCCAGAGGACCGGGTGCGTGAAGAGGGAGGCGAATATGACAAGACATATGAAAAGCATAAAGATCCAGCAGCAGACGGCAAACATTTGCAAGCGTCGTTCGAATGGAATGCCATGGAGTGGTGCCCACCGCACTTGGGGCATTGTGTCTGTCATGCTAATAATAATAATAATAATACTCGAACAGTAATCAAGAAGCGTGCAGATAAAAAAAAAGTGGGAAAGGGAAGAAGAAGAATATGAAGTTGTTGGTGGGGGGGGGGAGGGAGGAGAGAGAGTAGTGTGTTAGAGTGGAGAAAGAGAACAAGAAACGCTTGGCTCACGTTTGCTGCCAGCCCAGCGCTCTGATCGTATTAATAGCTTGTTTTCACATGATGATGATTTTCCAAAGCAGCAGCAGCAACCTTTTCTTGCTTACCCTAATAATACGAGAGACACAAGCTTATTACTGCTGCACGGCACACATACTCCGGCACATGTAGACCCGCGTGCAAAATAACTCATGTCACACACTATTCCGCATTAAGCTGCCCTCTCGTAAAGGCATTTTACACACCCACACACACCGTTTAACAAAAATCCCAGCTCTTCCCTTTAAGAATACACGGCCCGGCCATTGCCCTGTTCTGCAGTATTTAACACCCACCCACCCCCTCTTTATAACTCTTCACACCAACCATTCGAAAAAAGAGAAATTGTTATTTCTCAGGGAAAGGAACATGCTTGCTTTCATTACCTCGTTGCCAGCAGCGGCCTATGTACTCAATGTCCTCGTTTCCGGCCTACTCACCGCACTTGCTTTCCACAAACAAGTGACGCAAGAAGTGTTTGGCGGGAATGCGTTCATGCGCAAATTCCTTATTGCTGCCGATTCATCTGCTTCGACATTGAGCGAACTGCCATTGCATGTCTTGGCTCTCAAATGGATCACTATTCAACTGACTCACTGCGTCGGCGGCTTTGGTAAGGAGCAGTCTTTATAACCCAACCCATTTGTATTATTTACAAAAAAAAAAAAATGTCAAAAAAAAAGTTTAACGGAACCGCACTGTCTTTTTCTTTTCTGGAATAGGTTACACACTCGCATGGCTGCTCTCTTATGTAGACTATGTTATCCTCGGTTTTCTACTCATGCTGTTTGTTGAAAGTTGGAAAGAGGATGCTGTTGTTGAAGAGGCTATCAAGGATTTGGCGGGTGGAGATCCTGCTGATACGGTCGATAGTATCATGAGGTACCCACTCTTTCAATTTTCCATGTTGAACTTTTTGTCAGCCGCTTTTATTTAAACTGTTCCTAACCACGAGCATAGCGCGAATAATGTAAGACGTATCCTGAACCCTATATGGACTCCGAAGGATATTGTCATGTATCCCAATAGTAGGTTAAAAGAAACTAATAGTGTGTGTGTGTGTGTGTGTGTGTATGGAAAAACCCTCCCCTAATTGTCTATCTTTTTCAAGTCACCTATGCAACAAACGAAGAAACTACCGAAGCCATTGAGCTTACCAACGATTACGACCAACCGCGTAAAATGGCGCTAGATATCTACAAATGGTCTAAAGCACCCAAAAACTCGGGATTACGGCCTGTCCTGGTGAAGATCATGACCTTTTTTCTTTTTTCATCGCGACACACAAAATGTTATACATGCTGACAGAACGTGTCTGTGCCAATGGGAACCCACCCTCATGTGATTATTTATCATGTTTTCAACTAGGTCCACATCCATGGCGGAGCTTGGCGGATGGGCGGCAAAGGATGGTTGTACCCGCATGAAAAGACTTTGGTGACTGAGGAAAACTGGGTAAAAATAATATTTCTCCTTTTTATATGTGGTTCCCCTTATCTAATTCATATACAACGTACCATAGCTTGTGGTCAACATTGGTTATAGACTGGCGCCTAAGAACGCATACCCTACTCATCTTATCGATGTCAAACGTGCTTTACGCTATCTGAAAAAGTGCATCAGTGCATTTGGTGGTGATCCAAACCTTATTGTATTGTCAGGTAATTAACTAACGTTTTTGGAAAAAAAAAAATCCGTATGCTAACAACGTATGTTACCCAATGATGTGTCTGATCAACCTACCCATTTTAAATCAGGCGATTCTGCCGGTGGCCATCTTGCTGCTATGGCTGCATTCACAGCAAATGATCCTCAATACCAACCTGGTTAGTAACTAGGCCAAGATTATTATTTTTTTCGTCCTCTCACTGCTTCTTACAATGGAAAACCCCCACACTTTATAGGCTTTGAAGATGCAGACACAACTGTCAAAGGTGTGATTACTATCAATGGAGCTTTGGATGTACAAAGCGACAAATCTCGAGGCGAATACTTTTCTCATAAAGTGGCACTGAAGGACAAAGTGGATCCAGAGTTCTTGGGCAAACATTCGCCCGTTGATCTTGTGGATAAGGCTAACCAGGACGGTCTGCTCGTTCCTTTTCTGGTCATCACTGGAAGTAGAGATGCTATTGTGGATTGCTCCATTGGACGTCGATTCAAAAAGAACTATGATCTAGGTAAAAGGGACTATAAAGATATTTGTATAGCTACCGGATAAGTAAGTAAGGAGGGGAGCAAAGTCTTGTTATTAAACGTATGTGTTGTTTTTTCTAGCTCTAGGTGAAAAGGCAAACACGGTTGCATCTCAATGCACACTAGTAGAACTCCCGGTAAGCAACTAACTTCATTGTCGCTCTGCACTCTTTGATCACGTAAGAACTCATATATTCTGGTTTTTCTATGAAAATCAAGGCTGCCCATCACATCTGCCACCTCAGCTGGTCTCCACGCAGTATTTATGTTTCACGCCTGATTCAAGTCTGGTGTCAACTATTCTACAACAAACACAAATGATCACCTCTCTCTCGTTGTATATCCACCTCCACTTCACCCTCCCAAACCCATCGCAATACAATTACATTTCCTTTTTCTTTTTCTTATGTACCATGTGTGCGTGTGTGTGTGTGTGTGTGCGTGGTTTATATCTTTATATATAATTGTTAATGTGTGAGTTGAAAGAGGGTCAAATGTGCAATTGTGTTTCCTATTTCTTTTTGGGGGCCTTATACAACGGTGGAGATTGGATAGGATAGGATCAAAGATAGAGAGGATGAGAGAGAGAGAAAGAGAGGTAGAATAAGAGCCAAAGAGCGTTGTTGTTGCTGTCGTTTTCTTGTAAGTGTTGACAATAGAAAGGAAGAAAAAAAAAGTAATCTAACGATGATTATCAGTGGTGTGAAATCAATCCAATTTGGAATCTAGGATGAAAAGCAAAAGAAAGATCACAAAAGAAAAGAAGAGGAAAAGACTCTCTTTCTTCTATCTAGACGAGCCGCCTATTGTGTTTTTTTTCAAGATAATAACAGAAAATCAGGTTAATAACACTTTATTATATGTATATACACATACACATAAGATTGACCCGCTACCTTTACTACTTACTAAGTTTCCCATCCCGTTTAGAAGAGCCACCTTTCTTTCCTCTTAATGTCTGGCCCGCGCCTGCAAACACATGTGTCGGCTTTTCATCCTCTTGTTCTGAAGGTTTTGGCAATACTACAGGGAATCCAAAGAACAGCTGACCAAACGGTAACGCCAACGGCCCATCATCATTAGGATCAAACTGTGGCTCGCCATCCTCATCCGTATCCATTTTGTCATTATTGCCGTTCTCGAATGCCTTTTTGTTCGATCGAGCAGGTCTAAATAGTTTTGGCGTTATTAGTATCAGTAAACCTTTAAAATAGCGGTGTCATCTAAGTAGTGCTAATAGTAATCCTCACCCCTCCCTGAGATGATCCAAATCTTTGAATAACTTACTCTTTTCCTTTGCCTCGCAATGATTGACCTTTGCCTTCAAATACTGCAAATCTCGGCTTCTTTGGCTGTAATTTTTCATCATTGAGCATTTGGCTCTTCTACAAGATATACCAAAATGGGTATTTAGTACAGTAATCTTTAAATCACCCGTGTTTTTCTTTTTTTTTTCTCGTCCAAATTACCATTGTTGATGTTGGGGTTGCTGCTCTTTGTGCTGAGGGCTCGACATAACCAACAGGTGGAGCGAAATCAACCTATATATATATATATACACACGCTCATTCAGGTTAAACCCTCTCTCCACTTTTTAAATTTTTGTATTACGCCCCAGTGAACAGAACAGAAAAATTGGACAATTCTGCTAACCTCCAAATCAGTTTCCACAATGGATATGCCTGAATGCTCTTCAAAATTAGGTTTGACATCCAATACTCTAATCGCATACACTTTGTCGTTGTAATTGATTTGAATGATGTCACCCAACGTCAGTGTGGAGAAATTACGTAATGCATTTTCAAGTCTATCATAAAAAAAGAAAACCAATCACGGTATTAGGCTCTCTGTCTCTCCACTTTAACACGTACACACACGAAAAGAGAAATGATAAATTTCCTTACACTGCTTTTGGATCACTGATATCGAGAAAATCAGTCGATTGTGGTTGTATTTTTACAAAAGAACCCAATGGCAATGTGGTATTCTTGATTTCTATCATATCGTTTGGTTCCAAATCCAACGTTTCCATCATCTAATCAAGAACAATGAGAATATCAAGTATTGTTTAGTAGTGATCCCGAAAATGAATACAGGTCTATATTGCATGTGTGTCTGTGTGTCTGTTTTTACCCATTGTGGAAAGTACGCGCGTCCTTCTTCGGCGACAAATTCAAGCACACCAGCATGGCTGCTCTTGCCCTTGCTTGCATTAATCAATCGAAACAGCATAGGGTATGAAATGTTGAGTTGAGCTATAAATTCATCATCAGTATCCACGGATTCCAATAACCCCCCCCCACCGAACACCTCCATGCGTCTTTAACTAAGAGAAGCTTACAGAGTTTTTCCAATGCAGACTGCGGAAGAATAACTGAAATGATGATTAACAAGCGATTGTTAGTAAAAAAAACCCCAGGACGAGATATCAGACACACACAGAGAGAGAGTAGTAATAGAAATATATATATATATCTATAAAGCTGCCCATTATTTCATAGTATTTACTTTTGCCACCATAATTGACGTTTTCTCTGTCACTGCCACTCTGCATCATTGCGATCGGATAGCAACGATAGAATTCAGAAAAGCCTCGGTTAGGATTCATCAAGCCAGATATAGGGTGACCCAAGCTACCGAAAAATCCAGGTGAAAAAGGGTTTTCATCGTCGAAATCACCGTTATACTATTGTATGCGTGCATGTATACATATATATATTCGTGAGTTTGTGTGTATATATACTCAATGACGACGGCCCAAAAAGAAAACTCGATCGTTCTTTTTGTAGATCTTTGAAGTAGGTCTCTATCTCACCATTTTGTGTATTTTCTCTCTTTATGATAGGGTTTCTTTGGGTTTGTTGTTGTACGAGTATGTGTGTGTATTTTTTCCTTTGCTGAAAAAGAAAGAGGACGATTGAAGAAAAAGCAAAAAGGGGAGAGAGAAGAGAGAGAGATGTATGCATTTGTGTGTCGTGTCTGTTCCCGTCCTACTTTTTTCCGACTCCGACCTTCTTGTCCGTCATGCGTGTCCGTTTGGGTCTTTGTGGCAGTGACGCAATGTTGTTAAGGGCAAATTTATTATTTTTAATTTGTTCACAAGTATTATATGGCACAAGGGTGGTTTTTTTTTCTCATACTGGCTTGAGTAGCGTAAAAAAAATGGATTAAGTAGTACGGCGGACAGGGAGTTTGGTGGTGGATGTGTTATTATTATGATTGCAAGCAACGGGTAATCCACATCGTGGTCCAGCAGCAGCAGCAGCAGCAGCAACAACACCAGGAGGTTTCTTAATATTAGAGCGGGCAGCAGCAACAGCAGCAACAACAATGTCCGTTCGTTTCTGTGGACCATTGATAGGTACTGGAAGATGGCTTGTGGATGAGACCTTTTTGTTATTGCCAGTAGTAGTAGTAGTAGTAGAAGTATTCGTGATGGGGGTAAGCAGCGGATCCTTATTGTTTGCAGTGTTTGTTGTGTTGTTTGCAAAAGCAGCAGTGACAGGAGACTGTGGTGGGGATGGTGGCGGTATTTTTCTCGTTGTCAGTCTAGGAATCCGTGGTGGTCCCCTGAGTCTTGTGGGTGAAGACCGTGCGGTACCAATACTGTTGCTACGAGTGGTACTGCTACTTGTTGTGGTGGTTGCTATTGGTGCTTTCGACTCCTCTTCTTGTTCATCATTACTTGTATCGTTGGTGGTGCTGGTGGTGATCATGTTCTCTTCTTCCTCAGTTGCTGACGATGATGATGATTCCTCAGCTGGTTTGGCTGCTGCTGCTGCTGCAGGCGCCGTTGTCGTTGTGGTCGTCGTCGTCGTCAGCAGCAGCAGCTGATGCGTTGCTGTTTGTTCATCTCGCTGCATGATATCTTCCATATTGAGCGTGGGTGCATACACCTTGCTTCTGTTGCTACTAGTACTTTTAGTACTACTGCTACTGCTACTACTTGTGCTATTGTTGCTGCCGATAGTGCTGGAACTCGGGCTTGCTTTACAAACTGGAGGGTGCTCCTCCTTCGTTCGTCGTAAGCTTGGAGCTGAAGAATCCTTTGACAGTGTCCCCCGATTCTCTTGTACCAGTACTGGTTCAACACAGGCTTCTTCTTCCTCTTCTTGCTCGTCAAGCCGGTCATCACTGCTAGTGGGAGTCTTTCTCCCAGTGTTGATGCATCCCTTCTCGCCGTCATCGTTTGGATAGACCTTTTCATCTATCTTCTCCTTGTCCTCCTTGTTGTCATCATTGCTGTTGTCGTCGTCGTCTACTACTGGTTTTTCTTCTTCTTCTTTGGCCATACACTTTTCTTGGTGGTGTTGTTGTTTCTTGCTATCGCTGTTACAGTGGTCATCATCAAGACGCTCTTGATGTTCTTCATCCAATCGCGAATCTTGTTGTTGCTGGTGTTGCTCGTTCAAGCTAGGCTCTTTTGAACTTGTTTCTTTAAAGCTAAAGCTATTATTTACAGGTTTTGAAAGATTACTACTGTTAGCGGAATAAGAATGGGGGGCGGTCATTCCCAATCATATTATACAGGAGAGAGTGTGTGTCCATACTTTGTTGGCGATACACATTCAGCAATAGCGCTATCGGAAGGAGATGATGATGATGATGTAGTAGCAGCTAATGTGGTTGTTGTTGTTGTTGACGTAGCAGTGAATTTATTGCCATTAATCACAATATTGGTCTTGTCGACTGCTGTTCCGAGCAATCGTTCACTGATGACCCGGGTCGTTGGAAGTGGCGGGAACGCGTTCTTGATCTTTTCACTTTTTCCTTCATTTTTCTTCTTTTTGAAGAAAAACATGGTTATTTGCTTTTCTGAAAGTAGTAGAAGAAAGGGGGAAGTAGGATGAAGGAATACCGGGAGCGTGCGTTGCGTGGTTGAAAAGAAAAGAAAGAGAAAGAAGAGGAGAGAGGACAGGCTGTTGTTGTTTTCGTAAAGAAAAAAAAAAGACAATGTGAGAAACGGAGGAGAAAAGAGAGAGGGGGAGGAGGAGGAGGATGAGGAGGGGTGGGAGTAGGAGATGTTAAAGAGGGGAGTGGAGTGAGGGAAAAAAAAGCTTTTAAAACCATCACGCACACGCATTCAGTGGGGTGTGTGTGTGTGTGTGTGTGTGTGCATAATAAGGAGGACTGTGCATGGTCTTCTTTTCTCTCGCACACACACTTGGACAGCCTCTCTTAGTGTCTTACGGGCACGCACAGCATAAACAAGCAAATCATACAGGATGATTCAAGCATGCAGCAAGACTTTATTTATCATCGTCAGCAGCACCATCCCAGCAGGAGTAGGCTGACTATGCAATACATGCTACATAACGGCGCATAGTGTACAGTCACGTTTGCCCTTTTCTCTCGTTCTTTTACAAAACTGCAATGATCATGGATTCGCTTTTTTCGGTAAGGATTTGCTATACATCTCTAATATCTCAAAAGAACCATGAAGAAGATGGCTCGTAAATTAAATATCGGAAGAATACAAATGATGCAATCCGAGTTTGGTTCGCTTGTAGCACTGAAAAAACCTGGGACAAAGTTTGCTTTCAAACACATTTACAAAGCGGCTGGAACCAATAATGACGCTATAACAATAATACAGCTCGATTAACTATTTGTCATCTATATAACAGAAACAATACCAATAATACTTGATGACACGTTGCTGTTATACAATATTAGTACTGTTATACATTAAACCCGTATGGTGGTGATGATCTATGTATGTGGAACAAGAACCAGAGGATGGTGATGGTTGATAAAGCACCGCCAGATCAAAAAGACACAAAGTCATTGTGCAATTAATTTTATTGCTATAATTCTTTTGACTCAAAAGTTTTTTTTCTCGCTTTTTATGACGGCAAGAATGAAGAGAGGGCGGTTGACTTGATTTGAAGGTTGTAGAGTGCGTGCTATATAGTAGGTAGTTACTACTGAAAGGAGGGGATGGGGTTTGTTCCAAGGGGCGGCGAATTGTGAAAGTTATAAGGGATGTGTGAGACAAGAAAAAAAAAAGATGGGTGATATACATATATATAAAGAGGATTATTACAGACAGAAAACAACAAACAACAAAGCAACAAAACAACAATATAATAAATATATGATTGTATGAATATATATGATTATGCATAACGGATAACGTCAATGCCAACAGATCGTCTAACTTGCATGATTGCCACTAACTCCTTGATAGTTTCTTCGAGAATCACAACATTGTTCAACAGCGTTGACAATGTAATTTCGGTGGATTTGTCCATACGGCGCTGTTGCGAAGGGTTAGCAGCCTTGGGTGCAAACGTATCTTCATCATCTTCGTCTAGATCCAGGATTGGCTCTTCGATCTCGGTGACGAAATTGGAAGGGAACAAGGGCTGGATACGGATCGTTTGGGCTCTTTTGGCATGGATGGCGAGTGGTGACATTGGATGCTGTTGTAATGAGAGTGGAGGAGACGATGTGGTGGATGATGAAATGGATCTGGTAGGTTTGATCGGGCTGCTGCTAGCATTACTACTGCTGCCATTAACAGCTGCAGCACCTGCAGCTGCTGCTGCTGCGGTAGTAGTAGTAGTAGTGGTGGTAGTAGAACTGGATATGGATGGCCGCATCATAACTGAAGCGCGTCGAACATCGTTATTAGGTGGTACAGATGACGGTGGCTGCTGTTGTCGTGTGGATGTCGATGATGAAGTCACCATACCGACTTGTGCATCCGTCTGTGTATCTCCCACCATCAATCCATTCCGTCGTTCCTGTAACAATCGATCAAACCCATCCACCTCGGACCGATAATAATCGATTTGTTGTGTAAGCGTACGGAACAATGTAAAGAACGGCGGGAACGATTTGAATTGTATAGGCTGCGTCATTTTTGTAGAGTTGCGATCGACGCCAAAATCCACAGACCGGTCGTCATCATCGGCATCTTCATCCACAGCCGTCGTTTCAAACTGTGCGTAAATATCTTTGGCACGAATCGAATCGCTCTTGTTGTTTTTACCATCATCACTTTTGTCAATACCATTGCTAATGTGTGCGCGTTGCAATTGATCGCTTGCGTCAAGTACGAGCACATCGTCCGGCTTGGTTCGATCACTTTCTTGAAAAGCAATCCAGCCTTCCAAACTTCGATAAGGGCAGACGGCAAGTGCCGAAATCACACCTGTCAACACCAAGTTCAACTCGGGCGACTGTGCAAAGAAATGGCTCAACAAGCCGAGTAATATCTGAAGCAATGGATCCGTCGATCTGATCCTATGTTTGAACATTTTTGTTCGACTACTTGGTTGTATTTGTTGTTGCTGCTGCTGCTGCTGCTGTTGTTGTTGCTGCTCCTTGACCTCTTTGTGGTCAAATCGTTGGCCATACTTGAAGCTCCTCCGTCTCTCACTCTTGGTGGTCTTTGCACCATTCTTGTTGCCATTACTTGGCGTAACCCCGGTAAATGTATGGTAGCACATGTCATTGTCCATAACCGTCTCAATGTCCTGCAAGTAATTCTCGTATCCAAACGACATGATATCCTCTGCGTGGGTCTGATCGACTGCTGTGATCAAGGAGAAATACAGCTCAATTTCCCGCAAATGGTGTGAGATGATGGTGGCCTTGTCGTCGAGTGTTTGCTGCTTGTTGTCTGGATAAATGGACAACAGCTTGAGCGCGTAGCGACAATGTCGAGTGACGAGTGTTTTGAGCAACTTTAACGTGGCGACGACTGTAGGTTGTGAACTTGATTTGAGCCGGCTAAAGATCAAGTCCTTGAGAGTAAACCGCTCAGCGGCTGTAAAGTAAGGCGAGCTCTTGAATTGGTCGAGTTCGATTCCGGCAAACACATTGTTCCCATAGGGCGTAGACGGTGCTGATGTCCCATCCGCTGCCTGTTGCTGGATCCCATAATTATCCTCGTCCATCAAAAACCCTACCACCACATTGGCCAGATCATCCTGCTGCAATATCTGGAGAATCAAATCGATATAACTTATAACTGCAACCGAAGAGCCATCCGTGTCGGAACACTCGAGAATCGACGGATACAGGATATTCTCCAAAAAGATCGTCCGAATTGACTGTAACAACCGCATCGAGATTTCGGCATTGGGACATCGTGTCAATACGTCCTGACAAAACTCAAAGAGTTTCAAAAACGAGTCGAGCTGGTACTTGAATTCGTGCGAGCTTGACTTTTCGACAACGCCCGGCATCGCGTAACGTGGATCAACAATATCCTGACCGATCAAATAGGATGCCAAGTTACTGTTCAGTTCGGCCTCGTCCTTGATCATGAGTTTACGCGGCAGTTGGGAATACAGCGCGCCCAGTCCGGCTGCCATGATGGTCGCGAAATCCGATTCAATAATAAAGTCGCCGAGTTGATGCGTTGCCATTTCCATAAGGAATAATAAGCCAGTACGTGCAAAATCGCCTGTCCTTCCTTCACGATGTACGAATCGCAACAAGTATGTGAAAAGTAGAAACTCGTACTCGGGTTTTTTGGGCTGTGGTTGTTGCTTTTGGTGCTGTGGATCAACAGTGCTGCCGTTGTTATTATTGTGAGTGTTGTCAACGAGCTTTACTGGCGTATGCGTCTTTTGTGGTGTTGTCAACCATTGTTTGTCGTGAAAGAAAATATTGAGCAATGCAGGGAACCCATGGATTTTCGAGCAAATGATATACATCAGATCAACCAGGTCTTCGTGATACAAGTCGCTTTGCCGTTCGTCGATCACGCAGAAGCGCAGCAATTTGATGGTCGGTTTATGGACGGCATTGTGGACAAGGAACCGGTCGTCAAGCAGATCCACCATATTCGCGATCGTACGGATGGCCTCGCCATGTATACCCACAGGATTATCTGATTTCTCGGATACGTTGACGAGATATTGCAGAATACCGTTCTTTAAAAAGTATTCCATACACACACCCGTCGTGTTGTCTTCTTGTCGTGCCTCTTCATCCACTAGCATGTCCATCATTTGTCGCAATTTGCTCGGAATCTCGGTTTGTTGCACGTGTACATTGGCCTTACGGTCTTCCACCATCAAGATGTTCTATATATACGAAAGAGGGAGGGGAATTGGAAACAGGTAAGAATAAGAAAAGAAAACAAATAATGAGAATGGCACTTTTTGTTTTCATGATTGTTTCAAATAGGTAGTGCCCCCCATCTCGTTTCTTTTTCTCGGATTGAGAGTAAGGGTAAAAAATAAAACAAGTGACGTACATGGACGTAATCCCAACACTTGTGGAACTTGGTCAATTGCATGGCCGGTGTCGGCTGTTGCCTTAGAGGTGTAATCCTCTTTTTAAATTTGGCGAAATAGTCCATAAAGAATGGAAAAAGTAAAAAGAGAACCTATTACCACTACTACTACTACCAAAAATTGACAGAAAACTTTAACTCTGCGTGTGGTGCCTTTCGGGATTTTTGCATTACTAATAAATGATTGGCTGTAAGGCACTCTCCACACTTTAATATATTTTCGTGTTGAAATGTTTTCCAGAATTAATTAATAACACTCTTTTCTTACTTCGTTTCCATTGTGGTAGCGCGGAATAGTGTTGACATTCGTTTGATGAATTCTTTACTGTGTTTTTCTTTGTCGGCCAATTAGCTGTATGATAGTGTAATTATAGTTGCAATAAAAATAAGAAGCACGGCTTACACACCAATAATGAACATGCGTCTTCACTGTATGTTATACACTTTCGAAACTGGATGGTTGCAATATCTGCATGGCAATAAGCTCACCATGGTAACACATGTTTATGATATTTTGTCGTTTTCTCGGCTCTACCCCTGCAGGGGTAGTTTTTCATTTTTACTTATAAAAAAACTTTGGGCTCGCGGAATGAGGTTAAACTCTTTACAAAACGCTTCTTGACAGCGGGAAATCAGTAACCTAAACATGTTTTTGGCGTGGGTGCGGTAATATAACGACCTACATATCATACACATCTTTTTCTTTCCTTTTTTTATTTCAGCTGCATGATTTGTATCGGAGTACTTTTATTCCCTAACCCTTCAATCCTTGAGCATAAGCGAATCCTGTGTTGTCCGTGACACATAGCGATGGCCGCCAACAACAACAGTTATGACCAGCAACGCCCAAACACACAAGTGCATATACACACAGTTCTTAGTATCACTGTTTCTGTACCAACCTTCCGATCAATCAGTATGATATAACAAATTCAAAGCAGCCAATGTCACTCAAAGAATCAGGCAGAGGGATTAGTCAGTATAATAAAACATTTAGTTCAAATGATGAAAGACAATACAGAACTTTAAACTTTTAATTATAGAAGGTTTTACATTAATGGAAATTGAACTGGGGAAATGATCATGTACTTTTTTTTTGTGTGTTTGCTGAATGTAATTATGATGATGATGATGATAACTGAATGCTTTCTACGATGCCAGTGCCGAGACGTTCCATCTCCCGCACGATGGCTTCAAAGTTGGGTTTCACTAGTTTGGATATCTCTTTCTTTCCTTTAGCCGGTTCCTTTTATATATATAAAAAAAGACCAAAATGTTAGAATTCACTTGTAACTAGGTAGGAATGGCGGGTTCTCTTGTACTCTCAATTTGAATATAAAAAAATGCTCACCAAATATCCATCCTGGTTCATATCAACAGGGATGCTGTTGTAACCAAGATTGACTTTCCATTGTTTGGGTGCAGCTGTCATTGGATTCCAGACAATACCGATCTTGTCACCACCAAATTGGTCATGGAACAACAGGACAATGTCACCGTATATACGCTAATTACACACACACACATTGTTTAATCCCTTTTTTCTTCAGTGATCCAGTCCCTTGTCAATGCAATTGAATTCAGTTTTACCTCGAGTTCGCTGATATATTCAGCCACAGGATTGAACTTTGCATGTACAGTGTCGCCCAAGATGGGATCCTCTTCAGATTCCAAAAGCTTGTGCTGAGGGCGTAAGTTCTGGTAGTAGCGTGTGCATCGATCGGTTTTCAATTGAATTACTGCATGATAATCTTGCATGGGTGTAACAAACAAACTCTGTGTGTGTAAAAAGGAACCAAACAGAGTAAGTAAAATGACAACGTTACCAAGCAACTCTTTCTTTATCTTACCTTGATATCCTTGTCTTGGCCTGATTGGATTGCCTGGTCCAATGCAGCAACTGATGCTCGTGCCAGCATCTGTACACGTGCAGCCACAGCCTTGTTGGGTTTGGGACTGGACCACCTTAAGCCATCCAAATCCTTTGCCGTAGCCACAACCAGGGTAGCGTGTGCGCTCTTTTTTGTGAATCGTTGTGAGATAGTGTCGCGGTCGGCTTCTGTCAGCTCGCCCTCGATATCGACCACCAAGGGTGTCTTGCGCCAGTCCCAAGTGGCCAATAGCCCAAGAACACGGGCCATACCGGTAATTGCATTGACAGGAGGCTGCCATGGATGGGCCTCCAAGAATACATGGGCACATATTAATTCAATCAGCTCCTCCGAGATTTGCAAGGATAACAAATGAGCGCCAAACCATCGCTTCATGAGGCGTACAGTGGCAGAGTACGCAGGGAACTTGACGCACACTGCCTGGATGTAAAATGTGTGTCGTTGTTGGTAATGGAAGCGTAATTCGTGTACCCGTAAAGCTTCCTGAGCATGGGCCTTTAATTTTACGTCGGTACTTTTCTTGTCAGTGATGGTGTTTTTGAGGGCATCGCTTTCTTGAGGCACGTGCAAATGACAGCGGAAAATGTACCCGTAGTAGAACACGTCAATATACCCTTGGGCGAGCAGCTTGTTCTCATTGTTGTTCTCTGGATCCGTCAACGGACTCACCACGATCGATTCTGTACCGAGACGGGACTTCAACTCTTGAGCAATCTTCAAGTAGAACGCATACTTCACTTTTTGGAGTGCAGCGAGATCATCGGGCCACTTGGTGGATCGTTCGAGCTGTACAATGACGTCCATGGCATCAATGTAGCGTGCTGTTGTTGGATAGCTGGCAGCAAGATCGAAATCGATAGGATGAGGCAAACAAGCGGACGTGTATCGTAATCCGGAAGAAGCAGGATACACGTTGCTGATCAAGAGAGGCAAGTTTGTATCGACGTCACGAAGCGACTTTGCAAATTGATTGTAGGCAGTCATGACAGGCTGGAATCCGCTGATTTCGAGCTGACGACTGAAAAGGCTGGCTGGGACATGTTTCGATAAGTGCAAGTATGGATACACTTGCTGACCCGTCCAAACAAGCTCTGGCTCGGTGTGGAAATGATGTTGGAGCAAATGCTGCACGATGTACTTGACAATCAACGTACGATTCTCGTATCCTTGCACTTCCCATACAACACTCTCGACAATACTGCCATCCTTGAAACGACGCAATTCGGCCTTATCGCCCCAGAATGCTCGGAACGCGTCGCATGCTTCTTTCTGTTGAGCGTCAGGACCTTGATCCACGATGCGCGGCGAGTAATCGGCGTTGAGCACAAGTCCGATTTTGATATGGGAAGGTGAAGATGATGCCACATCATTGGTACCCCATGCCAGTTCTGCATCATATTGAACAGCGACCAATTCAGCACGGTTGGTCAAACCACGCTTCAACACGTCGTATACGGATTTGGCGAAAAAGTCAATGTGCAAAGGATGTTCGGATTTGGCAACATCATCATAGCTTTTGAGTGCTTCTGGGACAGGAATGGTAAAGGCGTTGTCGAATCTTGTCTTGATGTCATTGACGCTGCGGAGGAAGAGTGTATCGAATCGATCGACGGTGTCGTTGAATGCAGCCATGGCGAGCTTAGCTTCGTACTGTACCTGAGCAAGGCCAGACTTGCTCAAGTTGGCTGCCAGGTTGACTGTGCCGGAAGGATCAACGATGGTGACCGGGTAGTTTTCTTGGAAATGATGGACGGCAAACTATTTATAATCGATATTTAGCATGGGGATATAATACATGATAATAGGATCTCGTTTCGTTTTCCTAGAAAACATACATCTGGGTGGTCTGATTTTCCAATCATCACTGGGTTCTTTTCAAAATCGTGGGTGCCTGTACGTTTCGGTGAGTTACAATTTCCTTTACCGTAAGCAATAGGACGACAATGAAAATAAAAACTTACTCAAAAAGTCCATGGTTCCTCGCAGTAACTGGTACGAACTGTGACCTGTTGACAACTTGCGACCACCTTCAGCAAGACCACCTTGCAACAAATAGCCCATCACCATGGCAAATAAAAATGCGCTAAATCCAGAGCCAGTACGATTCGACTCTAATTCTCGCTGATACAGCCAAGTCCGAGCAAGCATGATGGCATCCTTAAAGGCAGCACAACTTTTACTGTGCTCGTACAAGAACGCTAGACTGGAGGAGAATGTTGTATCCATCAAGATGGAAGCATTGTATTGTGGTGTTGGTGAATCTGCCAATGTGGTGGTGGAGGTGTCGTCGTTGGCATGTCGAATATTATTGCGGTTAGGAGCGAGACGATAAGGTGGGAAGAGATCTTGCGAAATGGATGGAAGGATACGGATGGTGCATTTTGTTTTCGAAAAATCGACATCGCTCTTGTCTAAGGAAAAGCCGTAAGTACCACGTATTCTCTCTTCTCTCTCAAAATAAAAAAGAATGAAAGTGAGGAACTTACCGCCAGCAGGTTTCACAATAAGAATAGGACGGTGGGCATCACCATTGAATGTGCTGAATTCCACTTGAAAGTTCTTTTTGGATTTTTGGATTGCATGGGCTAACGTTGCGAGGTAGCATGCTCGTTTGTAAAAGTAACGGTTGTTGGTATAATCTTTTTCTTGAAAGATGCTCTATGAGCCACGCTCTGATGTTAGCGTATACAAAACGTACATAGAAATAGAGTATCCATTTGATTACAGACTCACCGAGGGCATTTCAACGGCAACGTCAACATTGAAAGGACGCTTCAGCTTCGTGACGGTCTTGAGAGCATAGCTTCCTACCACTTTGACAGATGCAGGCTTTTCAAACTTGAATTTGTACAATGCGTCTTTGAAAGGAGGTGCCTGCAAGATAGGTGCTGTCACCTTTTGCTTTTTGCCCATCTTTATGATATAATCATTGACCTAATTTACATGGAAGAAAAGTCAATTCTTGTTTCATGTATCATCCAATTTAAAAAAAAAAACTTACAAGCTCTTCTTTTCCTTCTGGTATATTTTCAAAGATCGTTTTGAGTTGATGAAGAGCGTTCATCAATTTTTTGTGCTTGTCGTAGTCGACGCTGACTTCTTGCAAAAGTTCATCAATCTGGGATTTACCAAACAGTGTTTTGTTGGTCAGTTTTATCAGCGACTAATAAGCAAGAAAACTCGTGAATTTATAAAAAATCTCACCTCCAGTTTGAAGATATTCGACTTGTACAATTCAGCCGTTTCCTTCAATCCTTCTAATTCACCACCAGCGACAGCGTCGTCGTCATGGTCGGTTTTGTTGCGCTTTTTCTTAGACTCGCCCTCACCTGTTGCGTCTTCGTCACTGTCTGATCCATCTTCGTCTGTTTGTTCTTCCCAATCGTCATCGTCACCTTCATCGTCGTCATCGTCGTCAATGTAATTGGCAGAAGCAGCCATAAGATCTTGGTCGTCGTCTTCGATCTCATCGATCGTTGTTGTTGCAGGTTTCTCGACTTTGGCCTGAAGTAGAAAAAAAAACTCTCTCAAGTCAATTATTTCCATTTACATGCCACTTTGTTGTCAAAATGTAAGTTACCTTTTTCGTTGCAGCAGCATTGGCAGGTGTCGAGCGATTCACTTTTCTTTTTGCAGCCATTATTAAAGTTGTTCTCGAAACAAAGAGTTAAAAAGAACAAGAAAAAAAAGGCGGGATTTTTGGATTCCTCAGCCCGCTCACGCTTTATCTCAAATTACTAGGCACACATCCTTCCATTGCCCGGATTTTCGTGACGCGGTTTCCTCATCCCAGGGCTTGGCTGGGATTTTCATGCACTTCTACTAGACAGTAACTCCGCTATGTTTCTCGTTATGTACAACGCAACATGTCGACAGGCAGGCAACGTTACCAATGAGCTCTAAAGTAAGTTGCTATACTACCTAAGAATGTATGCTACGTTGAGCGTAACATATATGCTAAAGTGTCTTAAACTGTATGCAAATTCAAGCATGTTACTATCTGCACTGCCACTGGAACTAATAAGCAAAAGTGACAGCACTGATATGAGAGAAAGCATTGTATACATACACAGTCAAAAAGCTTTATTACTGAGTTGCTAGAATGTGTATTGCCGTTATGAGTGCTGCAATCAAAAGAGATAGCATAATAAAGAGATGACAAATATACAAGTCATCAGTTTTTCGCTTGCACGTTGACAAAAACTCTACTCTTTACGGCGCAGTGCATGTTCCAGAGTTAGAACCTGGGCTGCTGGGAGCACATTCGAGACTGCAGCAGTAGACGTGTCCAGACCCGTTGGTATCGACATTGCAAGCAAGGCCGGCATTCAAACAAGCACGTTTTTCAGGGGTCTCGAGACCGTTAGCGACGGCGATTACAGCAACCAAGGTAATTATAAAAAGATTCTTGACACGGGAGGCAACCATTTTTGGAGAGTATAGTTTCTGTTATATAGTAATGATGATCAGCATTATTTCAGAGTGCATTGAATTCTACATCCGAAGATGTTTTGAAATTTTCACTAACATCGACAATAGAAATTGGGTATGGTGGTTATTGCAGTTCTAGCATTAATCGCAACAGTTTATATACTTTCTTTTATCATTTTCTGATAAAGTTTAATATAGGTTAGTGCTCTAGCTCTTGCTTTTCTCTTCTACACGGTCATATTTCTGTTCGGAATCATTTATTCACCGGTACAAGAAAATTATGTCAGCAGTATGCTATTACAGGGGCCACGCTATGTACCAGAGTAGTGGAAGCTCATCAAGGAATACGTAATTTCTCTTCTTCTTTCAGGGTAACCTGTTCCACGACTGATCGTTCAGAGATTATATTATATAATATTAAACCTGTTTAAAGCATGAGAATCCCTTTATTACATAACCGTTTTTTCCCAGACAGCAAACTTGAAGTACATTGCTCGCTTAACTTCAGCCATTCTATGTTTTTATTTATAAATGAATAATACTACGCTGCCGTTTGCTCTAGCTCCTTCTTCTGGAGCTACGTTATTTTAATAGTAGAAATGCTGCCGTACATATCTTTGGCCTGACAAACTCAATGCAAGAAATAGTTCTCGAGCAGATCCAATAACCTACATACTCAAATTATGTATTCTATGACATACTGTATTCAATACGGGAGACGATGTATTGTTTCAGCGTACAATTATCGGCGAATTTCTGTGTGTGTAAAAAAACATACAGCACCCGCCCGCTTCTTCCAGGGTACCAGGAGCGGAAAACCATACTCAAAAAGGCTAGGATTGACAAATGCCAGTTGCCAGGATGGTAATACAGCGATCAATTTATGGCAAATCCAATCTGTCAGACACCGGAATCTACTTGGAAAGTATTAGCGGTCAAAATCTAGCGAAAAAAGACATACAGACACGTAACAAGGAGTGTAGAATAATATACACACAATCGCTTTTATTTGAGCTATTCTAACACTTTCACTGCTTTTAGGAATTGAGCAGCAACGGATATTTAATATGATAGGCGTCCTATATGAGGTACCCACAGAAATATTTTGCAGAGACAATTATTTGTAAGTTGGATACTGCATGTAGCTAATTATTCATTGGAAGCATACCAAGGTCATGTCGTTAAAAGTGTAATTTTACTTTAAGCTCATCAAAGAGTACGCATTTCTGTTCTGTTGTCAAAAAATGACCATATCTTGTGCCTCGTGATAGATATCGCCATGTAACAGCGGCAATAAGAACGAAAGCAACGCAAGATTATTCAATAAGCAAACGTAAACCACATATCCACAGTCTTCGTAACTACCCCGACAACGTTCAATGAGTGAGGTATATTTGGTGGTACCGATCATTGAGGTACGTGATCATCTAGTGCTTATGTAAACCCAAACTTTCAAAACAAGCATCTTGGGAAAAGAAGTATATGCTAAAAATGCAAGTACACGTACATCTATTTTGCTGCTGTATTGGCTTTGCTTACATATGTACTTTCAAATAGTTATATAGTGCATAGTGCTTAAAAGCACAATCAAACCGAATTTGACTGAATGTGTGTTCTCTCATATCTTTTGGATTTTCTTGAATGTTTGGACATAAACCAGATAGTTTTTTTTGAGGTGTTGAAAGGCATAATCTCAACAAGATCCGGTGTTTCGGTGCTTGCACCAAAGTTGTCTCTCAGTAACTTCTTTTTTTCCCATGCATCATCTCGCTGTGGGATACGAGTGGAAACTTTTGACAATCGTGCTGGAGAAAAATCTACCAGGCGGCTTCAGATATATGTACGGATCTGAAAGAGTAACGTAGCCGTTCCGCATATTTTATGATATGGAGCTTATTATAAAGAGACGCAGAATCAAATTTTGGGCAGACAATACAAAGAACGTCAGCATGTGTAGGTGGTTTGAGTGGATGCTAAATAAAATTGCTAGTTGCTGTTGTTGTTTGTGATATGCACAATTACATTCGTTATATTAATCCCAGCTGGCCATCAAGTGTTGTGAACTCTTGGATTTTTGGACAGTATAGTAAGTGTCTCGAATTTCTCATATCAAAGACGACCCTGAATGCATCAAAGTGTTAATTACCTAAATATACAGATCCTGTACTCTTCTCGGCGAGTTTCTGTTCTTGATTATTACCGTCGTGACACCAGCGTGGCTGAGTGGTTTACCCACCCTCCTGGGATCCCAACGTTATTCTTCGCATTATTTTGAAGATGGATCGAGCTATGAGTTATCGCTTTGAGCGTGTTCCCTTTTTCCTAATCATGTGTGGGAATAATCACAGGAGGTTTGATAGAGATATGATAATGGTTTTCTTTTACGTACTTCATACACTCTACGTACTTGACATGTATACAACAGTTGTTTCATGTTTATTAAGTTTCTGTTTATGTACTGTATTGCTTTTTTTCATTTAATTCATTCTTAAAATGTGATGGAAGCGGGAGTTAACAGTTGGATAATTGTCATAATCATGTCGACAGCAGCATAATTATACTTTCCACAATAACAGAAAATAACACAGCGCGTGTTTCTATACATAGCTAAAAAGAGGTAAACTGCTTCATATGCATGAGCTTTTGAGAAAGATACATAACATCGTCCTGCTGAGGTCGCTTACATACTTAATCTAATAATCTTATTTTTACAAACCATATAATTGATGCACGATAGTATGTATTGTACTTGAAAAATTTATTTTAAATGTATGATATGTATGAAATTTTTATCTGTTTCTACCCAAGTGATATTTCGAGTTTAGAATAAGAGGAATAAGCTGGTACTGCAAATGTTAGTAAGTTTCCGTCCTAAGTAATGACAGCCCCCTGTTCTTTTTTTTTTGCTTGTTTTTTTAAGATCTATACAAAAGTACTAGTACAGGCACTTCGCTGCTTGGTTCTGCCTTTCTGTCTTGATGTGTTGTCGATTTTTCAGTAGCCCATATTGCCGTCAGTTTGTCTGTTGTTTTTTTTGAGCCACGAACCGTATTTTCGCATTTCCTAGTTGATCATCTTGACTTCGCTCTTTTGCATAGACGGCGTTGTCCTGAGTTGCGACTTGAAAGTTGAACTCCTATGCTTCGAATCTATGTCTTGCACTGATGATTGTTGAGGTTATTTTGGCGATGGAAATAGTCTTAGACCTAAACAGATGAACGTCAAAGAGCTTTTTATGTTAGATAGTGACGATTAGATGAAATTTGAGCACCTGTTGCTGTTTTCTGTTTGTACGTACTGTCAATATTACCAATCCCTTCGCTCGTCCTGTGCAGTTTAACTTGATGGCGTGTTCGTGTTGGCCATGGCTTGACGTTGTTTTTGTGTATGATGTGGATAATAGAATTGGCTGTTCTGCGTGTTGATTTCTCTTTGTTTTGTTGATGGTTCCTGAATATGCTTGTATAACATATCTGTCAAGACTTGTTTTAACGCTGCTGTTGTGCGTGTGATATGAATAAGCCCATTCGATGATACGACTGATGTCCTCTTTTGTGTGCCTTCTTGGCCTCGTGCTCCATCAAAAGTCCGTGACGCCTTTTCGTTTCTTGACATCGGCTTGAGCTTCGCGTTTTGTGTCACGGACTTGGTTTTGCTGATTACTGTATATTTTTTTAAACTATACTAACACTACTTTTTTTTTCTGTTCTCTTTTTTTTTTTTTTTCGATTTCTTGCTTTTTTTGGGGGGGCCATCATTACATAGAAAATAACTTACTAGCAATCTGTCAGACAAAGAATAGATGTAAATTTTGGCGGATCTTGATTTGTGGAAAGAGACCTTCACTAATAAAGAAGATAGAGTAAAATCACAGTGAGCACAAGTGTTTACAAAAGTAATGAGCATAAAGTGCGTTGGGTTTCCTTACCACGATACTACTATACGTGATTGTTCTCCTTTTTGATTTGCACTATTATTCACAACTGGAATAGAGACTGCCACCATCTCTTTCTAGTGATGTTTCTTGTTGCTGCCAACGCATGACAAGGAAAGGATGATAACAAGTGTACTTCCTTGTCTGCATCATGCCCGGCTACATTGGTCGCTGTTTTCACTATTAGATTCATTTGAGCTTGATAAGTATGTATTCCCAGTGGTACTAATTGCATCATATTTCTGTTTCAGCCTCACATCATCGACATTCAAATTACCTGTTAGTCTCCTACTAATGATTGTATTGCTGCCGTAAACCAATGAGTATGCTTGGAAGTCCATAGTGTGTAGATCTTGATCACATGTCTTGTCTTGTTCTTCTGTGCATCAAGAGACCTTGATTGTTTCCCTCGTCGTGTAGTGGTTTTCGGACGCGCTTTAATGTTCGTTGCTTGCTTGTTGTTGTATATTTGACAGTTGTATATGAATGACGAGCCAGCTTCGTTCGGCCATTGATATTGTGAAAGTGCCGTCGTGTCGTTCCATCAATCACTTGCTGATACTGTCCTTAGAGGCAATGTCTTGTAGAATGCCCTTGGGCGGTTTTTTTTGTTTTTGCTGCCACTGCCTGCTGCTTGTTCATTTGCCACCGTGTTACATAGACCCACCAAAGCAGAAAGGATACTGGCTAATATGAATACTGGCTTGTTCAAAAAGCTCTGAGCATTGCTGTCCGTGATATCCCTGCTGCACATACCGATGTTTTTTATGACTCTTCATCGCCGACTTTTTGTGCCACCTTTGCCGCCTTGTTTACTAAGAGGAGATGTATATAAGTATCATTCCCTGTTTAATTAAGTATTGGCCTGATCAAATAGTCACGTACTGTACACTTACTATTATTTTGTATCCACTAAACGGTCGTGTGAAATGTTGTCAGTTTCACCTAAATCTTGCTGATGCTTTTGCCTTTTGCTGTCATTGCTTTTGTGCGATTCATGTCGCTCGCGTTTGTTGTCAATTCTGCCTTTTTATAGCTTGCAACTGTTGATGAAAGCTTTGGTCTTGTTGTCATTTCGAATGTGTCGTCAATGTTGCTTTTTTCTGTCGTTTGAGTTTTGTACTCCTTGCTGCCCTGTAGATTTGTCACCATTTCCGCCCTTGCTGCTGCTTGATTTGTGCTGTCACACAGTGTAAAATCGATTGACCCTGTGTTGCCGCCTAAATTGTTGATGCCATGAGTATTCCCGCCGTATATGTGGTGTAATAACTCTGGTTCGCCAAGATAACGTCATATCATATCGTGCATTGCCTATCTCTCGTAATTCCTTGTCGCTTTTGCTTCTTGTGTGTGATTGCCGCCACATCGGTAGCCACAGGTTATCTGCCAACAGACAGTACTGTTCTTGGTTTGATTGATGGTTGTTAATCTCTGTTGTTTTCGTTGTCATAAGCAGGGATAAATAAATGTTGCCATCTTTATAACAAAAACATCGTTGACCAACTTGACAAGCTATCATGCATGCTGTTGCCGACTTCCAAGTTCATGTCCTATGCTTTTAATAGCCACCATATTAAAAGATGTTGCCTCGAATGACATTGTTTTGTTGCCACCTTATTGATTTCCGACGGACTGAAATAATTGTTATATTCCACTGTTGCCGATTTTTTTGACCAGCTCAGAATTCCTTCCATGCCGATGTCCACAGGTCAACGACTGCTGTCCGATTCGCGCAAAAGACACGTGTCGTTTTTTTGTCTCGGTCGTTTTGTCCACCCACAATAGTTGATGTCAGAGTTTGTACACGATGACTTGCAGTTAATTCGCCCATGCAAGTTTTGAATGTATGTACCGCCTTTTGATGAGGATCTTGAGTGCAGATACCCGCATCCGTTTGAAAAGTACTTGTCGCCATAGCATCACCAGTAGATAGTAAATCTGCTCCTTCCCTAATATGTCGATTCGTCGTTTGAATGGATGTTGCTTGTCCTTGGACGCACGCTTGTTCGATGTCGTTGTCGCTGTCGTTGGTGTTGTTGTAATGATCAAGAACGTCAGATCAGAAAAAAACCGTCAAAAAAATTTCGCATGTTGTGTATTTGATAATGTGCTGCCAATAGACTGATCAAGCCAAAGACGGAATTCTGCCAATCCTCGATTCGAAACCAAGCCCTGGAACCCTGTTGCCACCTGTAGCAGCATAACCACCATGACTGCTCGTCAGATACGTCCACCAATACCATAGGAGACGGCATGGTCAAGCCAAAGACGGGATTCTGTCTATCCTCGAACCGACACCAAGTAAAAGAGGTTGTTTTTACTCGGCTAGCCTGGAAATCTGACGCCACCCGTAGCAGCATAGTCACCATGACTTTCCGTCTGATTCATCCACTAAGACCACATGAGATGGCATAATCAAGCCAAAGACGGGATTCTGTCAATCCTCGTTTCGAAACCAAGCCCTGGAAGTCTGACGCCACCTGTAGCAGCATAATCACCATGATTCATCCACCAACACCACACGAGACGATGTGATCAAGCCAAAGACGGGATTCTCACAACACCCCGAAGTTCTTACTCGGCTAGCCTGGAAAGCTGACACTTTCCATCGCGGCGTACCACACACACCGCTGGCCAAACACCCCAGTCCGGACACCCCAGCTTCAGGAATCCCCGAGGCAAAGGTGAAGGAAGGAGTTGGACTTACATGACAGGACACTGACTACAACCGGTGGGGGATCCAGGACATGGAAAGGGCGAGGATAACTCCGGTTGAGCGGGTGGCGGGGATTGGAGGAACAACATTGCCCTGGTACAGGTAGGACTTCTGCAGGAACACCATCCACATGAGCTGGAACTGACTGGAATGACAACCCTGGGAAAGGAATAAATTCCTTAAGTTTCTAGTAGCCTTCTTCAAACCACATCCGAGTTGAATGCAGTACGAAGAAGGAAAGAATGAAAGGAAAAAGGCTATATCAGTTAGTAAGCCTCTTCTTATAAAGATGGTTGTAGGTATTAAAGAAAGCAAGTACGTACCGTAATTATACAAGCTCGGCGCCTTGGGTTGTCATTTGCTGTCAAGAATCGCCGCTGTACATGTGACACGATGGTATATTCCTGCTGCCTACACAACCAGAGCGTTGTTCCCCTCCCCACCACCGGCTCTACCATCATCGCTATCCCCATGTGCCCCCCCACATCCCTTCAACCCCCGGTGGCTGTAGCAGTGCCACTGCCACTGCCAACTCAATCCTGCCTTTACCTCGAAGAAACATCCACTGGGATGGCCGGACCGCTCCCCAACGCCTGACGAAGGCGGAAACCGCCAGACACCACCGAACAACAGAGTACGCTCTACTTGAAACGAGATGATAATATTATTGGTTAGTATTCTATGCAGATCAAGCAAATAGGGCTCAACACAAGATCGAATATTTACCCCAGCAGAACGCACGCAAACAGACACCGGAAAACAAGAAGAAAAAAAGCGGAGCAAATGGAGACGACGGCAGTAACGGCGGAAAGTGATGGACAGCACCAGGAAAAAGGGACGAAGACAGCATAAGTGGCATAGGTGGCATAGGTGGGCATAGGTGGCATAGTGCGCGGAATTCGTCCTTCGCGGCTTTCTCTTCGTCGTACGTTTGCGCGGCATCGTCCTTCGCGGCTTTGGCGTCGTACTCGTGCGCGGAATGCGTCGTCCTTCGCGGCTTTCTCGTCGTCGTACTTTGCGCGGCACCTCCCTCGCGGCTTCGGCGTCGTACTTGTGCGCGGAATGCGTCGTCCTTCGCGGCTTTCTCGTCGTCGTACTTTGCGCGGCATCGACCTTCGCGGCTTCGGCGTCGTACTTGTGCGCGGAATGCATCGTCCTTCGCGGCTTTCTCGTCGTCGTACTTTGCGCGGCACCTCCCTCGCGGCTTCGGCGTCGTACTTGTGCGCGGAATGCGTCGTCCTTCGCGGCTTTCTCGTCGTCGTACTTTGCGCGGCACCTCCCTCGCGGCTTCGGCGTCGTACTTGTGCGCGGAATGCATCGTCCTTCGCGGCTTTCTCGTCGTCGTACTTTGCGCGGCACCTCCCTCGCGGCTTCGGCGTCGTACTTGTGCGCGGAATGCGTCGTCCTTCGCGGCTTTCTCGTCGTCGTACTTTTTTTCTGTTTAGGCGCGCTCTGTGGCAGCACCTAGCTCCTGATCATCATCAGATCGAGGAGGAGGCGGGAAGGGACGCGGCGAGGAATCGGGACAGAGGTAGGGTAGGAGCGACATGAGCGAGAATGTAATCGGAGGCAAGGGATGGAAGTGGTTGATGAGCTTCCACAAGACGAACGCAACGAAAAGCACAACTATGCAAGCCAGAAGAGCAGCAAGCTTGGCAACAAAGATCACATCGTAGCGCGCATTCTCGTAACCCGGGACGGTGAAAATGATGACCATTGCACTGATAAAGCAGGCCCACAAGGGGTGGTACACTGCGAATCTCACAATAAAGGCAAGGGCAAGATTGACGAGAAGGAAAATGAGGGCAACAACGGTGCGGAAAGCGGCTAAACCGCATTGGTTCTTGCTCGGCATCGTCATGCTGGGGATGGTGATGGTGGGCATCGTCATGCTTGAAAAGATTGACTTACTGCTTGTCTTGCGCGACTTGCTCTTGCGCGACTTGCTCTTGTGAGACTTGGAGGACTTGGTAGATTCGCTCATGTGGGACATGGTAACTTGAAAAACGCGGGTGAAGAAGAAAAAAAAAAGAAAAACGACTCTTTTTATGACCATGAGAGCAAAAACAATTGAAATCCCGCTGAACGCGTGACGTAACAACTTTTTTTTTGCTCGTTTTGAGCGTAGAAAAGATACTCGTTCGGGAAAAAAAGTGAACAAGTAGAAGGGGCAATGAAGGACGAGTGCTATTGTTGTCATCGTTATATGGCGCCGCTTTATGCGTGGAATGTTTCACATACGGGTCTCCGCTTAGATCTTCCAGGCACCGTGTCAAGGTTTCTTGGCCAGTGCGTCAGCGAGAAGGGAACTTTACAATAGAAACACCGCAAATGTTGTTAGCCACAAGTCAGGGTAGTTAAGATATGCACAGGCATCTGTTAGCAGCAACGATCGAATTATTACCACTGGACTTTTGAGATCTTGTGAAAATCGTCCGCTTCCACTTTTGAATTATTCAAATTATCTTATAGGCCTGACGTATTTATATAAAACGTTCGAAGTCTATAAGGTATGCCAGTAGTTTTCACTGTTTTTAAAGAGAAATGCTTCCTTTGGTTCACGAATGTAGAGGAAACAAGGAGCTGAAGGCGAAGAGGAAAGGGTGGGCATATTGGAACGTATAATGTAACGGCTACATATGTAATACTTGCTATCTAGATGTCTTGTCGTGAGATTGTATAAGAGTCATGCAACGAATTCCTTTCCTCCCGATCGAAATTAGCACATGGTAGAGACAAAGCGCAGTAAATTACTAGTCAGAAGCTTCTTAGAGCACCTGCAGCGGTCGCTGTTACGAAACTGTTAAATTTCAGAGTTTAACAGCCCGCTTAACAGTGCGTAACAGCTTAACAGGGCATTTCGTGCAGCGGTTACTGTTACGAAGCTGTTAACTTCACACGTCGTTGGTTTCAATGAAAGCTTTGCCCTTTCTCCTGAGCAGGGGGCAGCGGCAGAAACGTCAGACAGGCGAGTGGCGTTAGAAGTAGCGTTGTTCAATTTGAAGAATACAAACAAAGAATGAAGTGAGATATAGCTTTATTTTTCAAGTCCTTTTTCTCGATTCAAGAAACTGTTAAATTTAACAGTTTTTGTTCGGGCTGTTAAATTTAACAGGACGTTAACAGCAACCGCTGCAAGGTCTGGCTGTTAAATAAACTGTTAAATTTAACATAACAGGTTCTTAACAGCGACCGCTGCAGGTGCTCTTATACCATGATATGTCGATATATAATCCGGGAAGTCCTGTCGCTAAGGCATCCTACTTAATAGACTGATACTACTGTCATTTTGATCCGGAAATTCAACGGTGGAATTCTATATGAAGAATAACGCTGTGGAAGAGAGCTATTAAGTATGGATCAGTGCCTATATGTGAAATAATAACACAAACGCTGGAAGACATTCGTGACGACATTTTGGAAATGTGTAGATGATGCATGTACGTTTAAGCTACGCAGCTTTGGTGTGAGTGTTGCAAAATAACTGAGATTTCTTAGCGTGCTTCAACATTTATTCATCCAAAGTACACCACAGGCTGCTACTCCGTGCCCTTCAGAGCGTTGTGCATATTTTTTTTAGTAATCTACCAGCCTAAAGTCATCTTTTGGTGCAGTCCTCAAGACACTTTCATGATTAGACGTAGTATGCTGTCCACGTAATATGTACAGCAGCACGTTCATCATGCTGCTACAGTAGCCATTGCAAGAAGTCTGTATTCTATTATACGGTACTCTTGCGATGTAATTATATACTCCCATTCTCATTTTCTGAACAAGTGGTAGATATGGTAGGAATCATTCTCTTGCTTTGTTACATAGAAAGCATGGTAGTATTGATTGCGTGAGAAACATATTGATCATCATCGTTCTGAGATATGTCGTTTCACTGGATTCTTAGGGGAAAATCATAACCATACAAATCGCCCTCTTACAGTGATATCATAGCTCCATTCCTAATGTCACCTCTTATGAAGGCTACTCTGACTACTACTTCACATCCAAACATCTTTGTACAAAGTGTAGTTTTATGGCTCATTATGTATAACGATGTAGCCCAGGATAACTGCTTTGCAATTTATGATGTCAAAGTATTGTGAGATATACAGAAGAAGAGTTGCGTTGCAGGTACCTTACTTGAAAATATAGCCACACTTTAGCTCCTAATCCTTTCGCTTTCATTTAA